AGTGGACAAACAATCATCAGCATAGACCTCGCCACGTGATAGGCCGGCCGTCTGTAGGGCAGCAGTTGCAGTCTGTGAGGTCACACACGGTCGCTGTGTTTGCTGTGGTCAGCAATGACAGCAGTGAGTGAGTGAGTATGGTTTACGCCGCCGTTAGCTATATATTCCAGCAATAACACGCAAGGGACACCAGAAATGAGCTTCACACATTGTACCCATGTTGGGAATCGAACACGGGTCATCGGCGTGACTAGCGAACGCTTTAACCACTAGTCTACCCCATCGCCCCAGCAATGACAGCAAGAAGGTCCAACATGAAATAACAGTCGAAAAGAACCCGTAGATGTTTCGCAATTTTTCTGAAGAAGGCATCGAAATCTAATGCCTTCTTTTACTTGGTCTTTTTGTGGACATATCCAGATTGTACTTCCAGATAATGTCTCACTTTGTATTTGATCTCTAACGTCACAAATCTGGTACCATCGGCACGTTGAATTATTGTCAATGTTTTTATCCACATCTTCTCTGTATAAAGTTTTTGGGTCAAAAGCACATCGACTTTCTTGACTATTTGGAAGAGAGGAGTGAGCAGACTGGTTTTAAGCATATAAACATTGGCATTGCTTCATCCATATAATGTATGCTTCTGTTGCCCCCCTCCTCAATGATGTGATACTATCATCGGTTCTACCAACCTGTGCAGAATTCTGCCATAAATCTCATTCGTTTAAAATTAATTTTCATTTTTGGACCTGATGCACCGGGTATGGGTTAAAACGTGTCATGAAAACGTCTGTCCTACTTTTGTTGCTTACACGCATGCTACTTTGAAAAATAAATCATGTTCTTCCCGAAGAGGCGGAAATTCACGTTAGAGTCGTCAACAAGTCTCAGAAGGGTACATAACTCATAACTGATATAATATGACATCTGTATCCTGTAACACGTCACCAAGCCTGGATATTGGATACATATACACGTATTGTGTCAGTATGCATATACCACGGCACATGTCCGCAAGCACCTACTCTGCAAACAATATAGCTGAATACATTGGGAAATGAACACACAGGATGTCAGTGTTTACAACGTTATACAACGTGGCTATATATAGTGGTTCATTTACACACACAGGTTGACATCAAAACATATTCATATGTACATGTACACACGCATGGGGTAAACTTCCACATCAGAACAAAGCTAAAACACGGCGTCGGTCCTTAAATCTAGGCAGGAAGTTTACCCCTTGCTATAGAAACTGGACGCTATTCTAAACCACCAACCCTACTGTGTGATAGAATTTATAAATACTGTTTTAATACTTTAAATATCCGCACTGTTGAAGATGAAAATCACTTTCTTATATGTTGTCCTTTTTATGAAAATTTAAGATATAAATAATTTTGTAAAGCTTCAAATGTATCCAAGAATGTCTATACCCTTTATGCTTAAGTTATGTTTTATATTGAACTCGGACGACTTACAGTATTGTGTATCTAAGACCCTTTTAGTAATGTTTAAACGATTATTAACTTTTATATGAATTGTCTTTAACAAAGTGCTGAAATTGTTATAGCTTCATACTTTTTATGAGTTATATGTTTTATGTTTCCATCATGTCCATTCATATTTTATTTATGTATTGTATATAAATAATTTTTAACATTGTAAGGCGTGACACTGAAATAAACCACTGTTCCACATCACCGCTGCAATATAAATGTATTATCTGTATGAACGGATGCCATTGTTTTTCAGGCCTAGGAAGATCACTCTCTAATCCACCGACTACACTCTAAGGTTTATCAAGTTGTCTACCAACCGTTTATCGCGATATATCGAATGTCGGTTTCAGAGAGAGTTATCCCCGAACCATGACCTAGAAATTTAGATATACAACGTATCTACTTCAACCTATTATGCACCAAACAGACAGACAGACAAACAAACACAAATATAATAATTCTGATACAAAAATGCAAACACCTTCACCAACTATTGCTTCAACTAATAGACTGTCAGGAAATCAGTGAGAAGGAACAATTAACATTCCCTTTTTTCGAAAGTTAAGTTTGTAAATATATCGTGTTTATTGTGATGAAATGAATACTAGAAAACTATTTGAACATCTTTTCACGCACATGTTAATACAATTCAATAATTAGTTATTTGGCAAATGGATGAATTGTAAACAAACAACCCTCTTTTAAATTGCAATACATATCGATAATTCACATTTTGTTTCACGAATATTATCAATTCGAGGTTTGAAATTTGATAATACCTTGTAGGATATCTCAGTACTTCCTTTCATTAATCTAACCCTGGCAGGCAGACTATGGTACGTGAATCCCAGCCTGTAGTCATCACGGACTAAATATATCTCACAACACTTCAGGCGTAGTAAAAGGCGTGAACAGTTACCCCCCTTTACCATCCACGCTCATCGATCAAGAATCAAACTCACTTCAGCTGTTACAGGAAGAATTGTAGTTCCCGTAACTCAGAACCTGAAACTGCTAATACATTTAATGATTGTCTACATGTACATGTTCTGAAGGCCCGTGAAGATCCGGGGTAGAATTCGTCTTCAGCAACCGTGCTTGTCGTAAAAGGCAACTATGCTTGTTGTAAGAGGCGACTAATCGGGTGGTCAATCGTATCCCAATTGCGTGGATCGATTCTCATGATGTCAATCGCTGGATTGTCTGATTCGGACTCGATTATTTACAGACCGCCGTCATATAGCTGGAATATTGCTGAGTGCGGCGTCATTCCTGTCATTGTGTTGGGATTTGCGGCTCTACGTACAATGTTTACTTCCGTGGTTTTTGTCTTTAAAGAGACATTGTTTTATTCATAGCATAAAAAGCAAATGTCAATGACTTGATTCATTTATTATAATTTCAAAGGATATTATAAAGATTTAAAAAATCATTGCACATAAAATGCCTAAAAATAACAAAACATTTCCAAATTCAATCGGTTATATGACTGAATGGCTGACATCACCCATCCTGCTCCCTTGTATAATAAACCATGTGTCTTTGCCACAGTTGACAAATACATTTTTGTACAATGTTTGTTGGAATGAAAGAAAACAAATTTAGATAAAAAGCACAATATCTGGACCCAAATAAATAAGCAGCTGGTGTAGACCTTCGTGTTATCTTTTTTTTAAACATGTCACCAAATGGCTTTGATTAAGTGTTTAAGATTATACTCTGATATATTTAAACCCGAACACCTATAACAGAAACTATTAGTATGCTCTGGATCTAACATTAATGATTTTCTTCATCAAAACATGTATATTAATGTATGTTGTAAGTTTGTCAACTTTGAGTAGGCATATATGTGAAGTGAAATGATTATCAAATATATAAACATTTATGTATGAGGAGGTCGGGGCAATATAATGATCCCTTGGGCCTTAATTCCTTTCATTGGAGGCACTAGAGTTACTGCATCTTTCTCGGAGGATTTATAAGATGTTTTCGTCAGGAATTTCGAAGTGGAAGTTTGTTTTACCAAAACAACTGCAATACAGTTAATTATTAGACTTTCAAAGACGCTATTTAGATACTACAGCATTATTTACATCTCCCAGTTGGCTTATACATGTTATCCAAGGGATCATTATATTGCCCCCACCTCCTCTAAAATGTACAATGTTTGTTTTACTTGCATTTTCAATGTTTGCACCACACATCTCAATCATTCAACATTGTCCGCAAAGACGTTTCGTCAGGCGCTATATGCGCTACATCATCTGCATACATCAAACTTGATATCATAGCATCATCAAGTTTAACACAGTTGAGGTTATTAATACAAAGGGCTAAGTCGTTCATTTTAACAGCAAATAACGTTGGGGATAACATGCACATTTTAAACACAGTTGGCACTGTCATAGAGAGATTGGAAGGCATCTAATATTTTGCCTCTTAAACCAACTTGGAACAATTTAAACCACGGGCATTCTCGATTAACAGTTCCGAATCCTCTTTTCTAAATTAACAAAGCAAACAAAAGTGGAATCTTTTTGGGCTTCTCTTGTCTGAATTAAAGACGATAAAACGTAAAGATGATCAAAACAATCTCTGTTAGAACGGAAACCATGGACAAGAATTTCATTATTATCTGCATAAATCTTGCCCGGAATTCATATGAGTGTTATGCCTCGATATTCAAGTGGGTTGCAAGGATCACTCATACCAGATTTAGTTATTGGGTTAGCAATACCTTCCTTCTACATGGAGGGCACTACTCCATTATTAAAACAATATTTGATTATTCTATATAGTAAATCAACACAGGCGGAATTTCTAAGAACCTCAGAAGGTATACCATCAAGGCACACGTTTCGCTTCATTTTGTCAAAGTCTTTCCTGCACTCTTTAGAAATATAACCAGTACGTAAAAGTCGTTTAGTTAAAACAGTTTTACTTTTCAACCACTCCCTTTCACGCTTACAAACCAATTCCCACTTGTCTTGAAGTTCATTGTTCCAGTATGGTCTAGATCTGCTCTTTTTCTTATTTGTATTACTTTTTGTTTTTACCTTGTTTAGTTTAGTGTTCATGTAATCAATAATAAGACTATAAAATGCAGCATTGGCATCATTTTCCTCATAAAGATCATTTTCTAACTTGTTAATAGCTTCTGAGACAAGTCGAAGTGACCACTCCAGTAGCGAGACAATCGCGAACGATTTAATGAAGTTTGGAGGGTAAAGATATAAAATCTAGAAAGACTTTATATATACTACGTGCGGACATCGGGTGAGAAATCCTCTCCTGGATCGCCGGGAGACTGACTTTATGTTCTATGTTGATGGGGCCGCAAACGATAAAAAAAACTAGATGATCATCAAAACTACTTTGCTCAAATATTTCTGCGATTATTATGATTTTTGACACCATACAATGGGTTACTGTACAGATTCGGGGTCAGAATAGCTGCTGGTGGCAGACGATACAATATGAAAATAGGAATTATGTCATTGTTAAATTCACACGAGCTATATCACTAAGGCGGAAATTATCCGTAAAGGGCGATAGGAAAAGACGAGGTCCCTCCAGTAAAACAAGTAGTTTCTGGAATGAAGAATGACGATAACATGTAAACCTGAATCTGAAGATACAGTAACCATTACTGACTGAAGCTAAATTTAATACCGACAAAAGCTAAGGGAACAAATGATCTGAATGTAGCTATCGTTGAGGTGTCGATTCACAATACCGTGGCGATGCTTCTGAACGCAACATCTAATCACAACGAAATTTCACATCATGTATGAACAATATATGTGGCATGTACATACAAAAGACAAAGTGTGTACGCCAAAAGGGGAACTCACAATTACTAATGGAAGTGAGCTGAATAATAAGCTTTAAAATGCCCCCGAGACAGTTTCTCATGTATCAACAGACACTATAGCGAATTCTGGATGTGACAGAGGGGCACGTCACCATCCCCGACTATTTGGCAAATCAAATAGTATAATTACTCGACTGTGGGACAAGTTTCGCCAAACGGGTGGGGTTGCAATGAAACCTGGGCATGGCAGGCCTAAAAAGCGACACCTGGACAAGATCGTCTCAGTACATTAAATGTACTACGTAATAGATTCAAATCTGCTCCTCTTATCAATAGAGTATTCAGTACAATAGCGGGAAAGCGAATTTCAACACATACCGTTAAAAACCGGCGCAAGGCGAAGGGTGTGACCCTAACAGTTTACCATAGGCGGCAAGGATTGGTGTGGGTTAGGCAACCCCAGGGATGGGCGGTGCGCCAATTGCATTATACCATGTTCTTCTACGAATCAAGGTTTTGCCCTCGATGCTCAGATGGTAGAAAACGTTGTTGGCGACGTAGCGGCGAAAGGTATGCCAGATCAACAACTTTTTTTGCCATGATCGGTATGGGGGAGGCAGTGTCGTGGTGTTGCGGTTTTACACATAACAGGCGAACTGATTTGGTTATTGTGCATGGACATTTGACTGGCCAGGTGTATGTTGACGAACCTTTTCGTGCTAACGTTGTCCCATTCGCTAGAATTATCGGCAATTTTGAACTGCAGGGTGACTGTGCCAGACCATGTCGTGTCCAGGCCGTCACCGATTATCCCTGACGAGAGGGCATGCGGACATTGGACTGGCACGCCAAGTCCTCTGAAAGGTCCCCAATAGAGCATCTGTGGGATGTTGTCGAGTGGTGAGTGTGTACCAGGGACCCAGCACCCGTCAATGTGGACTAGCTTGGGTAAGTCTGTCAGGCGGAATGGCGGGAAAGATCAAAGTTAATCAAGTTAATCAATAGTACGCCATCAAGGTGTCGTACATGTATCGCCCAACATGGTGGACACACCAGATATTGATCTACACGCCCTTAATTAATTTATATTATATTTATCCTCATTACTCCTTCGCGATCACTTCATCGGTCCCCATGCTTTTTGTCGGTAGTATACACATACATATACGATCTTATATTTATTCGTTTATCGAGGATGTTTGTTGTAGTGCCGAGATCGTTTGATTAAGTCACAGTGAGCTTAAGTGAATATATACTCCTCAAAAAAAGAAACTTGACACTGACTTTCAAAATGTAATATAATGGGAATGTTTCAAAATAGGACACAGAAACCAGAATTGAAACACTGTTTGAAGATCAATGTACACAATGTTCAAAACATTAATCGTGTCACCTAGACAGACATACGTACACGATACAGTTAATGTCACAGGGGTAAAGTAAATGTCAGTATCGGTTGTGCCCACCACGTGCATCAATCACCGCTTGACACCGACGACCCATAGATGCAATCAAGTTGTCAATAACACGCTGTTGGATGTGCTGCCATTCATGCTGAAGTGCATCAAGAAGCGCCGAAAGTGTTTGGGGCGGTGGATTCCTTCTGCGAACGCGTCGATTCACTTGTCCCACAAATGCTCAATCGGGGACAAATCTGGTGACCGGGATGGCCAAGGTAATGTCTGGATGTTGTTGTGCTGTAAGAAGTCCCGACAAACACCTGCAATATGCGGTAGAGCGTTGTCCTGTTGGAACTGTCCGCCATGAACGTTGACGTGAGGAAGAACGCAAGCTGTACGATCAAGTCTATGTAACGCACACCTGTCAATGCACCTGCCACATGCACGAGAGGCGTCCTACCACCTTGATGAATTCCGGCCCATACCATGACTATCCCGCCGCCAAATGGGACAACCTGCTGCACACACTTGGGGGCGTAACGTTCACCCCCAAGTCTGTAGACACGTGCGCGCCCATCAGCACGTGTGAGTAGGAAAGGGGACTCGTCAGTAAACAGCACTTTCTCCACCTTGCACGCACCCTCTGTTGGCACCAAAGCAGACGGTCCGCCAGATGACGTGGGGTCAATACATGACGTCGACCAGATCTTCGTGCAAAAAGTCCAGCCTCCCTCAGTCTGTTGCGTACCGTTTGATGTGATATTCTACGTACCCCAGGGATCTGTGTGTCTGTAGAAGTGGCTGTGGTAGTGCGGTTTCGGAGCAGCCGGTGTCGCAGCCGGATGTATCGATCTTGTGTTTGGGTTGTCACCCTTGGTCTTCCTGACCCTGGTATGTCGTCAACTCTGTTGGTGGTGTTGTATCGGGTCCACAGTGTGGAGATTGTCTGTCTGGATACGCCAAAGTGCCTGGCCACTTCTTGCTGAGTCGCTCCGGCTTGTAATCTCCCAATGGCGTTGTTCCGTTGAGCTGCATTCAGTCTTGGCATTCTGTCACCGCCTGTGCTGCCGTTATAAGGACTGTATGAACAGCCGTTGATGTGGATTTTTATACCCATTCAGCAGGGGGGCCTGCATGCATAAATGCAGGATCCTGTGCGGTACGTTTTTTAAAGGCGGTTGCGTTTGGATGAAGCTGTAAAATTGATCCCCAAACGCTACGTTTATGTGCTTTGCATGTGTTTTCGCGAATTATAGACACATCATCTTTCTGTTTGACTTATTTGGTTCTCATTCAATGTAATTATTTTAGATATTTGGCAAAAAGTGGTTTTACATCTGTCAAGTTTCTTTTCTTGAAGAGTCTATATCTCACAGTGCAATAAGAAGATAAATTTAAACATCATGTGCTTTCAGTTTTGCGGGTGTTATTGAGTATTACGAGTATCAATTTATGTTAAAATTTCCAGTCATCAAATACTCAATAATTCCTGCAAATCTGTAAACACAAACTGTATTTAATGACCGGAAATGTCATTTGAAACCGACGGCGTTATCAAATCTGAAAACACTTATCAATAATTATCAATTTTCCGTGGCACTCACTCATTCACCCATTATTTTACCAAGATGATACCAATCAAATCAAATCGAATTGACAATGTGAGGGTAATACCATGTCAACCACGATGCACACATATCACACATAAAAAAACTACTCACATTCGATTGTGACAAACAGTCGCCCGTTTCTCTGCCACAGCATACCTTTTCATCTCCACGTTTCATATCACGACAGTTACCACATTCACACCAAGAAGGTGCAGTTTCAGGATGGAGTGAGCCTGTTAACGAAATTAGAAACATTTAAAATCAAATAACCTACCAAGTTTGTATAGAGAACTTACAAATCGCTTCCTTGCTTTACTTTACGAAATTGTCATAAACTCATGTCTCTAATATTATTGATAATACAACACATGTTTTAAAGACATATGCGTGTCATGTCATACCCGATCTGGGAATAATTGTTATCAAGAATTCGGAAAGGGATATTTTTTCAGAGAACTATTAGTCACTTACACGTACTGACATGCATGACGTGAAGTGATAATGAAACTAGATACAGTCATACATTTACCTTTGGTATTTAGTATCCGATGTAACCATGCGGTTTCATTTTCTTTCATTTTATGGAAACTGTCTTTCCTATTGGTTACATTCCCTTCAGTCTTCACATGAGCTTTAAGATATTCTTGTACAGTTTCAATCCTTGCTTGTAAAACGTCCACAACCTGGAGTACAAGATCTTCATCTGGTCCCTTGCCTTCATCTGTCAGCCCTGCGACGTCCTTGAGAAGGTTCTCAGCCATTCTGTGACAGAGACCGTGCAGGTACGATTGAGGTTCTTCTGCTGCCATTCCGTCCTGTTGGCAAAGCTGAAGAGTATCAGCAGTTAACAACAGTAACACCTCATTCAACTCGATATACCATGTACAATTCATGGGGGGGGGGGGGGAGGGGGCATTGTTCCAATTTCTGGAGGTTAACTGGAGGCACAGGGCGATTCCTGACTTTGCGGCCGAGAATGTCCCACATGTGTTCGATTGGGTTCATGTCCGGTGAACATGCCGGCCATGGTAAAACGTGAATGTTCTGGGTCAGCCTTGCCGTGTGAGGCCTCACATTATCGTGCTGGAAAATGATACCATTAGACTGTTGTTGGATGAAAGGCACCACAACTGGTTGTAAGATGTCATCACGATAACGCTGCGCATTCAGGTTTCCTCGAATAACGACGAGTCTCGTTTTGACGTCACCGCAGATTCCACCCCAAACCATTAAACCTCCGCCTCCATATGACTTGATGGATGCAGTTCGGTGCCAAACGTTCACCTACTCTTCGGTACACACGCTGCCGGCCGTCGTTCCTGAAGATGCAAAATCTACTTTCGTCAGAAAACATGACACCTACCAGTTCCACCGTTGCCACCGTCGAAGTCGCCTGGCCCATATCCGTCTGTTGAGTCGGTGTTGAGGTGTCAGGAACGCTCCGCGGTAGGGGCGACGTGCTCGGATACCATGTGCCCGCAGTCTCCTGTACACGGTTTGTCGACTTATCACGTGTCCCAGTGCCGTCCGTGCCGTTAACGTCGCCGTTACGAAGCGGTTCCGAAGGTGAAGTACCCGGATGTTGCGGTCTTCAATAGGCGTGGTCACCCGTGGTCTCCCGGTTCTCGGCCTGTCTGCTGTCCGACCTGTTTGACGCAACCGCTGCATTAACCTGGTGACGGTTATGCGCGCGCATCCTAACCTTCTGGCGACGTCGCGGTGCGTAGCTCCCTGTTGGAGCATTCCTACGGCTCTGTCTCTCTCAATCGCTGTCAAACGTGGCATTTCTTTTGTGTGCTTTTTGTTGCTGTGATCCCAACGTGTCGGGTCAGCAGTTTTATACAGAAGATATGCACGTGCATTTCGTGTTACGGGACGGAACGTCATTTGGGCAAATTGCACGTTTTTTTCTCAATTGATCAAATGTTCCCGGTTTTATCGACCGAATACGTTTGGTTTGGAACATAGGATACGCAAAAGTACCTTTTCAGACGAAAATTAACTCTTCATAATAAAATATTTAGAAAAATGTGTGGTATCGTTTCTTTTGGACATTAGTTTAGTATTCAAATTGTCCAAGTAAGTGGGTGAGTCTTGGGTGAGTGAGTGAGTGAGTGAGTGAGTGAGCGAGCTTGTAAAAATGTATCATATTACGAGTGACGTTACTCGCTTCAATGAAATCCAAAACTGACGATGGCGATGACGACGATGCATAATGGAGTACCAACACAATAACCCCAAATAACTGTGAACCTACTTGTTACGGTCTGCCTTAGATGTATGTGTACTACCTAATCCAGCTATACATGCACTTCACCTACACTGTTGTCACCTACAAGTACATGTATATATAGACCCCTATCATAGTCTGGAGTGACACTCGTGTTACAAACGTAAGCATGTAGCATATCTGCAGCTGTGCACCAATCGGAACAGAAATATTACTGTTGACAAGTCAAACGTATTGACCTACTGCTGCAAGAAATAAATAAAGAGTTTCAATATACTGACAACTACGATCTCTTTTGTACATGCGGGAAGGTAAATATTTACAGTCGAGACTGATTTGTTGACCCCATGTCAGTTATATCACAGCGTTTAGAGTGAGTGAGTGAGAATGGTTTTTACGCCGCTTTTAGCAATATTCCAGCAATATCACGGCGGGGAGTAGTTATGTGCAGGACTCTAGGACCGCTCCTGGCTTCTGATTGGTCGGTTGGTCTGATGACGTCACTTCCGGTTTCGGTTTGGTCACGTGACTGCGCATGCGCGCAGGGCATGATGGGTCCTGCGTGCGCCTCCAAGATGGCGTCGCATCCGTTTCCGGTGGCGTACGCCTCCAAGATGGCGTCACATCCGTTTCCGGTGGCGTGCGCCGCTCCAAGAGGGCGTCACATCCGTTTCCGGGGAGGAGGGAAACCCGGAGAAGCGGTCGTAAAAGGTGAACAAGATCGAAGATTGAAAGAAGCGCGTCTGTGTTGTTCTAAAAATAGACGTGTCGGCGGCGGCGACGTCGGCGGCGGCGGCGGAGGGGAAGGTAGGAGGAGGAGGGAAGAGGAACGGGAGGGAGGAGGAGGAGGAGAAGGAGGGAGGGAGGGAGGGAGGGAGGAGGGATTCAGGGAGGGAGGAAGGAGGGAGGGGAGTCGGGTTCTTTGTTTTGTTTTGTTTTGGTGGGTGTGTGGCGATGGCATGTGGAGATGATAGTTCACTGAGACGAGCTTATCAAAGTTATCAAACACAGTCGACGACTCTGCCGCTTTGTTGCTAGGTTGACGTCATATCGGCGAAGGATCTTGCAACAACATGTCACAAATCATGTCATCGGGTATGGTGATGTGTTTGTCAACTTTGAGGTGTAAGGTTTCGTTCTACAAGGCGATCGTGTATTGTAGCCCACGATGACAGTCGTTCGTCTAAGTTAAAAGTCGGTGAGTGGCGAATTTAAAGGGGCTCAAGGTGTTGGCTGAATTCTAACGGTGAATCGACAGGCACAGACATGAACGTGTTATAGGTATATGCCTACGTGAAGTACTTCGTGTCACCCCCATGCAAACGTTGTGCCACGCGTGACGACAAACAGACGTTGACGTTGATCCATAGGATGATTATTATCATTTATTTATTCATGATACCAAGGTGCTGGCACTCGTGTAGGTTGACAGGTGTACTGTCATTCGTGTTGCCAGGCACCCGTAGTGTTTCACGCGTGTTGCCAGGCAAAACGTGGTGTCCTCTGTGTGTGTGTGTGTGTGTGTGTGTGTGTGTGTGTGTGTGTGTGTGTGTGTGTGTGTGTGTGTGTGTGTGTGTGTGTGTGTGTGTGTGTCTTCAAACAGACGTTGACGTTGATCCATAGGATGAACATTATAATGAATGATGCCGAGTCGGTACTCGTGTAGGTCGACAGGCGACCCCGACACCCAGCAAGTGGGACTCTTTGACACTTATATCGATCGATATTTCAAGGAGAAGCTCGAAGCCAGCGGATACCCCGAAGGATGTACGGATCACGACGCTTACATCCAGGAGATCTACGACAAAGAAGGCATAGGGTTGGACAAGGACCACATCGAAAAAAATCCAGGACGTCGCACGATTGCCAAGATGCAACTGAATTCGCTCTGGGGCAAGTTTGGGCAACGGGTAGACTACAGTCAGAACATCTATATGAACGATCCTGTACAGTACTTTGCCTTGTGGAGGGATGAACGCAATACCATCGAGGATGTGACCGTTGTCAACGAACACATGGTAGAAGTGACCTATACCCATCAGAAAGAATTCCAAACCCCTCATTCTTATTTCGATGTCGCCATCGCTGCTTGGGTCACCGCTCAAGCACGTCTCAAGCTGTACGAGACCCTTGCCCTGGTGGACCGCAGGGTCTTGTACTTTGACACGGACAGCGTCATTTACATTCATCGACCCCACGACGCGAATCCAGAGCTTGGCCATTCGTTGGGTGAGTTTACAGATGAACTGGATGGAAATTCTATCAAGACGTTTGTGTCAGGAGGCCCCCAAAACTATGGGTATGAGTTAATGAACCCCAGACCCGATGGAACGCGCACGACCTGCAAAGTGCGAGGGTTCACTTTGAATTACCGAAACCAACACCATCTCAACTTTGACACCATGAAAGGACTGATACTGGGACAACGGCCTGGGAAAGAGGGGGGGGGGGGAATCAGTTTGGATTACCCTCATCAGATCATTCGAAAAGGACCTCGGCACGAAAACGCACTTGTGACCCGACCCACCCGAAAAGACTATCGTACCGTGTACGACAAGCGACAGAGACGACTTTCTGTAAATTTTTTCATGACAACGGATCGAAACTGAATCGACATGGACCCCTACAGAAAAAAACGGATCGACATCTGACCAATCCGAAGCCTGGGTTGTCGACCCATCAGAGGCCGCGCTCGGGCCATGGTGGACTCTGATGGGCCGAAACGAGGTTGTGCTTTCTCTTTCACGCTACAAGCCTGACCCTTTGGAAAAGAAACACTAAGGACGTACCACACTGGTGGGTGGCGTGTGGGACAGAAACCAGCCAATCAGAAGGTCGGATTTTCCACCAATCAGAAAGCAGAGTGTCAGTGTCTTTAAATACGACCAACGTTCCCTGGCCATCACTTTTCACTGAACGGTCCAAGCAACAACACCATCATGTTCCGACTACTACTACCGTATGACAACAATGGCCACTACCGCATCATCATCAAACAGAAGAAGAAGGAGAAGGGGGACAAGGACGAGGACGTTCTCAATAGCGAGCATATCCGTCGTGCAATGGCGGACATCCTGGGGGAGCGGCTAGTTCTACATTGGGAAATGATGAGAACAAGTGCCTTGTACAAAGCTTCCCATGACTGCATGCATGAGAAGTTAAAGAGTGTTGTGGACACATTTCTGCCTCCGGAGTATGGCATCTGCATCCCCAGCATGTAACTCTACGTGGAAAAGTCAACCCCAACACCTGAAGCAGCAGCACTCACAGCATCCATACTCAAAGCAGCCCAAAAAGCAGCAGCACCACACGTCGCAGCACTTACCACAGTGGTAGCAGAGGGAACGTTAAAAGAAACAGACGTACTCACCTCAGCACTCATTGCAGCGTCAGCAGCGGCAGAAGCAGCACCCATACTAACAACAACACCCTCAGAAGCAGTGAAAGCAGCACAACAACTCGACTCAGCACTATGGACAGCGATACTAGCATCAGCCGCAGCAACACCTGCAGCCATAGAAGCAGCAGCAGTAGCACTCGTTGAAATAGTAACCTCACATGCACCCTTGCTGCAGCAGTACTCATCGCAGACAACACCATCAACAACACCCGTAGCAGCAGCAGAAGCAGCCACCACACAGGAAGAAGAAGATGCAGCTGCAGACGCAGCAACAACACCCTCACTAAAAGTATTCATCAATGCACTACAGATGGCGCAATGCGCGGCAGGTGTGAGGACATCGAAGGGGACACCCCGAGAAGCAGCAGCAACAAAACAATTCGCCTCAGCACTATCCTGGGCGGCAGCAACAGCCACCGCCGCCACACCCACAGCAGTAGAAGCAGCAACAGCTGCACTCGTCGCCGTAGTAACAGGAGTAACTTCAGCGCAGTCATCATCACCACCACCTTCACGATCACCGATGGACACCTCAGATGCTGCAGCATCCACACCAAAACCAGTGGCAGTCACCACAGCACCCTCATCAACAGCACCCACACCAAAACCAGTGGCAGCAGCAATGGTAGCAGCAGTGGCACCAGCAGTGGCAGACACCACCCCCACAGCCATAGAAGCACCAGTAGCAACACCCTCACCAACAGAACTATTCGATGCGCTCCACGCAGCAGCAACAACACCCACACCAGCAGCAGCAGCACCAGAACTCATCTCAGCACTATACAGAGCGGCAGTAGCAGCCGCAGCAGCAACACCTTCACCAACAGAAGCAGCAGCAACAGAAGCACTCGTTGCAACATTGAGCAGGCTACCTGTGTGATGACGATGACGAAGGTTGCTTTGCCAACACAAACAACAACCATCCAAAAGAACCCACACCCTCCCCCTCGTCCTCTTGGAGGCACACGCCTACGCGTGACACCACCATGGTACGTCTCAAAATAATAAAATAAATATATAGAAATAGAGACGCGTGAAACACCACGTGTGCCTGGAGACACGAGTCAAACACCACGTATGTCTATCGATCTCTCTCTCCTTATAAAATACAAAATGGGATCAATAATCCTGTGGATCAACGTGTGTTTGAAGACACACACGCATGACATCACGATTGCATGGCAACATGAAGTACATTACGTTTTGCATGACAACACACGACGTACATGACGTGTGCATGGAGACACGAATGACAGTACGCCTGTCGACCTACACGAGTACCGACTCCTCGGCATCATTCATTATAATGTTCATCCTATGGATCAACGTCAACGTCTGTTTGAAGACACACACACACACACACACGCAGAGGACACCACGTTTTGCCTGGCAACACGCGTGAAACACCACGGGTGCCTGGCAACACGAATGACAGTACACCTGTCAACCTACACGAGTGCCAGCACCTTGGTATCATGAATAAATAAATGATAATAATCATCCTATGGATCAACGTCAACGTCTGTTTGTCGTCACGCGTGGCACCACGTTTGCATGGGGTGACACGAAGTACTTCACGTAGGCATATACCTATAACACGTTCATGTCTGTGCCTGTCGATTCACCGTTAGAATTCAGCCAACACCTTGAGCCCCTTTAAATTCGCCACTCACCGACTTTTAACTTAGACGAACGACTGCATCGAGGGCTACAATACACGATCGCCTTGTGGAACGAAACCTTACACCTCAAAGTTGACAAACGCATCACCATACCCGATGACATGATTTGTGACATGTTGTTGCAAGATCCTTCGCCGATATGACGTCAACCTAGCAACAAAGTGGCAGAGTCGTCGACTGTGTTTGATAACTTTGATAAGCTCGTCTCAGTGAACTATCATCTCCACATGCCATCGCCACACACCCACCAAAACAAAACAAAACAAAGAACCCGACTCCCCTCCCTCCTTCCTCCCTCCCTGAATCCCTCCTCCTCCTCCCTCCCGTTCCTCTTCCCTCCTCCTCCTCCTTCCTCCTCCTCCTCCTACCTTCCCCTCCGCCGCCGCCGCCGTCGCCGCCGCCGACACGTCTATTTTTAGAACAACACAAAAAAAAATTTTTGACGCGCTTCTTTCAACCTTCGATCTTGTTCACCTTTTACGACCGCTTCTCCGGGTTTCCCTCCTCCCCGGAAACGGATGTGACGCCCTCTTGGAGCGGCACACGCCACCGGAAACGGATGTGACGCCATCTTGGAGGCGTACGCCACCGGAAACGGATGCGACGCCATCTTGGAGGCGCACGCAGGACCCATCATGCCCTGCGCGCATGCGCAGTCACGTGACCAAACCGAAACCGGAAGTGATGTCATCAGACCAACTGACCAATCAGAAGCCAGGAGCGGTCCTAGAGTCCTGCACACAACTACTGCGGGGGATACCAGAAATGGGCTTCACACATTGTACCCATGTCGGGAATCGAACCCGGGTCGAACTTCGGCGTGACGTGCGAACGCTATAACCACTAGGCTACCCGACCACCCCACAGCATTTAGAAGCAGAGATATCAGAGTGTAGTAGGTGAACCGGGTAATTGACCTATCATTAACTGGGTATTTGTATCTGCAGTCGACAAGTCACAACCATCACATACCACGTTAATCAACCTGAATTGACGATTACCCCTGCTATTATAAAAGCCGAGTACTAGTAAAGCACCTATAATTATTTAATTTCGTATGTACGTATTTACGTACATAAAACCACTGCACACTACTGGCAAGTATCCAATATGTTTGTTTAAACAGGTGAACATGACCTTGGTAGTATAAGAGTAGTGTCACCGCACTCCCGATTTATGACGTCGCTGATAACAGTACAATGTCAGGCTGTCTACAAAATCGCATGACGTAAAAATGGACAGAGAAGGATAAATAGAGATTTCATTTGCCGGGTATGTTTTCGTACGATGCGGAACACGCGAGGGTAATAATCCCTCGTCTGTATAATGTCATGTTTAAGATATATTTTTATTTACCGAAGTAACTTCTGGAACCAAATAGGAATACTATCTCCCAGTAAACCCCCACCACCCCAACCACCCCACCCCACCTCACCCCACCTCCCACACACACCATGTGTTATATAGTGCCACATTGTCTGCAGCCATGTGTGTTTACGGAGGCGAATACAAAATCTCTGTCTATATCTTTGATGAACTATAGGCTGCAGTGCATTGAGAGAGTATGAATCAAATCGATACCTGGAGTTTTTAAAAGTAGTTATTGCTAAATTGGGGTGGTCGGGTAGCCTAGTGGTTAAAGCGTTCGCTCGTCACGCCGAAGACCCGGGTTCGATTCCCGACGTGGGTACAATGTGTGAAGCCCATTTCTGGTGTCCCCCTGCCGTGATATTGCTGGAATATTGCCCAAAGCGGGGTAAAACCATATTCAATCAATCTTGCTAAATTACCTCAATGGTATATTTATCAGATCGCGTTACCAACTTTATCGATTTGGCTTATCGTATCGATTACACCCCCCATGATATGATCAGTCTCTATTAATGCTATCAATAATCAATGGATAAAATGATTATGATTAAACCAACACATAGTTACTGTAGAAATACACGTGTGACGTTAACGACGTAACAGTACAAAATATAACGCAATATATTTTTTGATGACGATGACTTTGACGACGATGGGGAGGAGGAGAATGAGGAGGGTAACTGTAATGACGGGCAGTCAACGTTCAAATTGCGAATCTCTGGTACAGCTGGGGGGCACGGGTGGCCCAGTCGTCTAAGGCGCCGCGATTCTCTGTGCAGAGTTGCGTCCCTTGGGCACGCCAGCAACCTATGATTGTGGGTTCGAATCCCGGTTCGCCCCGATTATGTTTCTAGGTTTGTCAGCACCATACCTGTGCCCTTGGGTTTCACCGAAGTGGTAAACGTCTGAGACCTACATCACTTCGGACTTTCCTCCCACATAAAGCTGACACGCCGTGACATGACTGGAATACTGTTAAAAGTGGCGTTAAACCTCACTCACTCACTCACTCTGGTACACCTGGCGGTTGCTGACACGTTGCCATCACTGACACAACATCCACCACACCGTAATATTCTCTCAGTCTACTTTCCACAAACGACGTCTTAATCGGCAATATTGTAAACAAGTAGTTGTGACTCTATATTCAATTAAAATTTTGTATTCTTCTGTTTACCTTGTTGATGCGCGGCATGGATTATAAAGTACCAACACAATAAACCCCAAATAACCGTGAACCTACCTGTTATGGTCTGCCTTTGATGTATGTACATTACCTAATGCAGGTATACACGCACTTCACATGTACCTACATGTATATATATAAATAGACCCATATCATATACTAGAGTGACACTCATGTTAAAACACTTTAGCATGCAGCATATCTGTGCACCAGTCGGAACAGAAATATTACTGTTGACAAGTCAAACGTATTGATCTACTGCTGCAAGAAATAAATTGGAGTTTCAATATACTGACAACGACGATCCCTTTTGTACAAGCGGGAAGGTGAAGTTTAATCTAGAGTGGAGTTTAATTTGTTAACTCCGCTGTTATATTACAGCGTTTAGAAGCACATATATCAGAGTGTAGTAGGCATTTACCATCCTTGTGAATCATTAACTGGGTCGAACCCTCAATTAGCGGATCCTGGCAGCCCATGAGTGAGTGAGTGAGTATGGTTTTACGCCGCTTTTAGCAATATGCCAGCAATATCACGGCGGGGGACACCAGAAATGGGCTTCACACATTGTACCCATGTCGGGAATCGAACCCGGGTCTTCGGCGTGACGAGCGAACGCTTTAACCACTAGGCTACCCGACCGCCCCGGCAGCCCATGAGCTCTGTACAGAAGATTCCTCCCAGAGCGACTGTTGCAAAACTCTATGTGAACCCGTGATTTGATTTAGGAATTGTTTGAAGTGTGCATGCAGTTTCATGTCTCATTTCTGAGGGAGAATATTGTCCGTACTACGAACGTTACTACGTTCTGTTTTAGAAATCATGACTGCTGTCTACTAAAGCGTCGTAAAATATGTTTAAAAGCGACATTGTACATGTTCTTCCAAAGTTGTTCGTATGTGATTGATGGTTGATTAAAGCCGCTCACGACAATATTCCACCTTCGGGAAGACGGTCTGTCTGTGGGTATGGCGCTCACAAACATGGAAGTGTTTCTTGAATGGCGATGGCCCGGTACACACACACTGCTGGACTCACGGCTAAACCTCGTCATGGTATACAGCCGATCGAAGGAGGTCTGGCTAATTTTAGTTCAGGTTTTTTTTTCATCTTCCTGGCGCTTACTGTTTTGAGGTATCGCTCGGGCGTGATAGTTCCTAAGAACGAAAGTTTGTTTGATTGTTTGTTTGTTGTTTAACGCCGCACTCAGCAATATTCCAGCTATATGACTGCGGTCTGTAAAATAATCGAGTCTGGACCAGACAATCCGGTGATTGACATCATGAGCATCGATCCACGCAATTGGGATCGATGACATGTATCAACCAAGTCAGCGGGCCTGACCACCCGATCCCGTTAGTCGCCTTTTACGACAAGCATAGTCGCCTTTAACGGCAAGCATGGGTTGCTGAAGACCTATTCTACCCCGACCTTCACGGGTCCTAAGAACGAAAGATGTTGCCTCTTTGTTGCCCCCTGTGAAATAATATATTGGGACCAAATACAGCCAAACGCCGTTGTGTCGAAGTTGAAGGGGCTTCTTAAATACTTCGAGTTATCCGAGGCTCGACACAACCGAAAATGAAAAATAAATAAGGAATAGACAGGGATCAAACTCTTACTTCCAGACAACCATAAGTTAGACACATCAAACTTCGACTTTGGTGTTTGACTGTAAGATAAACAAGACAACACAACACAATATATCTTTATATGCAATCATAACCATCATTAAATCATACAACTGAGTATGTTTTAAGCCGCTTTTAGCAATAATCCATCAATATCACGGCGGGGAACACCAGAAACTGGCTTCACACATTGTACCCATGTGGGGAATCGAACCCTGGTCTTTGGTGTGACGAGCGAACGCTTTACTTCTAGGCTACCCCACCGCCCCACATCATAGGTGAGTTGAGGTGAAATGGGGTTTAACGTCGCGTCCAAGATTATTGCACTTATATAGCGACGTGCATGTACGTGTGTGTGTTTGTGTGGCTGCTTGTACTGGTCCGGACTGATGCCGATTTATAGTGCTAGCTCACTGGGAAACCATGCCGCAGATCGAGATCGAACCCCGGACCTGCCGCTCTCCGGGCGGACGCTCTCCCACTAGACCACGGAAGCGGTCCCCAGCATCATACAATACTTGTTATAGTTATCAATATAATCATTAATGACGCGTTTTTGGTTTTGATACGTTTAAAGTTATTACATGCATGACAGTGTGTGACAATCTTTATGTGAGTGAGTTGGGTTTAATGCCTCTTTGACCAGCATTAGTTATTTCACGGCGTGTCATTTTAAACTTGAAGGAAAGCCCGAAGTGATACAGGTCTCAGGCGTTTACCCTTGGTGAAATACACGAGAATGGACAAACCTAAGTATGGCGCCAACACACCTAGAAACGTAATTGGGACGAACCGGGATACGAACCTCTGCATAGCGAATTGTGCGCCTTAGACGTCTGGGCCCTACAATTTGTAAGTGTTGTGAATAATTGCTCTCAACTCTAACTGCTCTCGTAGGTTGCCTATGTTGTCAACGTCAGTACGAGCTGTGACATTCCATGAGTCACCGAGTTATGAAGTTGTATTAATATGTGTCCTCTGTGTCAGAACGTGTTTCAGTTTCACACTTTGCACCCTCGCTCACCCTACACGTACCAGTAAGTAGGACATGCGGCTCCTACCTGCACACGATGGGTGAATCTCTCGAAAGTGTTAATCCTTGTGTTACATTACCATTCACGTGGTATATTCATTGAAGGCATGGTTGAATATTTCTTTGAAACGATTGCTGTGTAGTTTGCATCGCTTCACGTTCGGAAATTCTGTTGTGAGCTTGTCACCCTAGGACGTACTGTAAGATGAGGCGTTAAACCAAAATAACTCACTCACTCAAGACCAACTCACTTAAAACCCACCCAGCACTAGAATCAACGCGCCCACCCGCTCGCTCACTCACTCACTCACTCACTTACTCACAAAACCCACTCACTCACCCACCCAACAAAACCAGAATAGGTTGATCGTGGGTTCGAATCTAGTTCACCCTGATCGTTGGTCTGCCGGCACCATGTCTGTGCTCCAGGGCTTCACTCACTCACCCACTCACTCACTCACTCAATCGTGTCGTAGGTGGTAAACGTTTACCATTGTGAAATACTGCCCGTCATGTTGTTGACAGACCAACAGGTTCATAACAGGGACCAACAATGGGAGAACATGAGTGAGTAAGTGTTGTTTTACGCCGCCGTCAGTACAAACCAGTGGTTATTTAGCTACCTCCCTGAAGGGGAACCTCCTCCGTGGTGTCGTGGTAGAGCGCCTCCGGAGAGCGGAAGGTCGGGGTACGATCCCCGTCCGCGTCAAACCGAAAGACGTTGAAAGATGGTACCTGTTGTTACCCTGGCATTAAATGTATACAACAAGTACTAAATCGACTTTAGTCCAGACTTACACACACACACACACATACACACACACACACACACACACACACACACACACACACACACACACACACACACACACACACACACACACACACACACACATACACACACACAAACACAAACACACACAAACACACACGACACGCACACGGCACACACACACACACACACACACACACACACACACACACACACACACACACACACACACACACACACACACACACACACACACACACACACACGGCACACACACACACACAAAAAAAACACAAAAACACAACACAAACACACAAACACACACAAACATACACGACACGCACGCACGCACACACACACACACACACACACACACATACGGCACACACACACACGGCACACACACACGGCACACAAACGACACGCACACGGCACACACACACACACATACGGCACACAAACACACACACACACACGTGGGGGCAAGTCGCTACATGTGTGCAATAATCTTGAACGCGACGTTAAACCCAATTTCACCCAACCAGTTTCACCTGCGGAATAAGGGACAGAGCAGTTCACTTAGCATACCACCACCTTAATGACAGTTGATGATATCTCTTCCCATCTATCATTCACTTTTCAATACTTTTCCAAATAGGATTCTGAATCTTCACGAAAACACTAGTCCGACACAAACGGTGTTAAACCCCAATGACTCACTCATTGATCGGGGAGATTCGAAACATACGAAATCACTGATCACTTGTGAGTTTCACAACGACTCATAGTGTACATAGTACATTTACAATGACTTAACCCCGGAAGTATTTTATAACATCGCACTTTTCTCGACGTACTCTGGAGCTATGGACACTAGGCGAAGTATATTTGCCAGATGGGCCCTCCCAAAACAGTTGGCCCCTGTGATTGTGTTACTGTTGACGGTGTGTACAAACTTTGTACATACACGGAATATCCATTTCGGTGAGTATCATCATACAAAAGATTTCATTCGGGACAATTTCATGTTGTGTTTGACATCATCTTGTAGGCGCTGCGTCGAGGTGGAAGATACGTTCACTTTGTGTAGGACGCAATGTCATTCAGACCAATTCCTGAAGATTTAAAAATATATGAGCAGGTTTCATTGTGCTGACCCGGATACGTACATGGCGGAGCAAGCACGGATCAATAAATGATTGCGTCATGCTTGTGTCACGAATTGTGTCAGGAATGTGTCAGGACTGTGTTACGCATGTGTCAGGACTGTGTCAGGACTGTCAGGGCTGTCAGGACTGTGTCAGGACTGTCAGGACTGTGTTACGCATGTGTCAGGACCGTGTTACGCATGTGTCAGGACTGTGTAACGCATGTGTCAGGACTGTGTTACGCATGTGTCAGGACTGTGTCAGGACTGTGTCAGGACTGTGTCAACAAAGGGTTAAGTCGTTAATATTAACAGCAAATAACGTTGGGGATAACATGCACCCCTGTTTTACACCTAAAACCACTGGGAAAGCATCAGTAGAAGGTTCATTGAATTTTGAACACAGTTGACATTGTCATAGAGAGATTGGATGGCATCTAATATTTTGCCTCTTAAACCGACTTGGAACAATTTAAACCATGGGCATTCTCGATTAACAGTGCCGAATGCTCTATTAAAATTAACAAAGCAAACAAAAAGGAATCTTTTTCTGGCTTTTCTTGTCTGAATTAAAGACGATAAAACGTTAAGATGATCAAAACAATCTCTGTTAGAAGGGAAACAATTCTGTTCATCGACTAGAATTTCATTATTCTCCAACCAATTGCTCAAACGAGTGTTAAGAATATCTGCATACATCTTGCCTGGAATTCATATAAGTGTTATGCCCCGATATTCAAGTGGGTTGCAAGGATCACTCATACCAGATTTAGGTATGGGGTTAGCAATATCTTCCTTCCACATGGAGGGCACTACTCCGTTATTAAAACAATATTTGATTATTCTATACAGTAAATCAACACAGGCGGAATTTCTAAGAACCTCAGAAGGTATACCATCAAGGCAAACGTTTCGGTTCATTTTGTCAAAGTCTTTCCTGCACTCTCTATAAATATAACCAGTACGTAAAAGTCGCTTAGTTAAAACAATTTTACTTTTCAACCACTCCCTTTCACACTTACAAACCAACTCCCACTTGTCTTGACGTTCATTGTTCCAGTACGGTCTAGATCTGCTCTCTTTTTTATTTGTATTACTTTTTGTTTTTGCCTTGTTTAGTTTAGTTTTCATTTCATCAATGATAAGACTATGGAATGCAGCATTGGCATCATTTTCCTCATAAAGATCATTTTCTAATTTGTTAATAGCTCCTAAGACAAGTCGAAGTGACCGTTCGTCATTCAGGAATGATGCGAGTATTTTCTTAAAACTATATTTTTGGGCATTTGTATACTCCTTATTTTCTATAAAATCATCAGTGGTATCAGTATGTTCAGTATACAAAAACGTATAGTTGTTTCTAATAAAGAATGATCTGGGATCTTTTGACTCCCATATTGTTGGGTCATATTTACAACATCTGACATTTTATAAACTTTGAAATCAGCAACATGACACAGCTGTTCGTTTGGGTACAAAAACATAATCAAGAACGGCCCTGTCTTTGGTTGAAATAGATGTAAAGTAATTAACATCAACTCTTCCATTAACCATACATAAATTGCAATCAACAAGAGCATCAATAAGTAGATTGCCATGGTGATAAACAGTCTCGTCAATCATTTCTCTACGTGGAACTTTATCCACTCTAAACCACATCGTGCGTTAAGATCACCTACAATGACGAGCTTACCAATGTTACTTTTATCAGCGCCAATATACAAGTAATTTAGCCACACAATTGTATCACGACAATAAAAAAGGAGAGTTGCTTAACAACACTTTGAAAAGATATGGATACGGTGCGTATACTGCCAATTAAGTCGGCTGCGACCAATTAACACCTTTGTCAATTACGTAAGGATAAGAATTTATGGATGACCAACTTCTTTATTACAATTGAGAGCGACGTTTCGGTGTAGTTTCTAACACCGTTATCAAGCAAGTGATAAGAAGTTGTTCATCCTTAAATTCTTATCCTTACTTAGTACTCCAACTTCTAAATGCCTATCAAAGAAGTTTATCATTTAACTTGTGAGTTAATAACCTCGGCTCAGTAAAATAACAGGAAACACAGACAGCTAATCCCTAAAATAAGTCACTTAGACTACAAAATAGACGATTACGTCTGAATATCAACTAGTCGTAATCGACTAAAGATTCTTTCACTTTGACCGAACAAGAAAATACTAAAGTTCCCAAATAGTAAATCACGGTAAGGTTGGTTATACACAGATTAATAGAAAAACAGAGTATCAGAAACCCTAGTAACTGTGTTCAATACAACCAGACTAAGTCAGAATTTAGATCGACATATCCCCGAACGCACTTACTGACGAAACCTGCGTTTCGACAGTGACCACTCCAGTAGCGAGACAATCGTGAACGATTTACTGAAGTCTGGAGGGTAAAGATATAAAATCTAGAAAGACTTTAAATATACTACGTGCGGACATCGGGTGAGAAATCCTCTCCTGGATTGACGGGGAATACATCTGATTTGGGTGCCTACCTATAAACGTGTGTATCTAAACACCGGGAAAATACGAACAGCAAACTAACTACTATATCTACAGTGAAGATCTAAGAGCCAAAATAAGCTATCCAATAATTCACAAGAAGCTATGTACAATTATTGATGAGTCCAAAATGACCATAATTACATATACATATAATATTTTAATGTACATATAAATTCCCCCAAATCAAAATTACAGCAACAAAAAACATTTTCAATGCAAGAATATGCTAGCGAACATATAAGAGATAACACACATCTAGTCAATACATGGTTAGTGAGTATCATAAGATCACAAGAGAATGAAATAGTCGGGCCACTACGATTTAACACGCAATTATCTCACACTGTAGGATCGCGACCGCCAAGCGGTACCGGAAATAAAGCCAGGAAACAGAGCTGCACTAGACCGTGAATGGGTAAACACAAACCACAGTGACACTCATGATACCCCTTCGCAAACTGCAAACATTTGCTTGCACCGTAATTTGAATCTGACAAGGAGGTTGTCTGCAAAGACAGCGTGGCGTTACTTGTGGGCAGCTGAATATTGAGCTAGAAGATATCACTTTCTAATCGAACCTTACCACAGGGGAAGGTAGTCATACTTCATCGCAGGACATCGTAATATTCTTGGGACAAAGCGAAGAAATAACCGGTCGGATGAACAGTGCCAGATATTTCCAATATCAAAGTACATACAATATTCAGGTAAAGTAATTATTTAGTAGGAATCGTACAATGGACTGCTTCTAGTATAGATTTCATATGATTCACGAAATGTTTATTGTCATTTGTTGTCATCACAAATTTTCAGTGATCCGTTCATATGTGTACCGCTATTTGGCTTTTTACGCCTAATTGAGACTGACGTTATGTTCTATGTTGATGGGGCCGTAAACGATAAAAAACTAGATGATCATCAAAACTACTTCGCTCAAATATTTTTGTGATCATTATGATCTTTGGCCATGTGCACCATACAATGGGTAACTGTACAGATTTAGGGTCAGAATAGCTCCTGGGGTCGGTGGCAGACAACATAATATGAAAATAGGAATACGTCATTGTTTAACCTCTTTGATTGACAGTGTGATATTTTGTATCACAAATTCACAGGTCATGTGTCTGAGCTTGATTGTATGGCCATTGCAGGTGGAAAAGGGGTGGCCGATACACCGTCTTTAAAACCAGTGTAGTTTCCTTCTGGATCTGGGTATTCTTTTCTGACCCGCCACACCACACAGCTTGGAAGAGGCACTCGGATACCAGGCCCTGTCGTGCCGTGTTGAAAACGACTCATCTGTCTATAGATCACATGACGGCTTCGTTTGTTCACACGAGCCATACCACAACGGCGGAATTTATCCTTAAAGAACGATCGGAAACGTTTAGGTCCATGCAGGAGAACAAGTAGGGTCTGGAATGAAGAATGACGTAACACGTAAACCTGTAGCATTTGCAGAATATATTCATATAATGTGACAAACTGCAGTAACCATTGCTGACTGACGCTTTATTTAATACCGACACAAAATAAGGGAACTAATTATCTGAATGTAGCGATCGTTGAGGTGTAGATTCACAATACCGTGGCGATGCTTCTGAACGCAACATCTAATCACAATGAACTTTTACATCATGCATAAAAAATATAAGTTGCATGTACCTACAGAAGACAAAGTGTTTTCGCCTAAAGCGGAACTCACAATTACTAATGCAAGTGAGCTAAGTATAAGCTTTAAAATGCCCCCGAGACAGTTTCTCAATGAACAGACAAAATAGTGAATTGTTGGTGTGATAGAGGGGCACGTCACTATCCCCAGGTGCCCGACTATTTGGCAAATTATCGGCAATTTTGAACTTCAGGGTGACTGTGCCAGACCATGTCGTGCAAAGGTCGTCACCGATTATCCCCGACGAGAGGGCATGCGGACATTGGACTGACACGCCAAGTCCTCTGAAAGGTCCCCAATAGAGCATCTGTGGGATGTTGTCGAGTGGTGAGTGTGTACCAGGGACCCAGCATCCGTCAATGTGGACTAGCTTGGGTAAGTCTTTCAGGCGGAATGGCGGGCAAGATCAAAGTTAATCAAGTTAATCAACAGTACGCCATCAAGGTGTCGTGGATATATCGCCCAACATGGTTGACACACCAGGTATTGATCTTCACGCCCTTAATTAATTCATAATACTTTTATCGTCATTACTCCTTCACGATCACTTCATCGGTTCCCTTGCTTTTTGTCGGTAGTATACACATACATATAAGATCTAACATTTATTCGTTTATCGAGGATATTTGTTGTAGTGCCGAAATCGTTTGATTAAGTCATAGTGAGCTTAAGTGAATATGTATCTCACAGTGCAATAAGAAGATAAATTTAAACATTATGTGCTTTCAGTTTTGCGTGTGTTACTGAGTATTAAGAGTAACAATTTATGTTAAAATTTCCAGTCATCTAATACTCAATAATTCCTGCGAATCTGAAAACATAAACTGTATTTAATGACCGGATATTTCATTTGAAACCGACGGCGTCATCAAAACTTGCAAATCTGAAAAGTTGATAATGCTTATCAATAATTATCAATTTTCCCTGGCACTCACTCATTCATCCATTATTTTAACAAGATGACACAATCAAACATGGCCTGAGAAACACTTGAACTTTAAATAAATAAATTCACGGATAAACAAATATATAAATGAATAAATGAGTTAATTAAAATAAATGACACGTGAAATCTGTCTTTTTCCAATGTCTTTATCTACTCCAACTCCGTATCCAACTTCACCTGGAAACAGGGGAAATAGGGATGAAAGGGGTGATGAGTAGTAATTAGCTGGTATTAAACCATGAAATATGTGTATTGAAAAGGTAGTCATAATGGAAAGTAATCATGCTAGGAAGACACCATCTGAAAACGTTTATCGACATTGTATTATACGAAATACAAAAAGTATCAGTCATTTTCCATAGCACTCACTCATTCACCCATTCTGTTAGAAATCATGTGAGAGTAATACCAGTCAAACATGTTAACCACGATGCACAATGACATTTCAGGACGCACACAGACAAAAACTACTCACTCTCGATTTTGACGAACAGTCGCCCTCTTTCAGGTCACAGCATACCTTTTCAACTTCATGTTTCATATCACGACAGTGACCACATTTACACCAAGAAGGTGCAGCTTCAGGATTGGGTGAGCCTGTTTACGAAATTAGAAACCTTTAAAATCAAATACCCTTCCAAGTATACTGAACCGCAAAAGAAACGTCACCCCAAGTAACATTGCATGAAAAGTTGTCATTTAAATATCTGGGTATTTTTTGTCAAAGTTTCTAAAATCTAACACTACCCTTTCCGGAAAAATGAAATTAGATGATAAAACACAAAGCAGATGACAATAAAATCGATCGCCCAAACGCATCACGGCAACGGCCATGGTAACCCGATGCACGTGAGTTCCGTGCAAATTGAAATGCACATGCGTTCCTCCATTTCTTGCCTTATAAAAATCCACCCAGATCGGATAACATTCATTCGTTATTGAATTGCTACCACATGCTAAGATTGACAAGAAATCAGCGACATCAAGCCCTTGGACGATTGCAAGCTTGACAAACCGCCCAACAAGTAGCAAATGCAGTCTACGTAAGGACCATATACAGACCAGCAACACTACAGATGACCGACCACGTAGTTGAAGACCAAGGGTCACCACCCGACGTCATGATCGTCAGATTGTGCGACAGCATCTTCAAGATTCCTTTGTTACTGCTGTGGAAACTGCTCGACAGACCATGGGGACACACCAGCGACACATTAATGCGGACACTGTGCGTCGACGATTGATGAGCAGACACCTCCACTGTCACAGGCCACACCGAGGACCCATCCTGACAGCACGCCATCGCCGGGACCGTCTTCAGTGGGCAACACAGCACCAGCATTGGCGCCACCAGCAGTGAAGAAAAGGCCTCTTCTCAGACGAGAGCCGTTACTGTATCTCGACAGCAGATGGCAGAGAGAGAGAGAGTATGGCGACGCCGTGGGAAACGTTATTCGGATGCTTGTGTTGAGAGACTCGTGGGGTGGTCCGAGCATCATGGTGTGGGGTGGAATTGGTCTTGCACAGAGTGTCGGACCTTCTGTCTTCCGGAACATCGGTCCAGGGAGAGGCAATGGTGTTATGGCAGCTCGGTACATTGATCAAGTCTTGAGACCACACGCTATACCTCAACCACACGCAACCACGAGTTTCAGCATGATAACGCCCGTGCCCACCCTGCGAAAGCAACAAGAGACTTCCTCCAGCAGAATGGCAGAAAGGCGGCTGAATGACGTCCGACCAAGGCTCACAACTGCAGCTGAGCTGCGTCAGGCGTTCCTCAAGTGCCTATGGCCTTCATCAACCGCCCCATCCATTCCATGTATCGACGTTGCACGGCAGTCATCAATGCACATGGCGGACACATGAGATTCTGACTTGTGATGCCATTTTCTCAGAGACTGGTGTTGTGTTTCACTGTGAGAACATTTGACACTTTAATTTCAACTTTGATGATCTGTTTTGCCAAGTTTCATCTTTTTAATATGTCTCAAAGTATGTTAACAGTGTTTGTACAAATAAGGTTTCTCATATATCTATCCATGGTGACGTTTCTTTTGCGATTCAGTATATGTATAGAGAACTTAAAAAATTCTTCCTTGCTTTACTTTGCGATATTGTCATAAACTGATGTCTCTCATGGTATTAATAATATTTACAACTCTTGTTTTAAAGAATATGTGCGAGTCATGTCATACCCGATTTGGGAAAAATGGTTATCAAGAATCTGCTGAGCAGAGTTGCTTCCCCTATCCGTAGCTAGATTTGCTAACGTAAGTGAACGTGGATGCTAAACGTAGATGTACCTTGGCTAAGAAATATGCTTCTGTTGTAAACAAAAGTTGTAAACAGCTACCACCTGCGTCACCGTGGAGTTTTCTCCCATATAAGGCTAGTCGACCTACCCCTAAGCATGTAGAATAGACAATTAAAAAAAAGTTTAACAGATTTAAACAGTTTTCAGAACTGGTTAGCTCTATCAAGGGTAATTCTGTTCTCACCTCCTAAGTTACCATAGGCGTTGCTGTCCATAGGCCTGTCCAGTGAATGTGCATCATCACTGGAGTTTGTTGACATGTCCTGGTCTTCATGCTGCTCTCCGTCTGTACTGTTTCTAACAAAAGTATTATTTGCCGCTGTCAGTATTTCATGCAGGTGTGGATAGTTGTCTTGCAAAGCGTCCTTAAAACATTGATCGTCCACGTTTTTAAGGAGCGTGCGTTTTTCGCTTTCACTCACGTTTTTGGAGGTCAAATCTTTAAATATTACTTCAGTTATTCCTTTTGTCTCATACAACGATTGTGCCAGTCGTCGTGGATGTATTAGCTCTATAATGGTCGACTTTGGTAATGTTGGTCCCTTTAGCTGGTGATCGGACCCCGGCCTTTCAAAACGTAACTGAAAAGACAACCCTGTTTCTTCTTCCGTTTCTTTTAGTATCGGAATGAATTTGTCCCAATAATCAGACATGGATAGTCCTATCAGATAATGGGCAAATGCTAGTGATTTCTCTATATCTGATGACTTTTCTCTGAGGCTTTTCTCACTGTCCTCGGATATCAGATGTTCTTCGTACATACGATCAATCAGATGGGTGTTTTTCAGAGGGATGTCTCTAATCAGTGGCCATTTATCTCTGATCTCTTCAATGTGTGTTGTATTGGGGAACGTTGCAGTTTCTAAAATGTGAATGAAGTGAAATAGTCCTTACTCAAAATATAAAGCAGTACATGAACGTTATTCATGTCGTTTATCACATAAACCATAATATCTATGTTGCTGACTACCCAGTAATTACCACACAATACTATACAATGATATCGCAACAAACTGTAATGGTCTGGTTGTGGAGACGAGATTCTGTTTATATCCCTCAGTCATTACATGTATAGTGTCTAGATACCAGCATATAAACACAATGATATATAATCACACAAGATTACGAGATTCTAACCTCAAGTGTTACAATCTAAATAATTGATAACTATACAGTTTCCTTAACGTTAACCTTACTGTGTCGATTTGTGACTGGCCCAGTGTAATATGTATCCTCTGATAACATACACATTCAGGACATTCGGAAAGTGATAAATCTATTAGTCACTTACACGTACTGACATGTATAACGTGAAGTGATAATGAAACTAGATACAGTCATACATTTACCTTTGATATTTAGTATCCGTTGTAAGCATGCGGTTTCATTTTCTTTCAGTTTGTGGAAACTTTGTTTTATATCGGCTACATTCTCTTTAGCCTTCACATGAGCTTTAAGATATTCTTGTACAGTTTCACCCCTTGCTTGTAAAACGTCCACAACCTGGAGTACAAGATCTTCATCTGGTCCCTTGCCTTCATCTGTCAGCCCTGCGACGTCCTTGAGAAGGTTCTCAGCCATTCTCTGACAGGGACCGTGCAGGTACGATTGATGTCCTTCTGCTGCCATCCCGTTCTGTTGACAAAGCTGAAGAGTATAAACAGTAAACAACAGTAACACCTCATTGAACTCCATATATCATGTACAATATTCGCGCATTATCTTGTAAATATAAACTAAGTTAGTTAAAACATTGGTTAGTATCAATGATCCACGCTTTCGAAATACGATAATATGCAATAAACCACTTCACTTGTATTTTAAAACCAGATCCTCAGTTTAATCAGCTCGTACGCATGCTGAGGACCTATTCTGACCAAAAACGTACTATTGCTAAAAGCGACTTACATCCATAACTCATGGAAATCAGTAATGTCTGAGAATTTGTTTTATCAGGGTTTCAACATTCAAGGTTTAGTGAAGCTTTTCAGTAAAGTGTTTTTTGGCAGCTCAATTTACATGTGTTTGTGATTGAGGCCACCGGCTGGACAGAATACACTCACCTTTTCACGACCACCTGATATCATCAGGTATTAAAAAACACGCATATTTTTTTCTGTAAAAGACTTGCTTAAAAGTTGACGGCAATACTGATGAGTGAGTGAGTGAGTTTGGTTTAACGCCGCTTTTAACAGTATGTACGTATTTACGTACATAAAACCACTGCACACTACTGGCAAGTATCCAATATGTTTGTATAAACAGGTGAACTGATATAATAGCAGGTCAACATGACCTTGGTAGTATAAGAGTAGTGTCACCGCACTCCCCATTTATGACGTCGCTGAAAAGAGCACACTGTCAGGCTCTTCTACAAAATCGCATAACGTAAATATGGACAGAGAAGGATAAATAGAGATTTCATGTGCCGGGTATGTTTTCGTACGATGCGGAACACGCGAGGGTAATAATCTCTCTTCTGTATAATGTCATGTTTAAGATATATTTTTATTTAAGTAACACCTGGAACCGAATAGGAATACTATCTCCGAGTTTACCTTGTAAATGCGCGGCATGGATTATGAAGTACCAACACAATAAACCCCAAATAACCGTGAACCTACCTGTTATGGTCTGCCTTTGATGTATGTACATTACCTAATGCAGGTATACACGCACTTCACATGTACCTACATGTATATATATAAATAGACCCATATCATATACTAGAGTGACACTTATGTTAAAACACTTTAGCATGCAGCATATCTGTGCACCAGTCGGAACAGAAACATTACTGTTGACAAGTCAAACGTATTGATCTACTGCTGCAAGAAATAAATTGGAGTTTCAATATACTGACAACGACGATCCCTTTTGTACAAGCGGGAAGGTGAAGTTTAATCTAGAGTGGAGTTTAATTTGTTAATTCCATGTCAGTTATATTACAGCGTTTAAAAGCACAGATATCAGAGTGTAGTAGGCATTTACCATCCTCGTGAATCATTAACTGGGTCAAACCCAGGATCAGCGGATCCTGGCAGCCCATGAGTGAGTGAGTGAGTATGGTTTTACGCCGCTTTTAGCAATATTCCAGCAATATCACGGCGGGGGACACCAGAAATGGGCTTCACACATTGTACCCATGTCGGGAATCGAACCCGGGTCTTCGGCGTGACGAGCGAACGCTTTAACCACTAGGCTACCCGACCGCCCCGGCTGCCCATGAGCTCTGTACAGAAGATTCCTCCCAGTTGCAAAACTCTATGTGAACTGGTGATTTGATTTAGGAATTGTTTGAAGTGTACATGCAGTTTCATGTCTCATTTCTGAGGGAGAATATTGTCCGTACTACGAACGTTACTACGTTCTGTTTTAGAAATTATGACTGCTGTCTACTGAAGCGTCGTAAAATATGTTTAAACGCGACATTGTACATGTTCTTCCAAAGTTGTTCGTATGTGATTGATGGTTGATTAAAGCCGCTCACAACAATATTCCACCTTCAGGAAGACGGTCTGTCTGTGGGTATGGCGCTCACAAACATGTAAGTGTTTATGGAATGGCGATGGCCCGGTACACACACACTGCTGGCCTCACGGCTAAACCTCGTCATGGTATACAGCCGATCGAAGGAGGTCTGGCTAATTTTAGTTCAGGTTTTTTTCCCGTCTTCCTGGCACTTATTGTTTTGAGGTATCGCCCGGGCGTGATAGTTCCTAAGAACGAAAGTTTGTTTGTTTGTTTGTTTGTTGTTTAACGCCGCACTCAGCAATATTCCAGCTATATGACTGCGGTCTGTAAAATAATCGAGTCTGGACCAGACAATCCGGTGATTGACATCATGAGCATCGATCCACGCAATTGGGATCGATGACATGTATCAACCAAGTCAGCGAGCCTGACCACCCGATCCCGTTAGTCGCCTTTTACGACAAGCATAGTCGCCTTTTACGGCCAGCATGGGTTGCTGAAGATCAATTCTACCCCGACCTTCACGGGTCCTAAGAACGAAAGATGTTGCCTCTTTGTTGCCCCCTGTGAAATAATATCTTGGGTCCAAATACAGCCAAACGCCGTTGTGTCGAAGTTGAAGGGGCTTCTTAAATACTTCGAGTTATCCGAGGCTCGACACAACCGAAAATGAAAAATAAATAAGGAATAGACAGGGATCAAACTCTTACTTCCAGACAACCATAAGTTAGACACATCAAACTTCGACTTTGGTGTTTGACTGTAAGATAAACAAGACAACACAACACAATATATCTTTATATGCAATCATAACAATCATTACATCATACAACTGAGTATGTTTTAAGCCGCTTTTAGCAATAATCCATCAATATCACGGCGGGGAACACCAGAAACTGGCTTTACACATTGTACCCATGTGGGGAATCGAACCTGGGTCTTTGGTGTGACGAGCGAACGCTTTACTTCTAGGCTACCCCACCGCCCCACATCATAGGTGAGTTGAGGTGAAATGGGGTTTAACGTCGCGTCCAAGATTATTGCACTTATATAGCGACGTGCATGCACGTGTGTGTGTTTGTGTGGCTGCTTGTACTGGTCCGGACTGATGCCGATTTATAGTGCTAGCTCACTTGGATACCATGCCGCAGTTTAACATGAATACCCCACTCAGACACAGTATACAGTCCTTGTTTGAGCCCCTAACAGGGTAACAACAAGTACCATCTTTTAACGTCTTTTAGTATGACGTGGCCGGAGATCGAACCCCGGACCTTCCGCTCTCCGGGCGGACGCTCTCCCACTAGACCACGGAAGCGGTCCCCAGCATCATACAATACTTGTTATAGTTATCAATATAGTCATTAATGACGCGTTTTTGGTTTTGATACGTTTAAAGTTATTACATGCATGACAGTGTGTGACAATCTTTATGTGAGTGAGTTGGGTTTAATGCCTCTTTGACCAGCATTAGTTATTTCACGGCGTGTCAGTTTAAACTTGAAGGAAAGCCCGAAGTGATACAGGTCTCAGGCGTTTACCCTTGGTGAAATACACGAGAATGGACAAACCTAAGTATGGCGCCAACATACCTAGAAACGTAATTGGGACGAACCGGGATACGAACCTCTGCATAGCGAATTGTGCGCCTTAGACGTCTGGGCCCTACAATTTGTAAGCGTTGTGAATAATTGCTCTCAACTATAATTGCTCTCGTAGGTTGCCTATGTTGTCAACGTCAGTACGAGCTGTGACATTCTATGAGTCACCGAGTTATGGGGTTGTATTAATATGTATCCTTTGTGTCAGGACGTGTTTCAGTTTCCCACTCTGCACCCTCGCTCACACTACACGTACCAGGAAGTAAGACATACGGCTCCTACCCGCACACAATGGGTGAATCTCTCGAAAGTGTTAATCCTTGTGTTACATTAACATTCACGTGGTATATTCATTGAAGACATGGTTGAATATTTCTTTGAAACGATTGCTGTATAAATTGCATCGCTTCACGTTCGGAAATTCTGTTGTGAGCTTGTCACCCTAGGACGTACTGTTAGGTGAGGCGTTAAACCAAAATAACTCACTCACTCAAGACCAACTCACTTAAAACCCACCCAGCACTAGAATCAACGCGCCCACCCGCTCGCTCACTCACTCACTCACTTACTCACAAAACCCACTCACTCACCCTCCCAACAAAACCAGAATAGGTTGATCGTGGGTTCGAATCTTGTTCACCCTGATCGTTGGTCTGCCGGCACCATGTCCGTGCTCCAGGGCTTCACTCACTCACTCACACACTCACTCACCCACTCACCCACTCCCCCACTCACCCACTCACCCACTCACTCAATCGTGTCGAAGGTGGTAAACGTTAACCATTGTGAAATACTGCCCGTCATGTTGTAGACAGACCAACAGGTTCATAACATGGACGAACAATGGGAGAACATGAGTGAGTAAGTGTTGTTGTACGCCGCACAAACCAGTGGTTATTTAGCTACCTCCCTGAAGGGGAACCTCCTCCGTGGTGTCGTGATAGAGCGTCCGCCGGAAGAGCGGAAGGTCGGGGTCCGATCCCCGTCCGCGTCATACAAAAAGACGTTGAAAGATGGTACCTGTTGTTACCCTGGCATTAAATGTATAAAACAAGTACTGGTCGGCTCGTGTAATCTGCGCCATGGTGTCTCAGTGGGCTAGCACTAGAAATTTAGTCCAGACTGGTACACACACACACACACACACACACACACACACACACACACACACACACACACACACACACACACACACACACACACACACCACACACACACACACACACACACACACACACACACACACACACACACACACACACACACACACGGCACACACACACGCAACTTGAGTGCAATAATCTTGAACGCGACGTTAAACCCAATTTCACCCAACCAGTTTCACCTGCGGAATAAGGGACAGAGCAGTTCACTTAGCATACCACCACCCTAATGACATTTGATGATATCTCTTCCCATCTATCATTCACTTTTCAATACTTTTCCAAATAGGATTCTGAATCTTCACGAAAACACTAGTCCGACACAAACGGTGTTAAACCCCAATGACTCACTCATTGATCGGGGAGATTCGAAACATACGAAATCACTGATCACTTGTGAGTTTCACAACGACTCATAGTGTACATAGTACATTTACAGACAGAGACTTAACCCCGGAAGTATTTTAGAACATCGCACTTTTCTCGACGTACTCTGGAGCTATGGACACTAGGCGAAGTATGTTTGCCAGATGGGCCCTCCCAAAACAGTTGGCCCCTGTGATTGTGTTACTGTTGACTGTGTGTACAAACTTTGTACATACACGGAATATCCATTTCGGTGAGTATCATCATACAAAAGATTTCATTCGGGACAATTTCATGTTGTGTTTGACATCATATTGTGGGCGCTGGGTCGAGGTGGAAGATAGGTTCACTTTGTGTAGGACACAATGTCATTCAGACCAATTCCTGATTTAAAAATATATGAGCAGGTTTCATTGTGCTGACCCGGATACGTACATGGCGGAGCAAGCAGGGATCAATAAATGATTGTGTCATGCTTGTGTCACGAATTGTGTCAGGAATGTGTCAGGACTGTGTTACGCATGTGTCAGGACTCTCAGGACAGTCAGGACTGTGTTACGCATGTGTCAGGACTGTGTGAGGACTGTCAGGACTGCGTAACGCATGTGTCAGGACTGTGTCGGAACTGTCAGGACTGTGTTACGCATGTGTCAGGACTGTGCTACGCATGTGTCAGGACTGTATCAGGATTGTAGGGACTGTGTTACGCATGTGTCAGGACTGTGTCAGGACTGTGAGGACTGTGTCAGGGCTGTGTCAGGACTGTCAGGACTGTGTAACGCATGTGTCAGGACTGTGCTACGCATGTGTCAGGACTGTGCTACGCATGTGTCAGGACTGTATCAGGATTGTAGGGACTGTGTTACGCATGTGTCAGGACTGTGTCAGGACTGTCAGGACTGTGTTACGCATGTGTCAGGACTGTGTCAGGACTGTGTCAGGACTGTGTCAGGACTGTCAGGACTGTGTCAGGACTGTGTCAGGACTGTCAGGACTGTGTTACACATGTGTCAGGACTGTGTCGGGACTGTCAGGACTGTGTAACGCATGTGTCAGGACTGTGTTACGCATGTGTCAGGACTATGCTACGCATGTGTCAGGACTGTATCAGGATTGTAGGGACTGTGTTACGCATGTGTCAGGACTGTGTCAGGACTGTCAGGACTGTGTCAGGACTGTGTCAGGACTGTCAGGACTGTGTAACGCATGTGTCAGGACTGTGCTACGCATGTGTCAGGACTGTCAGGACTGTGTTACGCATGTGTCAGGACTGTGTCAGGATTGTAAGGACTGTGTTACGCATGTGTCAGGACTGTGTCAGGACTGTAAGGACTGTGTTACGCATGTGTCAGGACTGTGTTACGCATGTGTCAGGACTGTCAGGCATGTGTTATGCATGTGTCAGGACTGTGTCAGGACTGTCAGGACTGTGTTACGCATGTGTCAGGGCTGTGTTACGCATGTGTCAGGACTGTCAGGGCTGTCAGAACTGTGTCAGGACTGTCAGCACTGTGTAACGCATGTGTCAGGACTGTGTTACGCATGTGTCAGAACTGTGTAACGCATGTGTCAGGACTGTGTTACGCATGTGTCAGGACTGTGTCAGGACTGTCAGGGCTGTAAGGACTGTGTCAGGACTGTCAGGACTGTGTTACGCATGTGTCAGGACTGTGTTACGCATGTGTCAGGACTGTGTAACGCATGTGTCAGGACTGTGTTACGCATGTGTCAGGACTGTGTTACGCATGTGTCAGGACTGTGTTACGCATGTGTCAGGACTGTCAGGACTGTGTCAGGACTGTCAGGACTGTGTTACGCATGTGTCAGGACTGTGTCAGGATTGTTCATATATTCGATCGCGAGGGGTAACGGGTATCATATATATTGATACTAAATTACCTTTAATATAGATTATGACGATGTGGACTGCGTGACTGATGAAAGGTGAATGTAGTGTGGATACAACGTGAATGTACTATGAATGTACTGTGAATATATTGATTGGCACCGTGAATGTAATGTGAATATTGTATGATTGTTATGTGAGTATATGAATGTAGTGTGAATGTAATGTGAATGAATGCATTGTGAATTAAATGTGAGTATTAATGTAGTGTGCTTGTTCTGGGATTTTAATTTGAAAACGTACACTGAAGCTAGCGTATAGGTGAGTTGGAATGTAGTGTAAATAAAGGGTGTAAATATAGTGTAGATATAGAGTGAATGTAGTGTGAATATAGTATGAAAGTGTGCATGGAGTGTGGAGTGTAACGTCGCGTTCAAGATTATGGCACTTATATAGCATGAGGTGTGCATGAAGTGTGAATGTAGCATAAAAGTGTGCATGAAGTGTGCACGTAGCATGAAAGTATGCATAAAGTGTGAATGCAGCATAAAAGTGTGCATGAAATGTGAAATAGTATGAATATTGAGTGAATGTAGTGTGAATGGAGCATAAAAGTGTGCATGAAATGTGAATATAGTATGAATATTGACTGAATGTAGTGTGAATGTAGCATTAAAGTGTGCATGAAATGTGAATGGAGTATGAATATTGAGTGAATGTAGGGTGCATATAGCATAAAAGTGTGCATGAAATGTGCATATAGTATGAATAGTGAGTGAATGTAGTGTGAATGCAGCATAAAAGTGTGCATGAAATGTGAACATAGTATGACTATTGAGTGAATGTAGGGTGCATGTAGTGTGAATGTAGCATAAAAATGTGCATGAAATGTGAATATAGTATGAATATATTGAGTAAATCCAGAGTGAATGTAGCATTAAATTGTGCATGAAGTGTGAATGTAGTGTGAATGCAGCATAAAAGTTAGCACGAAGAGTGAATTTAGTGTTAATAAAGCATACAATTGTGCATGAAGTATGAATGTAGTGTGAATGTATCATAATAAGGTGCATGAAATATGAACACAGTGCAAACACATTACCACTGACATTAACTGACAAAGTGTGAACACATTGTAAACGTAGCATGGATAAGGTATGTGAATGTAGTAGCGAAATTCCAACCCATGGCGACTGATTGATATTGCAAACAAGAACAAAATACAATTCACAAGGCAATAATTCTCAGTTAACGGCATGTTTTCCTGCAGGTAAAATCGCCTTTGAATCGTCCTGTGAACGCCAGACTTGGTCCTCGGCAAACAGAACATGCACCGACAAGGGGGGAGAGGTGTTCGGCCTGTCTGACCTGGAGCATGCCTACGGGGGACACCTCAACAAACTGGCCATCCGAGATCACGCAACCATATGGCTGGACAAGGGGGCATACCGTGAGTACGAAACCTTCATTGCACACCTCTCCATCCACACACCCGGAAATTACAAGTCATTTACATTGCTGTTCACAACCTACATTCCATTTACTCGCTCGCACCTCTCAAAACTTAATACAGTTCTTCCCCTGCATCCCCCCCCCCCCCCCCCCCACACACACACACACCCACACACCTCCCCCTCGAAGCCCCCCGTCAAAACATCCAAGCAACAAATGTTTCCGCCCTAAGAGAGTACTGTGGTAAAAACACCTCTACATTTGACTGAATTTACAACGTCAGTAAAGTTATGTGTTGTCAGGTTTGCGAGTTTAAATACCCGATGTCGGCTAATTAATAAACTTTATTGTATTTGCATTCTCCCTAAAAAAGTGTTTCTTTCTTTTTTTCAGAAAATACAACCGAGGGTTGTATTATTTTAACAGGAGAACACATCAGGCTGAACAATAACTGTGAAGAAAAACATTACTCTATTTGCCGTGTGAAAAGTGGTGGGTCTAACGAAAAAGAGTCTTCTTTTTCATCAACGTCTCTTTCTTCCTCTTCTTCTCCTTCTTATTCTTCTCTTTCATCTCCTTCTTCTACTTCTTCTCCTTCTTCTTCTCTTCCTTCTACTTCTCTTTCTTCTACTCCTTCTTCTTCTCTTCCTTCTACTTCTCTTTCTTCTACTCCTTCTTATTCGCTTTCTTCTTCTTGTCCTTCTTCTCCGTCTCCTGCTCCTTCTTCTACTCATTCTTCTTCTCTTCCTTCTTCTCACCTTCTTCTTTTCCTTCTGCTTCTTCTACTACTTCTCCTATTCATTCTTCTCTCCTTCTTTTCCTTCTTCTTCTCCTCCTTCTTCTTCACTTTCTTCTGCTCCTTCTTCTGCTCCTTCTTCTTCTCACCTTCTTCTTCTACTCCTTCTTCTTCCACCTTCTCCTTCTTCTTCTTTTACTTCTTCCCTTTAGTCTGCTCCTTCTTCTACTCCTTCTCACCTTCTTCTTCTCCTTCTTCTTCTACTTCTTCTTCTTCTTCACACCTTCTTCTTCTCTTTCTTCTTCTACTTCTTCTCCTCTTCTTTTACTTCTTCTTCCCTTTCTTCTGCTCCTTCTTCTTACCTTCTTTTCTCCTTCTTCTTTTACTTCTTCTCTCTTTCTTCTTTTGCTTCTTCTCACCTTCTTCTTCTTCTTCTCCTTTTACTTCTTCTTCTTCTTCAAACCTTCTTCTCCACCTTCTCTTTCTACTCCTTCTTCTCCTTTTTCTACTCCTTCTTCTACTCCTTCCTCTTCTCCTTCTTCTCGTAATATTGGATATCATTAGTAATGAACGCTTGAACTTGTGATTACTGAAACGAGTAATTGTGAATAATCCTTTATCAAAATGCAATAAGGTTTAATATCATATTCAGTCTCTGTTTTAATTTAGTCAATAAAAATGCTTATACGTCCATACATTTGACATATATATGTCCATATGTCTGTTTTGTAGATGCTGACTTTATATTCCATAGCAGTGGTAAGTAATCGTGTAGGTTTAACGCTAATGCTCAAGCTTTATGACGGCGGTCTGTAAATAATCGAGTCAGGACCAAACAATTCAGTGATTGACCTAACGAGCACGGATCTACACAATTGGGATACGATGACATGCATCAACCAAGTCAGCGAACCTGGCCACCCGATCCCTCTTGTCGCTTACGACAAGCATGGGTTGCTGAAGTCCAATTGTAACCGTAACCCGAATTTTCACGGGGTTTTCAGTGATCCCAAAAAGAAAGAAAGTGTCAATTGTACCGCTGTGAGTTTACAAGTTCATATTTTTTAAATATTTTTATGTGACCGAACCCTCAGTAATACCTCTACAGAAGCAAATGTAACATGACAAACAAGTGACATCATAATGTCAATACTGACCGATCAATCTGCCTGTATCGGTTTTCACATGGCAGATAGATAGATTTTATGATTGTATCAGAAATGACAAATGTTTCTTCTCGCGGATCTCAAGATGTAATGTCCCGACCAATACAATACGTCATGAAACGTTTACAATATACAGGTAACGTAATGAACATAAATCGTGCAGGTTCAATGCATAATGCTATAATATGCCAACGTTTATGTGTTGGCCAAATAACAACATTGATAAATGTATACAACGTACCTTTTTCACTCTGTTGCTTCATCCGGTGTCTACAGATGGACGTGTACCATACCAAGGATGCAATGGAGGTACGACAAAAGGTGATGAATTAATTTATATTTATCTACTAAAGGACTAACCATATGATATTCTGGGCTGGGTGGGACCGATTTTATCTAAGGAAATAATGTTGCTATATATTTGTCTTTAATGGGAAACAGGCTCATAGCATTAATAAAAAATATCTGGTTTAATCGCTGTAGTTGAAACTATCTCTATTTTTGAGTGTGTGTGTGTGTGTGTGTGTGTGTGTGTGTGTGTGTGTGTGTGCGTGCGTGCGTGCGTGCGTGCGTGCGTGCGTGCGTGTGTGTGTGTGTGTGTGTGTGTGTGTTTATGTGTGCGTGCGTGGGTGTGTGGATGTGTACGCACGCGCGCGCGTGTGTGTGTGAGTGTACGTGTGTGCTTGTATTACTGAAATACTGTTAATGCATTAAACCAAATCTAACTCACTCACTCTCTCAATCTACTTTCAGAGCCTACCAGTATACGACATCCTACCAGTACTCGACATCCTACCAGTAAACGACATCCTACCCGGACACGACATCCTACCAGTAAACGACGTCCAGGCATTCCTGCTACCAGAACAGCCTCTTCATCTCTCTCCTATACTAACAGAAGTATGTTTGTGGTTCCCATGCTATCACCAATAACGACAGTAGGGGCGGTGATGTAGCTTTCTGACATAAGTAGATGTTCGTCGTGGTTCCTACAGTAACTTGATTGCCCACTGTGAAAGTATCGAAATGGAGGCGGATAGTGTAGCAGCCCCTCTGTTTAAGAGCAATGCAAATTTTGTGACGCACAGATAATGTGCTGATGCTTTGATGGGATGACTTGGTTACTGTGTCAAACATATACAGTGAAACCTCTTCAATCTGGATTGTACCGTTCGCAATGAAATCTGCCAAGATTAAGCCATATATACCAAGGGTACAATTATGAAAGGCCCTGAAATCTGGTAAATTCTCCAGCCTATGACAAATATATAAGAATATGTGTAGTGTGCAATGCGATATAAGATAAATGGAATCAACTTGGGATTTCAAGGAATAGCATATGGCTGTCTTGCACCATATGTTCCGTGTTGTTTGCCTTTGCATCGGTTTGTGACGGGGGCCACCGAAGGAGAATCCTTTGTATTAATGTAACATCACAATTTTATAGTGATTCATAAACACATGCTCATGATGTAGGAGGAGTATGTTTGGGCGCTGCTGTGCGGCGTTAGAGACCCGACAGGATTACCCTTTTCGGGAACACCCGATATTCACATAACAAATTTGATCCGTTATTACCACTTTTCGGGAACACCCGGTGTTCACTTAACAAATTTGGCCGGTTATTACCCTTTTCGGGAACACCTGGTGTTCACATAACAAATTTGGCCCGTTATTACCCTTTTCGGAAAAAACATGGTGTTCACATAACAAATTTGATCCGTTATTACCCTTTTCGGCGACACTTGGTGTTCACATAACAAATTTGATCCGTTATTACCCTTTTCGGGACACCCGGTGTTCACATAACAAATTTGGCTCGTTATTATCCTTTTCGGGACACTCGGTGTTCACATAACAAATTTGATCCGTTATTACTCTTTTCTGGAACACCCGGTGTTCACATAACACATTTGACCCGTTATTACCCTTTTCGGGAACACCTGGTGTTCACATAACACATTTGGCTCGTTATTATCCTTTTCGGCGACACCTGGTGTTCACATAACAAATTTGATCCGTTATTACTCTTTTCGGGAACAACTGGTGTTCACATAACAAATTTGATCCGTTATTACCCTTTTTGGGAACACCTGGTGTTCACATAACAAATGTGATCCGTAATTACCCTTTTCGGGAACACCTGGTGTTCACATAACACATTTGGCTCGTTATTATCCTTTTCGGCGACACCTGGTGTTCACATAACAAATTTGACCCGTTATTACCCTTTTCGGGAACACCCGGTGTTCACATAACAAATTTGACCCGTGAAGATCCGGGATAGAATAGGTCTTCAGCAACCCATGCTTGCCGTAAAAGGCGACTATGCTTGTCGCAAGAGGCGACTAACAGGGTCGGGTGGTCAGGCTCGCTGACTTGGTTCATGCATGTCATCGTATCCCAATTGCGTGGATCGATGCTCATAATGTCAATCACTGGATTGTCTGGTCCACACTCGATTATTTACAGACCGCCGTCCTATAGCTGGAATATTGCTGAGTGCGGCGTTAAACAACAAACAAACAAACAAAACATAACAAATTCACCGCGTGCGTAAATTTTGCACCGCAATTTTTCTTCTTCGCCAAATGGAATCTGTTTTGGAAGATAAACGAGACTGATAATTCTCTGGCGTGGACGTTTTATATTTTATGTTTTTTCGCTTATATTTACAGCTATTATCATCTCTGTTGTGTGCATCCTGGTGGTCGGGGCAGGTGTCGTGGCTGTCTGTTATTTCAACGGTTAGCACGATTTTTTTCATTTATTTTACTCCCTCGTCCGCGTCATACCAAAAGACGTTAAAAGATGGTACTTGTTGTCACCCTGCCTGGCGCTCGGCATTGAGGGGCTAACACAATGTCTGTTCTTCTCGGAGTCACCATACTGTGTATGAGTGGAGTATTCATGTTAAAATGCGTCATGTTAGCTCGGTGGGCTGGCACTATCGACAGTAGCCCGGACTAGCACAAGCAGGCACACACACAGAAACACACGTGCATGCACGTCGCTATGTAAGTGCTTTAATCTTGGACGCGACGTTAAACCTCATTTCACCTCACCTCACCTCGTTGAGACAGCTCCTAAAGGCCATTGTCAGAGGATCCAATCGACAAATTGTCCTCCCTCAGTAAATGTTTTCTGGAGGGTTGGTTGGTTTGTTGTTTAACGCCGCACTCAGCAATATTCCAGCTATATGACGGCGGTCTGTAAATAATCGAGTTTGGACCAGACAATCCAGTGATTGACATCATGAGCATCGATCCACGCAATTGGGATCGATGGCATGCATCAACCAAGTCAGCGAGCCTGACCACCCGATCCCGTTCTTCGCCTTTTACGACAAGCATAGTCACCTTTTACGGCAAGCATGGGTTGCTGAAGACCCATTCTACCCCGGATTCTTCGCGGGTCGTTTTCTGGAGGGACGCGGATTACCTAGTGCAGAGATGCGTCTCTTAGTCAGTTATTGTGACAATGATTCTACTGAATACTTCACTGAAACAAAAGTGGTTCTGTTTTTCTGTTCCAGGAATAGGAAAGAAGATGGAACAACAAAGGGAAAGAAGATCACGGAGGCGGTACAGATGTAGAAGACGTTGACGAATGAAAGGGCGCAGCACAAAGTATTGATGAGTGACGGACACAAGTTTGTGTTCAAGGACAACGATAGATAGAGACATAGCTGACAGATATATGGACAGGCACACAACTTTAAGCCTTAAAGGGCGATGCCATGCCACGTTATCTCTCTTAACTTGACATGAATGTAGAAGAAGCATCCTCTACACTACAGCTATTAACGAACTGCGGTTAATCATATTTAGATTCTGTCAGTGTATGTTAACGGATATGTCTAGAGGTACATATATGGAATCACAGCATGGCGGGGCCACGGGTGGCCCAGTCGTCTCGGGCGTGGAATTCGCTGTACAGAGTTGCGTCCCATGGACAGCCCAGAAACCTATGGTCGTGATTTCGAATCCCACTTCGCCCCGATTATTTTTCTAGGTTTGTTAGCACCATAGCTGTGCTCCTGGGTTTCACCGAAGTGGTCAACGTCTGAGACCTGCATCACTTCAGGTTTTCCTCCCTTTTGAAGCTGATATATAACTGGAATAGTGTTCAAAGCGACGTTAAACCTCACTCACTCACTCACTCACTCACTCATATTGAAACCATAAAGAATCCCTTGCGAAAAGTATCCCACACTGAAGGTGTGGTCTTGTGTCTTGAATCTGTAGAGAACTGATACACAAAAGACGACATACAGTGTCACTAAATACATGTGTTAAAAACCCTTTCACGAATAACACGAAATCTCAGTTAAATGCAGTCCATTGTGCGACTCCGAATATATCATAACCATATACAGTAAACTACGGTTACAACGAACTCAAAGGGGCAACTAATTTTAGTTCGTTATAACCGTAGTTCGTTATAAGCATATGTACAGCATAGATACAGCAGTGGCCAGAACAAAAAAATATGCTCGTCATAGCCGTCAGTTCGTTATAAGCGTGTTCGTTATAAACGTAGTTTACTGTAATACATATGCTTTTTCACTATTGTCTCATTTGGTACATATATAGACATCCTGTGTTGATCTGATATCTTAAAGAAAACCTTCGAGCCCTCGTTCCAAGCGCTGCTTAAATCCCTGTCCATTTTCGATCTATTTATCTACTCTGAAAGTATCTACACATACGTCCCAACTGGTAGTTATACAAATTCCAAGAATGCCACTGTGACATAGATAGTGCACTTGTTAGCCCAGGGCTTCAGACCTCTTGGTATCAATCGATGACCTCCATTCAAGCATCTATTTACAGTCGTAGTGCATATATGTACATGGCATTAACACCCATAATGTTCCGAGTTACAATTGGTTTCAGCAACCCATGCTTGTCGTAAGAGGCGACTAACGGGATCGTGTGGTCAGACTCGCTGACCTGGTTGATGCTTGTCATCGTATCCCAATTGCATTGATCCATGCTCATGATAACAATCCCTGGATTGTCTTAGTCAAGACTCGATCATTTACAGACCGCCGTCCTATAAGTGGAATATTGCTGAGTGCGGTTAAACAATAAACTAAACCAAAACAACTTAGCAATAAAAAGGGTTGACTTGAATTGTTGTAGTTAATTGGTGACTTATTTGTATGTTTCATTGTGACATGTTAAAATTAAATTATTGTTGTACAAGCTGACTCAACTTATGTTTTTCACAGCATCTAGTTACACCTGTGCAAAGAGCAAAGCAAAGAGCAATAAGGAAAGGTGAGGTGAAATTGGGTTTAACGCCGCGTCCAAAATTATTGCACTTATATAGCGACGTACATGCACGTGTGTGTGTGTGTGTGGCTGCTTGTACTAGACCGGACTGATGCCGATTTATAGTGCTAGCTCACTGAGATACCATGCCGCAGTTTAACATGAATACCCCACTCAGACACAGTATACTGACTCCGAGCCGACCAGTCCTTGTTTTAGCCCCTTAATGCCGAGCGCCAGACACGGTAAGCAATAAGGAAAGAAATGATGTGACATGAAAACAGTATGGTACGTGTTGAGGTAAACTGTTTGAATATACAAATATGGTGGAACGCGGTCCTGTGCCAAGTCAGGTGAAGTGAAGCAACGTTGGTCGCGTACGATTCGGCAGCTTGGATCCTGAGTGGTGTTTCTAGGGCTTCGGTCTGCCCAACACTGACGCACATGTACCACATGGGCAAGTGACTTTGTTCGAAATAAGAGAGTGTTCACTCAGCAGTGAATGGGTACCTTCTAGCGCCTTACAGGTAGTGTGGATAGTATACCCCTCAGGAAGCTGAGAATGATCCAGTGGCCGGGATTTAATGCGCTGTTCTCGTGATATTCAGCATGTTAAAAGCGCCATACAAATGGACTTTTTTTATTGGGTTCTTTTATTATGTACAGATTAAAAAAGAGACAGCAAAGAGGGATTGAATGATCCTGGTACAGACAGGCTGGTTAGGCTCATCATCAGCTCAGTGCCCTTGCCCCTTCTACACGCAGCCGAAACAGCAAATGGGATTTCTCCGGAGAATGTCTTCGGAGAATGTGAAGACTCCCCAACACTGCAGTCTTCTGCATTACCTAGATTATCAGAAGGGTTGTAGTCCTGGTACTCTCGCAATGTAAGTCAACAGATTGGGAGGCACCGAGAACAATGGGGAGTCGGACAAGTTGCTACTTGGCATTCAGGCGTGACATTTCGAAAGCGAGGTCCGCATATTTGCCATGTTTTTCCTGAATCTTGTCAATCACATTATTGTCAAAAGGGACAGAAAATTCAATGATATAAATGATTTCATTGGATTTATCAAAAAGGACAAGATCAGGTTTGTTGGCCTGGATACGTCTGAGGCTGTATACGGGCCTATTCCAAAGAATTTTGTATTTATCATTTTTCATTACGCGCCCTACATGTTCTGGGTCTTACAATGGATGGACCTCTGTGTCAAAACCACAAGCATGGCGAAGACGGTAATAAAATGATCGAGGTACGCCATCATGTCGCTTAAGATACTGTGTTTGTGCCCATAAACTCGATGCAGTGGTCGTTCAGATCCTTGAAGAACTGAGTCTGAGCCGATTTGATATGGCACTCCGCTTGGTTGACACTCATTTCTGTACCGTCCAGCAGTACAGAACCATCAACAAAATCCACACTGACATTAACATTATGCCCCACATCCTCAGCTCGTTTACGAAAACTGTGGAATGCCTTGTTTTCATCATGAGTCTTGACATGTTTCACAAGAGGATCATCAGACAAATACATATGTGCAAAAGTGCACAATGCAATTCTAGCATAAAGAGCCCCAACGTTAACCAAACCACACCCTCCCATTATGATTGGTAATAGAGGGATTGAGGGAATAGCGAGGGGGGTTGGATCAATTATCTGACATGATTCTTCGTGTGAGGGTGCCAATACCCTGAATTTCTTGTTTCGTCCAATCAACAACACCAAAAGAATATGAAAGGACGGATACAGTCAGGCTGGTTAGGCTCATCATCAGCTCAGGGCCCTTGCCCCCTGCAGCCCAGACAGCAAATGGGACTTCTCCCAGGTCATGCTGCATAGCCAAACCCACCCAGAACTTTTCGGAGAATGTGAAGACTCCTCAACACTGCAGTCTTCTGCATTACCCAGATTGTCGGAAGGGCTGTAGTCCTGGTTGCAAACCCGGGTACCCTACCCATGTATCGCCTTTTACGACAAGCATACGTCCATGAGATAGTCTGGTATAACATATTATTTTTCTATTGTACTCAAAGAACAGCATCCGTATAAAGTTGCTTTAGTTTCGATTACATGATGAGAAACATTAATTATTGACGTATTTCATTCTTTTTCCTTTCTGTTATGATCAATACCCTGGACCCATATTCCACGATAGAAACATTAAATATTGACTCATTTTCGATTATCCAACGGATTATGTGTCCTTTCTCTTAGGATCAATAGCCTTGACCCATTTGATACCATAGCGACCTGTTTACGTGCAAACATGTTTGGGATTGTGATAACAGCTAAACGTGTTTAGGGTCTAAATGTGGGAAAGACCCGTATGCCCCCACCCCTCTTGCAATTCAGTGTCGGGAATTTTAAAAAAGGGCGCTTTCTAAGTTATATTTAATGGGGATACAGAAGTGTGTGTGTGTGTGTGTGTGTGCGTGCGTGCGTGCGTGCGTACGTGCGTGCGTGCGTGCGTGCGTGCGTGCGTGCGCGCGTGTGTATGTGTTTGGTGTATGTGTGTATGTTATTGTATTGTAGTTTTGATTGTTTGTAATGATGCTTTACTGATTCTAATGGTTTCTATACAATTCTGTTTTATTTATATCAATTCACATTTTCCTCGTATTGTTGGAATATCCTTTTGTGTTCACATTGTTAAGCTAGGGGAGCGGTAATCATCTAATAAAACGATATTTTGTGCAATTGTGTCGAAAGATCACATTGGCAATAGCATGATTCTCAGGGATTTCACAATGATTGTTTAACCGTCAGTCGTTGTGTGCAAACAAACCGAAACCAGTTGTGAATTACTATAGTTCCCTATGTGTTGTTTGTGAAATTCGTAATGGTTGCGCCATGATGGACGTGCTATTACGTATATTGCTCTGAGTGTGGGGATTTATTAACTATTTCTGGATGTACGGGATGGGCCAATACACATCCTATATCTTAGAACCCTGTTTTCGAACGGCACTAATTTTAAAACATCCATTTTGATAGTGAGTAGTCACGTTATAACGAGATCTGTGACGTCATCAGCTTACATTCGGCCTGTCAACACTAAGTGGATGTCAAGTTCTATACACCTGTCAGAAGACTTCGTCTTTCAGAATGTTGACCCTTGAAATGTTGAAATGTTCATTGTGAGTGGCTATTTCACATCCATACACTGCAATAAGGTGAGATTGGGTTTAACGTTCTATTCAAGATCTTTAAAAAAAATTAAAAAATTAAATACGAAGTTGCATGGTATCCCTAGCACTATATAGCCTGGACTAGTACAAGCACACATACACACACACGCAGTTGCATATCCATGTTAAACTGCGGTATGGTATCTCAGTGGACTATGGGACTCATACAAGTAGCCACACCAGAGAGAGAGAGAGGCGGGGGGGGGGGGGGGGGGGGGGGGGGGGGGGCGGAGAGAGTTGGATATCCATGTTAAACTAACGCATGGTATCTCAGTGGACTATGGAATTCATACAAGTAGCCACATCAGAGAGACAGAGAGGGGGGGGGGGGGGGGGGGGGGGGAGGAGAGCGAGAGTTGGATATCCATGTTAAACTACCGCATGGTATCTAAGTGGGCTAGCAAGATCACATCGACATTAGTCCGGACGAGTACAAGCAGCTAAACATCCACAAACACGTGCACATGCTATGGACACGACGTTTAACCCCATTCCAGTATGTTCATTAGTCATGCCACAATGTGACTAAACACTTCCGCCCCGTACACCCTCGTCAGGGCAACAAAGGGTACACGCAAGGCAATACACAGACATTTACCGTGTGGTTTCTACCGAATGACAAACTGCTGCAACCACGGAAATTAATTTATCAATAAAGATAATGTCATATGTATAGCTCTTAATGCCGGGTGAAGCATGGTTGGAACACCGCCTGTCTCCGTAAAACAGTGGACGACTATTGTAGTGTTGACGTGTATTTTGGGGAGGAATGGATACAGTATCAACTTCGGTAAGTATTACCCCATATATATATATGCATAAGTAGTAACGCAGGCACTCACACACACACACGCACGCACACACACACGCACACGCACACACACACACACAAACACACATACACGTATAACGTATATATAATGTATATGTATAATATTCATTTTGACGCCTTATATCCGTGTGGCAGGCATCCTCGATGATCCAGGGTGTAATATTTCCATTCTAGTAGGATAAATACCCTTGACCCTTCTTTACATCAGCTTCATTTCTGTCCTATTTTGGGGCGGTGGGGTAGCCTAATGGTTAAAGCGTTCGCTCGTCACGCTGAAGACCCGGGTTCGATTCCCGACATGGGTACAATGTGTGAAGCCCATTTCTGGTGTCCCCCGCCGTGATATTGCTGGAATATTGCTAAAAGCGGCGTAAAGCCATCCTCACTCACTCACTCACTCACTCACTCTGTCCTATTTGAATGACGTAATGTCCAAAACACAATCATGATACCCGTATCAAATACATCACCATTGAATAACCATTTCTTGTTTGTTAAATTTGTAGCCCCCATCAAACACAGGTGTATACTGCCCTTTGGCCGGCAGTTTGCATGAATTCCTCGCTCACTGTCCTGCACCAGTGCATGAGTCATGGCATTGATGTTATTGTTTCGGCGGGAAATTGGCGACTTTCACTTTCAGACTTGGTGTTCTCCGTCGCCTACAGCGTTGTAAGAGATACGTGTATGTCCCGTTGACCCGTTTATTATTTCCACTATTTAAATCTGTGCCTCATTTTCTCGTGTGGGAATTAGGTGTCTTCTGTTTATTTGTTCTTGGGTTTGGATTTTTTAGTTTAGGGTTTGTTTGTTTTGTGTTGTTGTTGTTTGTTGTTGTTTGTTTTTTTTTGGGGGGGGGGTTAGAGGGCGGGGGGGTATTTCTTTGGGTTTAATCAAGTTTTTTGGAGGGGGCTAGGTTCTTTTTGTTCATGCCAGGTCAGGCTTAGCTTATGTTATGTTGTGTATTAATTTGTTTTTGCATATTTTCTTATCAGTAATATTTTAGTAGTAGTAGTAGTGGTAGTAGTAGCAGTAGTAGTAGTAGTGGTAGTAGTAGTGGTAGTAGTAGCAGTAGTAGTTGTTGTTGCTGCTGCTGTTCTAGGTGTTCTTGTGGTGGTGGTATACGTAGTCGTAGAAGTAGGTGGTAGTACTGAGTGGTACATGTTGTAGTAGTAGTAGTAGTAGTAGTAGTAGTAGTAGTAGTAGTAGTAGTAGTAGTAGTAGTAGGAGTAGTAGTAGCATTGGTGGTAGTAGCAGTAGTAGCGTAGGTAAGATAATGTTATCCTTGTTATAAATCATCGTTATTGTTACCATAAGTAGCTGGATTCCTTGTTTTGTAGGCCCAATCATCTTTGAAGGTTCCTGTGAACGAATGTCCTGGCCGTCAGCCGTCACACACTGCAGTATCAGGGGAGGGGCGATGTTCAGCCTGTCTGATCTCGAGCAGGCTTACGGGCTAAACATCAAGTCGAAGGCCACGGAGGAACATCAGCTCATATGGATCGATCACAGGAACAGGGGTGAAGAGCTTTATCGACCTTGTTTTATCCGTCTGGCAATCAATCAGAAATAGTTTCCACGAAGAGATGTATAAAATACACTACTGCTCACAACAACGTACCTCTTTTATCGTCGTACAGTTCCGCACACCACCGCTAATCTTCCACGAAACGATTGCGGTGCCCTTGCGGAAATATAATGGAAATACGCGGAATAAATGCGTTATGTTTGCGTAATAACTGTAGAGTGCCGCTGTGGTTTCATCGCGACATTTCCGAAAAAGGGAGGTAAGTGTGTGGCAGTAGGGTATATAAAAAACATACCGTGCGTTATATTTTATATCAGTTTTATCTTCGTTTCCTGTATAACTCGGGGGCACGGGTGGCCCAGTCGTCTAAGGCGCCTCGATTCGCTGAGCAGAGTTGCGTCCCTTGGCCACGCCAGAAACCTATGATTGTGGGTTTGAATCTCGGTTCGCCCAAATTATTTTTATAGGTTTGTCAGCACCAGTACATGATATGACATGGTATGCCGTGATCGTGGGTTTCACCGAAGCGGTAAACGTCTGAGACCTGCATCATTCTCCCACATTAAGCTAACACGCCGTCATTTAACTGGACTATTGTTAAAAGCGGCGTTAAACCAAACTCACTCAGTCACTCACTCACTCACTCCCGTGTCACTCATCCGATGAAAGGTGTTATGTTACATTGAAATGGGGACGAACTGCCCAGTCATTACTGTGAGGATTTGCGTCCCTTAGATGTGTCAGGATCGTCTGGCCTGGCTGATTGAACCATATACGTGCCTGCGGGTTTGCGCTACATGATTTGGACCATGAAAAGTGACAGGCTGTGATAGAACTGAAATACTGTTCAAAGCTCATTCACTACAAAGTTCGAAATGTCCAAGACCTGCATCGCCTAGGGCCTTTTTCCTCCATGGTGGGGGCGGTCGGGTAGCCTAGTGGTTAAAGCGTTCGCTCGTAACGCTGAAGACCCGGGTGCGAATCCCGACATGGGTACAATGTGTGAAGCCCATTTCTGGTGTCCCCCGTCGTGATATTGCTAAAAACTCACTCATTAACATTTGTCAAGATGACTGTTGTAACAATAATGACGGGAATGTGGCTGCTGAATTTCAGAAAAGGAAAACGTGCAGAACCAGGATTGCTGGCTGTTGTCACACTCACTTCTTCTGCAAAACATGACCTGTAGTGAAGCACAGCACTTTGTTTGTCGTTTGAATGGTGGTAAGTACAATCATGAAAACTTCTGTGCTGCGCCAGGCAACAAATACTTACATTTTTATACAAATTGTAAGAATGGCGGTGCTACCGGTAGGTCAGGGCGTGCTTAACCTTTTAACGAACACCTGGTGTCATCACTGATTTTAGTGATTCATTCAAATAATTTCCACAGCTGTGTGGCCTTTACGCCAAGTGGAATCTGTTTCGGCAGAAAATCTAGTCAGGTTATTCTCTTGCATTGACAATTTTATATTTATAAGCAGTAAAATGTAGGACATGCACTACACTCCAACAACATTAATTTGACGTGCTGTGATATAACGGGAAATTATATATTAAAAACCTCCTTTAACGTATCTCTTTTTATGAAAATGAAATTTGATTCAACGTGTTTCATCTAAGCAAACGATTTTTGATATTGCAATGTAATACTTAGAAAGTACAGTTCGTGCCCTCTTTCTTTTACCACTAGACCCGGAATCGACATGGACGAAATGGGGTGAGATACTGATACCGCTTCTCTTGTTAACGCGTAACAATTCTTATAACGTATACCATTTATCATCCCAAACTGACTTAAACAGGAAAGATCGCTTGGATGAGATCAAGCAAGGAGATGTCGCTTCAAAATACAGAAAACTACGTTTATAACAAATACGCTTATAACGAACCGACGGATATGATGAATTTATTTTATTTTTTTACCCGGCCATTTGCTTTATATATGCTGTACATATCCTGATAACGAACTACGGTTATAATTAGTAGCCTCTTTGAGTTCGTTATAACCGTAGTTTACCGTATTGCATCACAGTTCTTTGCAGACTTCTGTGACGTCGTCGGTTATCATGACGTCACAATTACCAATCCCACTGTCACCGAAGCGATACTTCTCATATTCAAGATTATCAGTGTTTAGAAACTGAAAAGTTGGTTTTGGAGGATAAATAGAATCTCGCCCGAGTGCCTTTGGGCATCAAATATAGGAAACTTTGTCCATGAAAGTTAAATACGCGGGATTTTCTGTAAGACTCGAATTTCATTATTTTTATCAACCCGTGTTGATTTCAAAAGACACTCAGGTGAGATTCTTTGTATGTTTCACCTCTTCAACTTGGTTATTAGCGGTTCACTTGTTGCGGGAAGACTCGGGCTCGATTCTTCTACTGATACAATACAATATGTGAACCCCATCCTAGTGCCGGGGGCACGGGTGGCCCAGTCGTCTAAGGCGCCGCGATTCGCTGTGCAGAGTTTCGTCCCTTGGGCACGCCAGAAACCTATGATTGTGGGTTCGAATCCCGGTTCGCCCCGATTATGTTTCTATGTGTGTCAGCACCATACCCGTGCTCGTGGGTTTCACCAAAGTGGTAAACGTCGGAAACAAGCATCACTTCGGGCTTTCCTCCCAAATTAAGCTGACACGCCGCGGTATAACTGGAAAACTGTTAAAAGCGGCGTTAAACCCAACTCACTCACATCCTAGTGCCCCCTTCTGTGATGTGGCAGGAAACGTGCTTGCCTTGGCTATATTCACTCAATGTAACTATTTATCAGATCTATCTTAGATTTCAGCTGGAGTCACAAATGCAGCATATGTTTCTCTCATCTATGTAATTACACCATCAGGGTGAATTTATATGGAACTTTAACTTTTTATTCAGGTAAAGAGCCGCCTTATAGAAGATGTGAGCAGTCAATGCAAGCTATATCTACCCGCCGTGAGTACATTTGTTTGTTGTTAAACGCCGCACTCAGCAATAATTCAGCTACATGACGGGTAGTCAAATAATAAATAATCGAGTCCAGACAATTTGGTAGTTGACATCATAAGCAATTGGGATACAATGACAACACGCGAGTCTGACCACCGATTAGTCGGGAGACAAGCATTGGTTGATAAAGACCGTTTCTAACACAGAATCTTCATTTTATCGTTTACATTCATATGGACAAGTAGTAGAACTTAGTCCAGTCTGGGTCCAAAGTGGTAAACGTCTGAGACCTGCATCATTTCGGGCTCTCCTCACACATCAAGCTCACACACCCTCATAGAACTGGAATACAGTCAAAAGCTGCGTTAAATCCAACCAATCAATCAACCAACCAACCAACCAACCAAACCAATCTACCAACCCACCCACCAACCAACCAACCAGCCAACCAACCAGCCAGCCAACCAACCAACCAACCAGCCAACCAACCAACCAACCAGCCAACCAACCAGCCAACCAACCAGCCAACCAATCGACCAACCAACCAACCAACCAACCAGCCAACCAACCAACCAACCAACCAACCAATCAACCAACCAACCAACCAACCCACCCACCAACCAACCAACCAACTGGCCAATCAATGAATGAACTTACCTGTCTAAACGAGGAAAACGGACTTATCGCCTTGTGGGATCGTAAATATACCCACCTGTGTAGGCCACATCACACGCATCTAAAAGCCCCTTTGTTATTAATGTCTAAAATAAAGACTGTAAAAATTTTTTTATTTGTTCTGAAAATTGAACTACAAACAACCTAGATATCTAGCGATATACTGGTAAGTCTTAGTTGCAGCTGCTTTTCAGATCCAGGAATGTGTGGTCCCATTGTGGTAGAAGCATTTGCTCGTCAAGCCGAAGGGATGATGTATTGTTTGAAGCTCCATTGCTGGAGTCCCAACCGGTGATATTGCTGAGAGAACACGGTTGGACCTGTGGTCTGAGGCGCCGCAATTCGCTGTGCAGAGTTGCGTCCCTTGGGCATGCCTAAATCCTATGATTTTGGGGTCGAATCCTGGTTCGCCCTGATAATGTTTCCAAGTTTGTCAGCACCATACCCGTGCTCGTTGGATGCGTCGATGAGACCTGCATCACTTCTTGCTTTCCTCCCACATTAAGCTGACACGTTCGTGAAATAACTGGAATACTGTTCTAAGCGGCGTTAAACCCAACCCCCTCACTCACTCACTCACTATTGCTGGATTGTTACTTTAAATACTCCCTTATTTCAGTTCCCCCGAGGACCAGAGTAACCACAGTTTCTCCCCCAAGACGAGGCTACTCAGATACAGGTTCGTACCGGTGTTTGAATGTTCCTTTTACATACATGTATCGCTGAGCTATGCATAAGTAGTGTACAATTGTCGTGAGGCATGTTACCATAGGCATACGAACATGTTATATACAACCATGTAAATATAATTGAACACTGATGATGATTGTTTCTTGTTTAACCCCTCATATTCCAGCTATACAACGGCGGCCTGTAAATAATCCAGTCTGGACCAAACAATCCAGTAATCGATATTGTGAGCAACGATCCATGCAATCCACCAACACTGTTACCAAGCCTGACACCCGATCCATTTGGTCGCCCCTAACGACCAACATGGTAGGGAACAGTTCAAACCTGGAATCCCCACGGGGGAAAATGGGTTGTCACTTCGGTTGTCCCTTGTCACTTGGATTGTCAGTAGGGTTGTCACTTGGGTTGTCACTTGGGTTCTCACTTGGGTTCTCACTTGGGCTCTCATTTGTCACTTTGGTTGTCACTTTGGTTGGGTTGTCTCTTGGGTTGTCACTTATGTTGTCACTTGGGTTGTCACTTCTCTCTTGGGTTGTCACTTGGCCTGTCAGTCAGGTTGTCAGTTGGGTTGTCACTTGTCACTTTGGTTGTCACTTTGGATGTCACTTCGGTTGTCACTTGGGTTGTCACTTGTGTGCGGTGTTAGACAACAAACATATGCATATACCGGCTGGTGGTACATACTTAATTCTTAGTTTCTTGGTGACTGCGGGTAGAACTCGAGACCATACTCGTTCGTGTCATGTACTGGGTTACGGACAACAAACTAAAACTAAAGGATGTTCAGCGGGATGCTGTTGATTTGGAATAAAACTGACACGGAAAAGAGTAACCACAGACCAGCCTCCTCGTTGGGGAGTCGATGATTCAAGTTTCACCAGAGGGAAGAACCTTGGCATCTTGTCCCACGAAGCAACATCAGCTCTGCTGGACGACTAGTGCTAGTTATGGTGGTCTATTGAAACACTTTGTTTTTCGAAACATCACATGGAAAAAACACAAACCTGCAGAAATACAGAACTCAGCAGTTCGCATCACTGGAAAGACCGTTAAACCCAGTAAACACATATTGTATACGCTGTAAACATGCCACGTTGGTATGGAGATAGATGTGTCATATATTTCATTTATCATTTAAATGGTCATTGTACTTTTGCCCATGTATTTATATCACAGGAGCTCTAAGGAGCGAAGCCCACCATAGAGTAATCAAGTTTGTAGTTCAGAGAATGTATACTACTCATGAAAGTTCTGGTTTTAGGTTCTTCTTCTAGTTTCAGGTTCTTCTTCTAGTTACATGTTCTTCTTCTGGCTAAAAGTTCTTCTTCTGGTTTCAGGTTCTTCTTCTGGCTCAGGTTCTGCTTCTGGTTTCAGGTTCTTCTTCTGGTTTCAGGTTCTTCATCTGGCTCGGGTTCTTCTTTTGGCTCAGGTTCTGCTTCTGGTTTCAGGTTCTTCTTCTGTTTTCAGGTTCTTCTTCTGGTTTCAGGTTCTTCTTCTGGCTCAGGTTCTTCTTCTGGTTTCGGGTTCTTCTTCTGGCTCAGGTTCTGCTTCTGGTTTCAGGTTCTTCTTCTGGCTCAGGTTCTTAATCTGTTTTCAGGTTCTTCTTCTGGCTCGGGTTCTTCTTCTGACACAGGTTCTTCTTCTGGTTTCAGGTTCCCCTTCTGGCTCCGGTTCTTCTTCTGGCTCAGGTTCTTCTACTGACACAGGTTCTTCTTCTGGTTTCAGGTTCCCCTTCTGGCTCCGGTTCTTCTTCTGGCTCTGGTTCTTCTTCTGACACAGGTTCTTCTTCTGGTTTCAGGTTCCCCTTCTGGCTCCGGTTCTTCTTCTGGCTCGGGTTCTTCTTCTGACACAGGTTCTTCTTCTGGTTTCAGGTTCCCCTTCTGGCTCCGGTTCTTCTTCTGGTTTCAGGTTCTTCTTCTGTTTTCAGGTTCTTCTTCTGGCTCAGGTTCCCCTTCTGGTTCAGGTTCTTCTTCTGGATCAGGTTCTTCTTCTGGCTCTAAGTTTCCTAAAAGAATGAAAAGTAAGTGTGTGTTTCCTAAACGTATGATAAAAAGTGTGTAAATACTAAACGCGTGTTCAAGTAAGTGTTATGCCATTTAACGCATGAAAAGCAAGTGTGTAATGCCTACATGAATGGAACGTATGTTTGTATTGCCTAAATGCGTGTGAAGTAAGTTGTATTTCCTAAACGAGTGAACATGGCAATATCACGGCGGGGACCATCAGAAATTTGCTTCACACATTGTACCCATGTGAGGCATAATGAGCGAACGCTAAATTTACTTCAAGACTACCACAGAGAAGTAAGTGTGTAATCCCTAAACGCTTGAAAAGTGTGTCTAAATTCCTAAAAGCATGAAAAGTATGTCTACATTTCCTAAAAGCATGAAAAGTATGTCTTAATTTCCTAAAAGCATGAAAAGTAGGTCTTCAATTCCTAAAAGCATGAAAAGTATGTCTAAATTTCCTAAAAGCATGAAACGTATGTCTATATTTGCTAAAAGCACGAAAGTAGGTCTAAATTTCCTAAAGCATGAAAAGTATGTCTAAATTTCCTCAAAGCATGAAAAGTATGTTTATATTTCCTAAAAGCACGAAAGTGGGTCTTCATTTCCTAAACTCATGTCACTCGACAAAACACTATCCATAAACCCATGAGACGCATGTATGTATTTCCTAAAAGCGTGGGAAGTAAGATTCCATTAAAACCTTTGTGTGAAATTTGTGTGAAATTTGCACATAAGACGTAAGTGTGTGTTTCACTAACACGTGTGAAGTGTCTACATGTATCATCACAGCATGAAAAGAAATTGTGCAGTTATTCAATGCTTGAGCAATAGGTTTGCATGTGTGATACGTTAATGCATTAATTTTGAAGTAAGAGTGAATTTGATAAATGCTTCAAATCTTAATGTCGATGTTTTAACAAATTCTTTTATGACAATTGTGTATTTCATTAACACAGCAGAAGTAATTGCATAATTTAAATAATCAACGCATCGATATGTATTGTTACTTTAGTATATAATGTGTTGTATTTGCTTAATTTAGCAAAATTAAGTTTGTATTTCATAAGCGCATCCGTAATAAGGATGTAGCATTAACGCATCAGACGTCAGTGTGAATAGTATTTTATGCTTTTTGATATGTGTATAGTTTAGTCGTTATTTTACTGTGTCCTGAAGTTTTGTTGTGTATTTAAGTCTCACATCAGATTTAATAATCATTGGATTAACTCATGAACACTTAGTGTGCATTGGATTAACTCATCAACACTTAGTATGCATTGGATTAACATATCAACGCTAAGTGTGCCTATGATTAACTGATCAACGCTTAGTATGCAGTGGATTAACTCATCAACGGTTGGTGTGCATTGGATTAACATATCAACACTAAGTGTGCCTATGTTTAACACTTCAACACTCAGTGTGCATTGGATTAACTCATCAACACTAAGTATGCCTATGATTAACACTTCAACACTCGGTGTGTATTCGATTAAGTCATCAACACTTAGTATGCATTGGATTAACATATCAACGCTAAGTGTGCCTATGATTAACTGATCAACGCTTAGTATGCAGTGGATTAACTCATCAACACTTAGTATGCATTGGATTAACATATCAACACTAAGTATGCCTATGATTAACACTTCAACACTCGGGGTGCATTGGATTAACTCATCAGCACTTAGTGTGCATTGGATTAACTCATCAACACTTAGTGTGCATTGGATTAACATATCAACACTAAGTATGGCTATTAACTTATCAGCTCAAAGTGTGTGTTTGATTAACAAATCAACAGCAAGAATTAATTTTAAGTTAAGTGAGTGAGTGAGTTGGGTTTAACGCCGTTTTTAACAGTATTCCAGTTATATCGCTGCGTGTCAGCTTAATGTGGGAGGAAAGCCCGACATGATGCAGGTCTCAGACGTTTACCACTTTGGTGAAACTCACGAGCACAGGTATGGTGCTGACAAACTTAGAAACATGGTCGGGGCGAACCGGGATTCGAACCCACAATCATAGGTTTCAGGCGTGCCCAAGGGACGCCCAGCGAATCGCTGCGCCTTAGACGACTGGGCCACAACGCTCTTGATAACAGCCAACAAATGCCTCATCATTGTTTCTGTCACGGCATCTTCCCGAGGCAAGGGAGTTAACTGATTTTATAAGCCCAGTTTTTACCCTTCCTGAACTAGGCTGGAATTCCTTGGCTCGATCGTAGCGCCGCCAGGGCCACCAGTTTGAATCCCGTTAATCCGACTGGTAGCCTTCAGATTAACGAATGGCAACTGATCATAGTTATGAAACGAATGAAGGAAGACCATGTGTATTTGTAAATGTATTAGAAGTAAGAGTTCGTGTGTACTAGTGAGTTAGTGAGTGAGTGAGTTGGGTTTAACGCCGCTTTTAACAGTATTCCAGTTATATCGCGGCGTGGCAGCTTAATGTGGGAGGAAAGCCTGAACTGATGCCAGTCTCAGACGTGTACCACTTCGGTGAAACCCACGAGCACGGGTATGGTGCTGACAAACCTAGAAACATAATCGGGGCGAACCGGGATTCGAACCCACAATCATAGGTTTCTGGCGTGCCCAAGGGACGCAACTCTGCACAGCGAATCGCGACGCCTTAGACGACTGGGCCACTCGTGCCCCCTCGTGTGTACTAAAACTTCCACCAAACGTAAGCGTGTTGTATTTAAGTAGTATGTAGAAGCAAGCGTTTCCTATTTTAAGTGGAACTAAGTAGGTGTTTCCGAAGTATCATCCCTTTGTTTCTTCCAGTTCTGGTCATATCTATTGCCTGCATCCTGCTGGTGGGGATGTGCGTTGTTGTCTACTGCTTTCTAAATGGTAAGGGGGGTTTCGTTTTTAAGTTTGAATCTATTTGTGTTTGATACTTGCATTTCCCAGAATAAACTGGCCAACAATGACAAAAGTCAATCTGATAAAGAAGTGAAGAAAGTCAGTCAAGTTTCGGAAAAAAGCAAAATTGCGGTTCGTACGAGCCCACTTTTAACTCCTTGGATGCCCAAGGGACATAACATATCTATATGTCCTTGCTATTCAGCCCTCATTTTGAAGTCGAATATATGCGATACTATTCGTATCCATATAAGCCAATGCAAACTTATTGTAAAGAGGGCGGTCGGGTAGCCAAGTGGTTAAAGCGTTCGCTCGTCACGCCGAAGACCAGGATTCGATTCCAGACATGGGTACAATGTGTGAAACCCATTTCTGGTGACCCCCGCCGTGATATTGCTGGAATATTGCTAAAAGCGGCGTAAAACCATACTCACTCACTCACTATTGTAAAGAACTTCTTTGGTACAGTGTAAATATCGGTACTTTTTACTTTTTTCGAAATCACCATTCGCAGCGTTATTGCATGTATGTCTTGATATCAAAATAGGGTATTTGTACCCGCAGAATTCAATATGACAAATATCACATCCATGATCACAAATATATGCGCGTTATCATTTGCATCTTGGAAATTCATCTGGAGACCCGAAAGCGTTAGCTTGAGGAGCTCGAATGAAAATTTCCAAGATGCAAATACTCGATAAAATCCCGGAAATAGACACACACATAATATTTATCGATATTGTAAACCTATTTTTTTATTTAGAAAAAAACATGCGCACTCTTTAACACCTCGTACTTACTCGGTTGTGAGGCGTCAACATCGAACGTTCTGTTGTTGCTATGGTGATTGTGATTTTGGTAATTATTTCATTATAATTTTATATAAGAGATAAGAGTTGTTGCAAAACAGATTCATTCATTTCTGCAAATATTTCTTCTGCTGAAGGCAGCGAGAAATTAATTTCCTGAGTCAGCTGAGCCATGGCGTCCATGTTAATTAGTATGCAAAAATGCTGAGTAATTATTCCTACACAGTGATTCGGTCGCTAGCTTCAGGGAATGCAAATCATATTTTCACCCTTTGACATTTGGTCATGTGACCCAAATTAGCCAATCAAAATGAACACACTTTCTATAGGTTTACAATGCACCAATAATCACCCTCAAACGTCGCCAGTGAACCTAGAAGCGTGTAGTGTTTTAAACAAATAACAATACGCAAATTGTCAATATTGATTTTGATTTTTTTCATGACACATTTATGCATATATACCCTATCTGATTGAACGAAAATCCTCTTCTGAACATCCCGGCCACGTGTTGTTAATGAACACGTGACCCGTGAAGATCCGGGGTAGAATAGGTCTTCAGTAACCCATGCTTGCCGTACTGCTCTTTCTCTTTCCCTTACTGTGTTGTCAGATAATTGAGACTGGTGTACTAGTATTCACTTACATTGACGTTTATATCTATACTTTTATGCTACATAATGTGATTAACAGAATAAGTTCATTATCACAGTTAGTTTTGCCTACCCGTGAAGATCCGGGGTAGAATAGGTCTTCAGTAACCCATGCTTGCCGAACTGCTCTTTCCATACTCTTACTGTGTTGGCAGAAAAGTGAGACTGGTGTACTAGTATTCACTTACATTGACGTTTGTATTTATACATTTATGTTACATAATGTGATTAACAGAATTAGTTAATTATCACAGTTAGTTTTGCCTCTGAATATACAGGTTGTAAATCGTAATATTTGATCTTAACGTTTCCTTCCCCTCTATGTTCGCGGGTATGTATCATGATAGATTACATTACCTTATTCAGGCGCGCTGACTTGGTTGATGCATGTCATCGTATCCCAATTTCGTGGATCGATGCTCATGATGTCAATCACAGGAATGTCTGGTCCAGACTCGATTATTTACAGACCGCCGTCATCTAGCCGGAATGTTGCTTAGTGCGGCGTTGAACAACAAACAAACAAACAGTGAACACGACCTTTGTGAAAGGTGGCATACAGTGAAGTCGTTGTACATATTCAGCTTATTTCTTTGAGGTGAAGGTCGGGTGAATACAGTACACACAAGTATACGGCGCTCGTGTTTTCATATTTTCTTAAACATGCTAAACGATTCTAGGGTTATGGGCCACGTTTAAGAATGGGATTTTGATAATTCACAGACACCCTTGATTACTAAAGTGGTATTTTTTGTAAATGAATACTTCGAGTAAATATCCTATATTTTGATTTTTAATTAAATAGATATCAACGCATTGTCGCAAGTATGTGTGGATGACGTCATCCATTGTTTAATGTGACGCCGCTCCAACAATGGATTGACCGTTTTATTCTTTTTCTTTAGAAAATAAATATGGTGGACACTAATACCTAGAATAACGTACTCAGAATGATCGATTATCTATCCCTCGTGAAACATTGTAAGAACTTCTCCAAATATTTTTTTCAGGGCAGATATGTGAATAGCTAAGCAGACTAAGATGTGGCAATAGGTGTGATATGAATAGCCTCGTGTGAATATCAAATAATGATATGATTTTTAGTTGTGTTACTTTTATATATCTTTTGTTATTAATAGTTGTTGCAATTAATGACATTATTCTCATTCCAGATATTGGGAAGAGGATAGGAGTTGAAAGGCGATGCTCCCATCGAAGACACAGGAGACGTTACTGAGCTGATGAAGTGGTTGTTCTGGTCCGTTTGGCCGACAGTGATAAATGAATGGGGAATGAGTTGCGTGTTACACCGCAACGAACAGTATTCAGTTATATCTCGACGTGTCAGTTTTATGTACGTTGAAAGTAGACCCTTACCATTTCATCGTAGTGAAACTTATAATCAGTGCGAATTTGGGATTCAAAAGCACGATCAGCGGATCCTTGCGCGACTAAGGGAAGTAACCCTGCACAGAGAATTATGATGTTTAAACCGATTGTGCCATCCGTACGCGTCCCCCTCCAGGTAACAGAAGAGGCGTCTGAAATACTGTTTCCTATCACCAAGTGTGCATTGACTCCGCATAATGTTTCAGAAGGTTGTATTATCTAGCCTAAGTTTAACATGATATTCTCGATAAACGTCAATGGAAGACGTTCCAACAGTTTGTGGCTTGTCGTAAAATGCGGCTATTTCTGATCAGGTGGCAGGCACGGTGACTCGCTTGACTGTGTGTCATTGTACTGTGACAGAATTGAACGTTGCTCATAATATCAATCACAAGTTTGTCTGGCCCAGATTCAATTATCTACATGCCTCCTTAGCTTGCATATTGTTGTTTGTGGCGTTAATACAAGAACAAGACATACAATAGTCAAAGTACTACCTTTCTTAGTGTTAACGTGGAGCTATTTACACGCGTCCCCTCTACACTGTATTGCTTCATGTGTAGTAAGGGGCGGTCGGGTAGCCTAGGGGTTAAAGCGTTCGCTCGTCACGCCGAAGACCCGGGTTCGATTCCCGACATGGGTACAATGTGTGAAGCCCATTTCTGGTGTCCCCCGCCGTGATATTGCTGGAATATTGCTAAAAGCGGCGTGAAACCATACTCACTCACTCGTGTGTAGTACTATTGTTGATGATTGTTAACCTTGAATTGTTTCTTTCAACACATGTAAACTATATTCTTAGTGTTATACTTTAGTTTACGATGTTGTTGTTGTTGTTGTTAAGAAAGATCAAGTGAAATGGGTGCTCTATCATTAGTATTGTATGTCTGTAGAAAATAGTTCAATCTCGCCTGAAGTCGACAGTCACGTGGGTTTATGCTCTTGGATTCCAGGATTGTATCGAACATGGATAAATTTTCAATGTGGGAGTGACCACTCGTCAGTATTTACGTATGTAGATTACTTTTGATTGTAATGTGTTGTGTGGGATTCAGTCGGATTATGTTGGATTGTATGTGATTTGCAACATATTGCAATGTTTGTATTATATTGTATCAAAGTTGTTGAATATTATGCGTTTTTCAGTAGAATGTCTGTAATGAAATAAAGCCGATATTTGAAATCATGTGTTTATGAATTTCCATCAAATAGTGATGACACCAGGTATTCGCGAAAGGAAAAGCGTGTCCATCCTCATCGGTGGTACCCGTCACAAACACATGCAAAGGCACATTAAGTTAAACACATGTCATGACATGGGTGAACTCTCATTGAGAAAATATATACTCCACCATGAGGAACCATTTCCATGTGCGTGTTTTATCCTAGCCTTGCTCAAAGGCTGTACTGAAACATAAGTCCATGGATGTGTAGTAATCAATCCACCAAAAAGGCAAGTCCGGATAAGTGAGTCAGTGAGTATGGTTTTACGCCGCTTTTAGCAGTATTCGAGCAATATCACGGCTGATGACACCAGACAGGGCTTCACACATTTTACCCCACATTGGGAAACGAACCCGGGTCTTCTGCGGGTCGAGCGAACGCTTTAACCACTATGCTACCCCACCAGCCCTCCAGATAAGCGGTACATCTGAGGACGCCAGTCTCTTGTACGGACAACTTGTTCTTATTATTTATATAGTCTAGAAAATGATTATGTAAACTGCTAATTATGGACTTAGAGACTTGTGCAAGTCTAGTTTTACCCCTATGTTTGCAGTGGTTGTACAGAATGAACACAGACATCAGAATCCACGGGTAGCTGGCGATACAGTCACTTTGATGTAGTAGGACAGGCAGCTGTAGTAGGACAGGCTTTCATTATGCCGGACTGCTTTAGAATAAGGACATTTCTATTTCGGTGCATAATCGAGACTGGTTAGTCTCTGGTTGTGACGTTTTATACTTTACATTTACAAATGAGATACACGTCTGGTCACCTTATATATTAAAATTAACTTGTGGTAGTTTTGTTTGTTTCTTTTATAATCCATCTTAACGACGGCGGTCTGGACCAGACAATCTAGTGATTGATATCATGAGCATCAATTGGAATACGATGACATGCATCAACTAAGCCAGCGAGCCTGACCACCCGTTCTCGTTAGTCGTCTGTTACCTTGTGGTAGTGGGGTAATGCTAAGTCATCACTGCGGAGGAGGGTGTTCGAATCCCATTTAAATTATCAACGATTTATAACCAATCAGATTGCAGCACATAAACCCATAAATTTTACAGTAGGCCATCAACCATTGATCAGGATCAGACTCGGTTACTTACATTACATATAGCTGGGTAATTACATACATATAGCTGCGGTAATAAGCTACACATTTTTACGACACATTTTGATATTTACACGATATACGGCTTTTCCATTGCACGAGAGGCCGGTCACACTAGTACTTTACTTTACTAGTATACGTTTTTGACAAGATTGTATTCCTGAAATGATGAAAACACTGATCTAAGAAGGATATTATTTTAATCTATTTGTTTAACCAAACTACAAAATATGTTATTATGGAGCAATTTTAGCATACATACGCTCGGGCCCCCTCTCCTTTTGAGGAACCGTTTCGCGAACACCTGGCATCATCACTAATTAATAGTGATTCATAAACATGCTTATATTAAGACAAAAATTAGTATTTTTAATCTGCCTATGTATACGTACATCTATATGTATTGTTAAGTGTTAGACAATGGGTGGGATTTTGGTATTGTTATATGCCGCATTGATCAACACGTTTTCTCCAATTAGCGGTAAAGGTAGGATTCAAGTAAATATAAATGCATGTGCACTTATTAGTAGTACATTATTATATAAAGTTACAGTAGAGATCCCAAACCCTCTGTCCTATACAAATTATAAGCTGTAAATGATAAGATTACTAAAATAGTTTGTTTATTTAGTGAACGGGGGCACGGGTGGCCCAGTCATCTAAAGCGCCGCAATTCGCTGTGCAGAGATGCGTCCCTTGGGTACGCCTGAAACCTATGAACGTGGGTTCGAATCCCCGAGTTCAAGGTTTGGCAACACCAAACCCCTGCTCGTTGGCTTCACCAAAGGAGGAAACGTCTGAGGCTTACCATTTCACAGTAGTGAAACTTAAAATCAGTGCGAATTTGGGATTCTAAACCACGATCAGCGGATCTTTGCGCGACTAAGGGAAGTACCCCTGCACAGAGAATTATGATGTTTAAACCGATTGTGTCATCCGTGCCCGACTCCCCCCCTTACTACCTTTCTTTGCGTTAAGGTGGAGCAATTTACACGTGTCCCCTGTACATTGTATTGCTTCGTGTGTAGTAAGGGGCGGTCGGGTAGCCTAGGGGTTAAAGCGTTCGCTCGTCACGCCGAAGAGCAGGGTTCGATTCCCGACATGGGTACAATGTGTGAAGCCCATTTCTGGTGTCCCCCGCCGTGGTATTGCTGGAATATTGCTAAAAGCGGCGTAAAACCATACTCTGTCACTCACTTATTCTGAAACATGGACCCAGTTTCGCATCGAGCGGAGTCATGTTTCTTTCAAGTGACAGTTTAAATCTGACTCACGGTCACAATGGTGTGGGTTACCGATACAATTGAGTGAAGCAGGAAACAGCCATACCCGGACATGTAATTCAGTGGTGGGACAGTCGAGTGCTTGTAGCTGTTGCTAGAAGTAGATCATGGCCGGAGCTCTCACGATCCTACGGTGGGGTAACGCTGCTTCCCTGCTTCTGGTTCTTTCTTGGCATGCGTGTACAAGTCAGAATGGTATGTACACATGACAATGTGACTTTGATTCTTTTGATGGCTTGTCATTGGGAGGGTGTTTATTACCGAGGTACTTCGACTTACGTCTGTCCGTTCTTGGCATCACCTTTCTTATGGTACCATCACTATTTGACAGTGATTCATAAAAAACATGTCGGAATTTCACAGTTGACTCTGCTTTTAGCAGAGATTACGTATTGTGGTTGTCCCTATTTCCTTCGCGTGAAGATCCGGAGCAACCAATGCTTGCTGTAAGAGGCGACTATGCTTGTCGTAAGAGGCGACTAACGGGATCGGGTGGTCAGGCTCGTTGACTTGGTTGAAGCATGTCATCGATCCCAATTGCGTGAGACCCGTGAAGATCTAACGGGATCGGGTGGTCAGGCTCGGTTGATGCACGTCATCGTATCCATCGATTATTTACAGACCGCCGTCGACCGCCTCCGTGGTCTAGAGGTAGAGCGTCCGCCCGGAGAGCGGAAGGTCCGGGGTTCGATCCCCGGCCGCGTCATACCAAAAGACGTTAAAATATGGTACTTGTTGTTACCCTGTCTGACGCTTGGCATTAAGGGGATAAAACAAGGACTGGTCGGCTCGGAGTCAGTTTACTGTGTCCGAGTGGGGTATTCATGTTAAACTGCGGCATGGTATCTCAATGGGCTAGCACTATAAATCGGCATCAGTCCGGACTAGTACAAGCAGCCACACAAACACACACAAGAACATGCACGTCGGTATATACGTGTAATAGTCTTGGACGCGACGTTAAACCCCATTTCACCATCACCACAGACCGCCGTCATATATCTAGAGTATTGCTGAGTGTGCCGTTAAACAACAAACCAACTCTTCTGTTTTTTCACTTTGTGTTTGTGCTGGTATCGATGAAATATTAGAACATTGTGTACATGGTGTACAAGTTATACAACTAAGTAGTCATCTGAGGCGCCGCATTTCGCTTTGTGGACTTGCGTCCCTCAGACACGCCAGAAACGTATTATCGCGAGTTCTAATCGCGGTTCGTCCTGATTATATATCTACGTTTGTTAGCACCATACAAGTGGGTTTCAGCAATATGGAAAACGTCTCAACCTGTTTCGCTTTCCTCCCACATCAAGCTGACACGCCGAGACATAAACGGAATATTGTTCACTCGCTCATTTATTTCACGAAAACGTGTGTCATAATGTTTCTATTTCCCTAGCTTTATCGACGGGGGGACGTGACTCTGACAAGGGTTTCGTAACATCAACAGAGCACACATACCAAACTGATTCAATCAATTAATCATGTAACTATTTTCGTTTACTGAACGGTCATTGGTCCATAGTGTTTATTACATTTCATTGGTGGTAGCTGATAAACACTGATGTCCTCACCATCTGATAGTGATTCATTAACACATGCTTATGATATGTAGTGTTCGCCCGATGCCCTCTGATTTGAGTAGAGATTTTTTTATGATTATGGAAATGTTTTTGTCGGTATTTATTAATGTATGTATGTATGTATGCATATATATATATATATTTTTATATTTATATTTATATTATTTTGTTGTGTTAAACATTGTATGATTGACAAACATAGATACATAGATACTTTGCGTAGTTTCCAGAGCTTGCAAACATTATATTATAACAAATATCACAATGTCGTGTTCCTAGTCAAACATATTTTCACAGTACGCATACTAGCTTCATTAGCATAGAGCTAGTATATATGCGTACTGTGTAAATATGTTTGACGAGGAACACGACTTTGTAATATCTATATTTATAATATATTGTTTGCAAACTCATTAGCATTCGGGATCGGGTGGTCAGGCTCGCTGACTTGGTTGATGCATGTCATCGTATCCCAATTGCGTTGATCGGTGCTCATGATGGCAATCACTGGATTGTTTATTTACAGACCGCCGTCATGTGCGCGGCGTTAAGCAACACACAAACAAACAAACAAACAACACAGACCATAAGCATGGATTTAACATTGGTGTCTTTATAACGTCTAAAGAAGTATCAGTTCTATAGATCGCTAATTATCACACATCTATTGCAATGGAGTCTGAACTGAAAAAAATCATATTTCAAAACCACAATGAAATCTAGGCAGTCAAGTGTCGAACATTATAATTTTATAAACAACTGCGATTTTACGAAGGATTTGTTGGTCACGCGATATTTTCTATTCGCTAGGATCGTCACATATGCATTTGCATTAAATATTGAGCTTGCAATTCTGCATATCCAATTACTCTATAAAAGGGGTTAGTTGAATAAACAATAATAAATAAATTGAATCAGTATTGCAATTAATATACAATAAACCCATTCGTAATGGATATACAATTTGACAATATCATAGAATATAATCGTATTCGGTAGTTATTCCTTAATTACTTAACCAAATGTCTTTATGACAGGTGTAAATGCACAGTTGTGTACCTTCGTCGTGCCAGGATCCGCTATCAACACATTCACCGCTATAATCACCATTGTACCGTCTAAACTGTTCTTGGGGTTAGTGGGGGATACTAGAAATGGGCATCGCAAATTGTTCCCATATGGCTGCAGAAACACATACGACGTGTGTCTTTAATCAGGGAATTCGTTTTAACGACTGATGATTATCATGATGGTGACTATGATTTAGCATATTTTAATTCTTTACCACACTGTGACCTTTGACCTTTGGGTTCTCTGGGTTGTTAAACGTTAATTCTGTGTACACTGTCCGAGTAGTAGGGTTACGTGGTAACGCTTACAATTACAGAATTCCGAGCCGATTTGACTTTGAAACGTTTATTTCTGTCATTTCTGAGCCTTGATTTGTCCTATGTAGTAAAGGCGGTCGGGTAGCCTAGTGGTGAAAGCGTTCGCTCGTCACGCCGAAGACCCGGGTTCGAATCCCGACATGGGTACAATGTGTGAAGTCCTTATCTGCTGTCCCCCGCCGTGATATTGCTGGAATATTGCTAAAAGCGGCGTAAAACCAAACTCACTCACTCACTCCTATGTAGTAGATACGTGATGAACTAAACAAATTGTGTTTGTGCGTATTTAACCTTGTCCCCCGTTGTGAACTTTGACCATGGCAGCCATATGGGATGAGTACTGTGATAAACAACCCAATTTCAACCTTTGACTTTTGAGCCTCTGCCCTGTTTCCATGTACTAAGATGCAACTTGAATATCGTGCTGTAAGGATTACATGTATTTTGGGTTTTGTTCACCCTGTCAAGAATGTTTTGATCAAAGCCTGGTGTCCCCCGGCGTGATATTGCTGAAATTTGCTAAAAGAGACGTAAAACCATACACACCCCTGATCAAATACAGTTTCCAGAGACAGACAGGTGAGCAACAGAGTGTTCAATAAAAGTATAAATTGCAAAACGCAGTTTGAACATTCGTTTATTAGATCGTCTCTTGTATAGGAGGGTTGAGAAAGAAATAAACAATGAAAAGTAAGGTGTTATATAACAGATATATCCATGCACAAAGAGAGGGGTCGGGCTTACACAGTAATTGTACGATGATACCCAGGCAGATCGTGTAACCAAATGCACCACGTCATCGGTGTCTCCTGAAACAATATCGGAATGACGAACTGCACCTTTAGGAAACTAAACGTCAATCATGATGCTTGTATGTCTACGAACAGCTCACTAGATGTTTTAATAAGTAGCTCCTTTTGATATAACTGACATACACTGTATTTAACAATCAGTAGAATATTACCTAAGGTAGAAAGATGGGGCGAAATAACTCTCCGATGTTTGCACATATGCGTCTTTCTCATGGCTGTTTCATCAGTTGAAGCCATATGAGTGAGTGAGTGAGTTGTGTTTAACGCCGCTTTTAACAGTATTCCAGTTATATCACGGCGTGTCAAGCTTAATGTGGGAGGAAAGCCCGAAGTGATGCAGGTCTCAGATGTTTACCACTTCGGTGAAACCCACGAGCACGGGTATGGTGCTGACAAACCTAGAAACCAAATCGGGGTGAACCGGGATTCGAACCCACAATCATAGGTTTCTGGCGTGTCCAGGGGACGCAACTCTGCACAGCGAATCGCGGCGCCTTAGACAACTGGGCCACCCGTGCCCCCTGAAGCCATATGACTCCACATTGCTTAATTGTTGAAAACAAAACATGGTTCACAAATTGATTGAATTATCATCCGAACAAAATTCTTTTAGTGAAGTTTATCTGTGTGGTTGATATTTTATACGTGTTTCATTATTTTCAATCTTAAGATGACAATGTGATATAAAGACCTATCGGAACTATCTGTCCCTCGTGAATGAATGCTGTGAGTCCCTCTCTAACACCATTTATTCATTCGGGACATACTGTACAACCCGCAGTTCCTCCGAGCTTGATGTTTATTTGCATTTCATTCAAAGTATTCCAAAAAATTGAACGAACCTTTTCTGTCCATTTGTATGCAGAACATTTAGCTTTCCAGTCTTCTTGCGATCCCGCCAACTTCTCAACAGCCGAAGCCAAGTGTCTCGACCAGGGAATGCAACTTTTCAGCATCGATGATTTAGCAATAGGCGGGGAGTTTAGTGTCGAAGCACAAGAAGACCATACATCAATATGGATTAGTGGTAAACTGTCATATTTCCATCTTTTACAATGCGATTATATGAGCCTCTTATCAATCACTTACATATGACCTCGAAATAAATAATAGGTATGGGTGATTACTTCAAAACAATGGAAAGGATATTGGATCCCTAATGTTTATGAAGTGACATTGACAGATCTTGTTGGTTTGGTTCACAAGTATGACACTGAAACGACTGGGACTTTTGATGGTCCTTTGTGATCAGAGTACAAGGCTGACTCACACAACCCCCTTTGCCTACGTCAGTATGTATGTTCACTGTGTTTGCCGTACAAGGCTGACTCACACAGCCCCCTTTGCCTACGTCAGTATGTATTTTCAGTGTGTCCGGCGTACTAGGCTGACTCACACAACCCCCTTTGCCTATGTCAGTATGTATGTTCAGTGTGTCTGGCGTACAAGGCTGACTCACACAACCCCCTTTGCCTATGTCAGTATGTATGTTCAGTGTGTCCGGCGTACTGGGCTGACTCACACAACCCCCTTTGCCTATGTCAGTATGTATGTTCAGTGTGTCTGGCGTACTAGGCTGACTCACACAACCCCCTTTGCCTATGTCAGTATGTATGTTCAGTGTGTCTGGCGTACAAGGCTGACTCACACAACCCCCTTTGCCTATGTCAGTATGTATGTTCAGAGTGTCTGGCGTACTAGGCTGACTCACACAACCCCCTTTGCCTATGTAAGTATGTATGTTCAGTGTGTCTGGCGTACAAGGCTGACTCACACAACCCCCTTTGCCTATGTCAGTATGTATGTTCAGTGTGTCTGGCGTACTAGGCTGACTCACACAACCCCCTTTGCCTATGTCAGTATGTATGTTCAGTGTGTCCGGAGTACTAGGCTGACTCACACAACCCCCTTTGCCTATGTCAGTATGTATGTTCAGTGTGTCTGGCGTACAAGGCTGACTCACACAACCCCCTTTGCCTATGTCAGTATGTATGTTCAGTGTGTCTGGCGTACAAGGCTGACTCACACAACCCCCTTTGCCTATGTCAGTATGTATGTTCAGTGTGTCTGGCGTACAAGGCTGACTCACACAACCCCCTTTGCCTATGTCAGTATGTATGTTCAGTGTGTCTGGCGTACAAGGCTGCCACACACAACCCCCTTTGTCTATGTCAGTATGTATGTTCAGTGTGTCTGGCGTACTAGGCTGACTCACACAACCCCCTTTGCCTATGTCAGTATGTATGTTCAGTGTGTCTGGCGTACAAGGCTGACTCACACAACCCCCTTTGCCTATATCAGTATGTATGTTCAGTGTGTCTGGCGTACAAGGCTGACTCACACAACCCCCTTTGCCTATATCAGTATGTATGTTCAGTGTGTCTGGCGTACAAGGCTGACTCACACAATCCCCTTTGCCTATGTCAGTATGTATGTTCAGTGTGTCTGGCGTACAAGGCTGACTCACACAACCCCCTTTGCCTATGTCAGTATGTATGTTCAGTGTGTCTGGCGTACAAGGCTGACTCACACAACCCCCTTTGCCTATGTCAGTATGTATGTTCAATGTGTCTGGCGGACAAGGCTGACTCACACAACCCCCTTTGCCTATGTCAGTATGTATGTTCAGTGTGTCTGGCGTACAAGGCTGCCACACACAATACCTTTTGCCTCTGTTAGTCTGTACGTTCACCGTTCGATATATGTTATAAATTCTTGCATACTGTTATTCACTTTTTCAAAAACAAGGAAGGAACTGTTCTATCCTGAAGTTATCCAAATTCACCGACGTGAACTGCAGCGAACAACACCATTATCTTTGCAAACGGAATGCTTGTGAGTTATTTCATTATCCTTCGTATTTTAGAGATATATAGACATGATGCATGATCAACTGTAATGAGTCCCATAAACCACAACATCATGTCATCAAATAATCTGAAGCAAATTATCGACCATCAACTCATAGATCTATATCATTTGTTTTTGCAGCAGTGGAAGAATTGCCAAAGAATGGTTAGTAACTTATTTTGATTAACTTTGTTATGTAACATCCCATGACAGCACAGTAGACACAATTTATCGGTACAGCTTCTTATTTTCCTTAAATGGCGACGTTTCGGTATGGATCCTTATGTCAAGCAACGATACAGGGATACTTTAACAAAGACTTGTATGAGTCCCGAGGTGCTCAGGCACGATGTTCGGTTTGGTTGATTGTCAACGTACCCGACGGTGAAGAGCGTTGCTCATAATATCAGTCACTGGATTTTCTGGTCCAGACTCGATTATTTTCAGGCCTCCGATATATAGCTGGAATATTGCTGAGTGCGGCAAAATCGAAAGGATTTGTGGGAGGGGGCACAGTCGTTGCCATAAAAAATGGATTTTGAAACAGTTTAAACATATCCAGCATGGTACAGTTACATATGTCATAACACATGGCCATTTAACGGTGTTCCCCAGCCGTGATATTGCTTGAATATTGCTAATAGCGACGTAAAACCATATTCACTCTCTCACTCATAACACATGTATCATGGTTGTACATTTATACAAATGTTTATATTCATGTTTATGTTTATACAGGTACAGATAAACGTGCAATCTATGTCCCGTGCAAAGCCACTTCAGTTTGTAAGTTAGATATATTTTACCTTACTTCATCAAGACACATAGATTGGTGCAACGTGTGAACCCTACTTCTCCTGTCCCCGGGGGCATGGGTGGCCCAGTCGTCTAAGGCGCCGCAATTCGCTGTGCAGAGTTGCGTCCCTTGGGCACGCCAGGAACCTATGATTGTGGGTTCGAATCCCGGTTCGCCCCGATGATGTTTCTAGGTTTGTCAGCACCATACCCGTGCTCGTGGGTTTCACCGAAGTGGTAAACGTCTAAGACCTGCCTCACTCCGGGCTGTCCTCCCGCATTAAGCTGACACGCCGTTATATGACTGGAATATTGTTAAAAGCTGCGTTAGACCCAACTCACTCACTCACTCACTCTCGTGTCCCCAGTCGTGATATTGCCGGAACATTACTAAAGCGGCCTCGAACATGACTAACTTACTACATTAGACTTGGATTATACACTGCATATCTATTTAACAAGGAATCCTTTCTCCTTGGCAAGGTGATAATTTAATGCCAGTCACCCTCCCTCTACATAGTCTCACCAGACTTAGTAATAGGCATGTGAAGAAACAGCAACATTTCCAACCTTGGAAACAACCTGAAAAGACTTATCTTTTGAAAGTGGTATTTTCGCTAGGAAATCCATTTTTTAAGTGAGGAAAAAATTTAAATATTTGAAAGAGCCTTTTTTCTTTCTGCGCGATTTCTTACAATTGTATTCTGAACAAAAATAGATTATTATCCATACGCATTTAAAACTAACAATGGCTGGTTCTTGTAAAACGTTTGTTTCCTGATTTACAGGAAACAGAAAAATGTACCGTTTCTTTTTAACTCATGGTAAGCCTGTCCTACCCTAATATGTAACATACATCCTGATGGAATGAGTGTCTTGTATCCTGTTATACTTGTTTCTTCCTGTTGTAGCTCCACTGTCCTCATCAACTCCGCTGCCCGTGACCACAACGAACACAAGCACAACTACCTCATCATCCACGGGTAGTCCAGGAATGTCAAACAAAGGTTTGTTGACGACGCAAAAAGAGAAAAAACAAATCTATTTCACCCACCCTCCCCTAAAATATTATACATTACATGCCTCCACATGTCATCAACGTTCCAGTCGAGTGTTAAACTAGTTTCGTTTTATTCAATCATTTATTAATCGTCATTATTCACTAAACTGGAATACACACACTATCATGTTACCAGTTCAAATACAATCCTCGCCACAAGAACTCACAGCAAAAATCCATTTATGTAAATTGTTTGAAAATTTGAATTACGTTTTTCAGTCAACTCGCTATTGAGCTTTAGATATGACTATACATTATACGTCTGATCAACAGGTGGAGCGCTCTTCGCTGTTATCCCCCGGCGTGTAAAACTTCCCGGTATCTGTTTCAGCCATTTATCTGATCGTCGCAGTTTGTGTCTGTATCATTGTGGTGTGTGTCGTTGCGGCTGTGGTCATCAAACGGTGAGTACAACAGGACCGATTATGCGAACTCACATTCGTACGACAGAGTTGCATTTCCTTATGCATTGCCTTATTCGCATAGCCACAACTTTGGATAACTTTGGATTGATTGAAAACCTCTGTGCCGTGTATTTCTCCTTGTGGCACTACAACGGGAACATGTGTACATAACACTAATCTGTTTAGTTATTTCTCCCTATGGCACTATAACGAGGATTTAGTGAACATAGCACTAATCTGATTAATTATTTCTCCTTATTGCACTACAATGGGACTTTTTGAACAGAGCGCTAATATGATTAGTTATTTCTCCCTTTGGCACTGCAATGTGTGTCGTAACAAATTATTTAGTTATCTCTTCCATGGCACTACAACGGGAATTACGTGTACATAGCACTAATTTGTTCAGTTATTTCTCCCTATGGCACTACAACGAAGATTTAGTGAACATAGCACTAATCTGATTAATTATTTCTCCTTATTGCACTACAAGGGGACTTTTTGAACAGAGCGCTAATATGATTAGTTATTTCTCCCTATGGCACTGCAACGTGTGTCGTAACAAATTATTTAGTTATCTCTTCCATGGCACTACAACGGGAATTACGTGTACATAGCACTAATTTGTTCAGTTATTTCTCCCCATGGCACTACAACGAAGATTTAGAGAACATAGCACTAATCTGATTGATTATTTCTACTTATGGCAGTACAAATGGACTTTTTGAACATAGCACTTATCTGGTTAGTTATCTCTTCCATGGCACTACAACGGGGACTACGTGTACATAGCACTAATCTGTTAAATCATTTCTCTTCTATGGCACTACATCGATATTTCTCCCTTTGGCACTACAACGGGGACAAGTGTACATCTGTTTACTTATTCCTCCAATGGCACTTCAACGTGTGTCATAACGCTGATCTACCCGTGAAGATCCGGGTTCGAATAGGTCTTCACCAACCCATGCTTGCCGTTAAAGGCAACTGTGCTTGGCTCAAGAGGCGACTAACGGGATCGGGGGGTCTGGCTCGCTGACTTTGTTGATTCAGGTCATCAGATCCCAATTGTAGATCGATGATCATAATATGTGGTCCGGCCTTTTGATTTACTGACAGAGACCCGTCATATAGCTGGAATATTGCTGAGCGCAGCGTTACACAACAAACAAACATAACTCAATTCATTTAACTATTTCTCCCATGGTACTACAACGGGGACTATGTGTACTCTATTTCGTATATTTCCCTCTATGGCACTACATCGGGTACTGCATATACATGTACCTATTTATCTGCATGACATAGCTACAGAGACAATGTAGACATAGCTGCAATCTGAGTTTGTTTAATTATTACTCTCGTGGCACTACAACGAGATAAGATTATGTAATATTGCCATGTATTTCCACAGATACATATTACATCTATATAAAGTAATATGTATAGATATTTCTTTTGTTGGTATTGCAACATGGGAGTTGGGGGGGGGGGGGGGGGGGAGGGGGGGTAATAGTAAACCCTTGTAATGTCAACTATTTAATAAGCATTCGCTCTCTGAATATATTTCATCCAGCTCGGGAAAGAAAATGCACAAATTTCACGTTTCAAAATGAAACCCCCAAACCTTCATTGGATTGTTTTGGAATCATGAGGAAAGGAAGTAACTCTGTCTGTGGTTGCGTTTTTCCATCTTGAAATCACCCAATTTACCACCTCAGCACTTCGAAAGATAGAACAGAGAGTTTAGGAGCACATGCACTTCTGGACACAAGTATAAAATTAATTATTTGTCAAAATGAGTTGTAAACCATTTGGCATTTATCTTGATATGGTATTTCAGTTTGGTTCTACATAGAGTGACAGACAGGCACACGCAGACACAGGATATTTACTTTCCACCATCGCTCCGTCAGTAGCTGATCACGAAGAAATACACGACATAATACGGAGGACCTTATATTGTTTCAGTTGCACGGCGAAGAAAGAGGAAAATGTTTCCCTGAAGAACGTCGACGTAATTCGTGAGAGGGACGAGGGGGTTGCTCTGACAGAAAACAGTGGGAACAAGGACGACACCCGTATGTAACCAATGTGGTCCTGGAGTACAGTGACATTAAGAACTGCAAACAGTGTTACAAGAGTGATAGTCCGTGTCCATTAAGCTCAGCAAACACCCGGTGTCCAGATGTACAAAACTTTCCAGGGACCCTTGGAATGAACATCTGAGGAATGACAATTGGGTCTTCTTTTTCAGGAATATTTCCAAACGTGGTTTACTTTGGATCATTGCCTTGGATTGCCTTGGATTGCTTAGTGTCATTGCATCAGATAGTCTTGAGTTGCTTACGGATTACCATGGATTGCTTTGGGTCATGGAATCAGATTGCCTTGAATTGCTTCCGGATTTCCTTGAATGGCTTTAGGTCATTGCATTAAAATGCCTCGAATTGCTTTGGGATTGTCTTGAATTGCTTTAAGTCATTGCATTAGACTGCCTTGAATTGCTTTAGGTCATTGCATTAGATTGCCTTGAATTGCTTCAGGTCATTGCATTAGATTGCCTTGTATTGCTTTAGGTCATTGCATTAGATTGCCTTGAATTGCTTTGGGTCATTGCATTAGACTGCCTTGAATTGCTTTGGGATTGCCTTGAATTGCTTCAGGTCATTGCATTAGATTGCCTTGAATTGCTTTGGGATTGCCTTGAATTGCTTCAGGTCATTGCATTAGATTGCCTTGAATTGCTTTAGGTCATTGCCTTAGATGGCCTTGAATTGCTTTGGGTCATTGCATTAGATTGCCTTGAATTGTTTTTGGTCATTCCATCAGAATGCCTTGAATTGCTTTGGGTGACTGCATCGAGTTGCCTTCTATTGTCTTGAATTGCTTTGGGTGACTGCATCGAGTTGCCTTCTATTGCCTTGAATTGCTTCAGGTAACCTCGGCGGCTTGTGTAGTGCAGCCTGTGATACTCTGTTGTCTGTACTGACGCATAATACAAAATGTCGCTGGTATTTATGTCGTCTTAATATTCAAATAACGTAACGTTTGCTTGAAAGATAAGAATGGAAGGGTCGCGATTACTTTATTAACAGCAGCAGTAGTAGTAGTAGTAGTAGTAGTAGTTGCAGCAGTGCCTGTAGTAGTAGTAGTAGTAGTAGTAGTAGTAGCAGCAGTAGCAGCAGCAGCAGCAGCAGCAGTAGTAGTAGTAGTAGTAGTAGTAGTAGTAAACGTTGCTATGTTCATTCGTAAAAGTATAATCTTAGCCATACATTGAACATATTGAACGTTTTCCGGATTATCACGTGTTGTTAAACACTTTGACTTTTAGGTTGTAATGTGATTTTTGTAATTTATAATTGAGTGGTTGAGATTCATCTTTCACCCTTTAAACAGAGATCTAACAAATGAGAAGAATGGGAAGGTTATAAGCATGATTGACAAAATGGTAGTCTTTACTATTCAATGCGAAACCTTGTCTTATGTTTTATGGAAGGATTCAATCGACAAGAGCAAAAACAAATGTTTTGTTTCCACAACCGCTCGATCTTTGGGGAATTAACAATAATAAACAACTACAAGCTGCAACGACGAATATTCGTCAGCAAGGAACTGTATTCCTGTAAGATACGTTATTATTGATCAAAGGTATAGTAAATATGTTATCTCCACAAACATCCTGTCCATAGACGAAAGCCTCCCCTGGCAGAAGTAATACATAAGTTCTTGCATAAAGATTCAAAGTGACAAAACACTCTAGATCTCCACAAGACTATATGAAGGGATGACTTCAACTTTACAATAGTTAACTTTCCCTTCATGTCGAGAAATATTCCAGAAATATATACCTTTGATGTTTACATTTCAACTTTGCTCCGAAGTTGTTTTATCAAGGTTACAACATTCAAGACCTCATTAAATCTATCATGGCAGGCATGTGAAGGACATTTCCCAATTTGAGTGAGTGAGTGAGTGAGTATGGTTTTACGCCGCTTTTAGCAATATTCCAGCAATATCACGGCGGAGGACACCAGAAATGGGCTTCACACATTGTACCCATGTCGGGAATCGAACCCGGGTCTTCGGCGTGACGAACATACGCTTTAACCACCAGGCTACCCGACCGCCCCTTTTCCCAATTTGAAGCATCAGTGACAATCATTATGTCAGATACATTCACTTTTTGGATTTGTACGGTGTGTTCCCGTAATTTTTCAGGTAATCAATTTGCCTTTGCATGTGTTTGTGACGGGTGCCACCTCTGAGTCAGGATATGCTCACCTTTTCGCGAACACCAGGTATCATCACTCTGTGATAGTGATTCATAAACACATGTTCACGATATAGTCAAAATCGCACAATCGACTCTTCTTTTGGCAGAGATTTCTTATGAATGTGGAAAGGATTTTGTCGTATTTACTTTACTGCACCTTGCACGTACAACAGGACAACCACTTTCCCCCACAAAACCAACCGAATCTTAAAACAAATTTACGCCCAAGCAGATGACAAAGAACTGAACACATTCCCACATTTAATAGGCACGTCTTGATATAGGTAGAATACTGTTCAAAGTAGCCTTACCCAAACGTATGCACTCCCCCATTGTACAGCGACTACAGACGACTGCTCGTCGTTACATACCCTCGGGCTGTGTATGCCGACTACATTGTTTGACAAACAATGGGTGGGATGACATGGTGATGTGGATGCAATGTTGCACACTGATCTATTGACCGGGGTAGTGGTAGTAGTAGCAGTAGTAGTAGCAGTAGTGAGTGAGTGAGTAAATTTACGCCGCTTTTAGCAATATTCCAGCAATATCACGGCGGGGGACACCAGAAATGGACTTCACACATTGGACCCATGTCCGGAATGGAACCCGGGTCTTCAGCGTGACGAGCGAACGCTTTAACCACTAGGCTACCCGACCGCCCAGTAGTAGTAGTGGTAGTGGTAGTGGTAGTAGTAGTAGTAGTAGTAGTAGTAGTAGTTGTAGTAGCAGTAGTAGTGGTAGTAGAAGTAGTAATAGTAGTAACAGTAGTCATCGTCGTCGTCGTCGTAGTAGTAGTAGTAGTAGAGGTAGTAGCAGTAGCAGCAGCAGAGTAGTAGTAGTAGTAGTAGTAGTAGTAGTAGTAGTAGTAGTAGTAGTAGTAGTAGTTCTTACTTTCTTACTGATGCACTGATATAATCTTAAAAGGCTTTGTGTATTATCAGATACAAATATGTATATTTCGGTACAGGCAAAAATACTCGTTAGACACCATATAAATTTGAAACGAACGAGTGTTCCGTGGTATCACACCAAGAAATAGTCAATTTAGAATGCATAGCGAAATAACAGTCGGTTCTTTTTTCATAAAGTGTCGAAAAACTTGCAGTGTGACCTATATATGTAATTTTAGCGAGGTCATGGTTATCCAATCAGAACACATAACACGAGATCAACCTTGTACGACGCATGATCTCTCTCTCCACGTGAAGCCTTAGGGTAATTAAACTACGTTTAATACGAACCATCCACATCAGCTCGTAATATCCGAAGTTTGGTTCCAGGAACATTCGGTTGATTACAAATCTATGGGGGTTATAACTTCCCAGTGTCCTCCTTATAAAAAAAATTGTATTCTATATAACAACAATGTTCAAGTTTGATGTTCCTTATAAATAAAATTGCATTCTATATAACAACAATGTTCACGTTTGATGTTCCTTATAAATAAAATGTATTCTATATAACAACAATGTTCAAGTTTGATGTCCCTCAAAATAAAATTTATTCTATATAACAACAATGTTCAAGTTTGATGTTCTTTATAAATAAAATTGTATTCTATATAACAACAATGTTCAAGTTTGTTGTTCTTGCCTTGGCTTATCAGCGTTAGAAATTGGCACTAGTCCTATAGTCCTTGCCAAACTGCCCAATGGTAAAGGTATCATAAGGACTAGTAGAATTTTGCCCTTTTTAAGGGTTTTACTTTTTGTTATCATAATAAGGACTAGTGGACGAAAACTGTCAGATTTTAACCCTGCTTATTGATTACACGTGGAAATTCCAGAGTAGAATAAGTCTCTGGTACCAGGCTTGTGTTTAGAGCTGACGAGTGAGGATGATTAAAATGTGTTACCCGTCTGAGTGAGCGTCAGCGTACCCCAACGGCACAGAACTTTCTTCATGATATCAACCACTGGAGATACTGTCCATCCTTGATTATTTACAGTTCACCGTGAAATTGCTGGATTATTACTGACGGCGGCTCAAAACAATATGTACCCGATTTTCGGCTACTTACAAATTTCTCAATAATGTATCGCGTGTATATAGAAGATACATATTCTGGGTATTCTGATGCTTGTGTTATTTGGTATTCAATGTCCGGGAACCGAGGGCTCTGTTCTATTCAAATGTTTCATTTTCCACCCATTGAATACACAATCCCATCCGCAAATTGAAAACAAAATGTTGAGTATCACGCTCTTCCAACCAATACTAAAACAACTAGGTCATGATACTATATATGGCACCATATTCTGCCATGACAACGGAACAACACATAGAGAACAATGAAGTATTAGGCGAAGTTGTTAGATAGATATTAATCAGAGCCAATACATTGTACAAGTGTGTTCAGATCCTAAACTCAAACCTAAGCGCGTTACTTGTACCATAATCTTTACGCTTTAGGGTCTAAACATGTATAGGATCTAAACATGTTTAGGATTGTGTTTAACAGTTGAACGTGTTTTGGGTCTAAAATGTCTGAAAGACCCCAATCAAATGTAAAAGATACAATAGCACTTTTTTAGGTAATAAGTTTATTTCAGTTTTAATAAGCGAACAAATAGGCGCCTGACAGGATCGGTGACTGGATCATTTACATACCGCCGATATATATAGCTGGAATATATGTGAAGAGTGAAAAAATCAGCCTTTTGGCAATCATTTTAGTAATTCTTGTATACTTGAGTCCACACCTACACGTGTGGTAAAGACAATAGAGTTCTTTTCAGCTATTTCAACATGTCTGATAATTGTCATACTAATATTTCAAAGGTAACACTAAAATATCAGATCCGACCACGTCCTTCCCTCCAAGATCGTTATAGCTATTCAGTTTAATTAGATTCTGACTAAAAAACTCGAAACAAAGACGAATGAGTGAGTGAGTGGGTGGTTGGGTGGGTGGGTGGGTTAGTGAGTGAGTGAGTAAGTGAGTGGGTGGGTGGGTGAATGAGTGAGTGAGTGAGTGAGTGAGTGAGTGAGTGAGTGAGTGAGTGAGTGAGTGAGTGAGTGAGTGTGTGGGTGGGTGGGTGGGTGGGTGGGTGGGTGGGTGAGTGAGTGAGTGAGTGAGTGAGTGAGTGAGTGAGTGAGTGAGTGGGTGGGTGGGTGGGTGGGTGGGTGGGTGGGTGAGTGAGTGAGTGAGTGAGTGAGTGAGTGGGTGGGTGGGTGGGTGGGTGGGTGGGTTAGTGAGTGAGTGAGTGAGTGAGTGAGTGAGTGAGTGAGTGAGTGAGTGAGTGGGTGGGTGGGTGGGTGGGTGGGTGGGTGAGTGAGTGAGTGGGTGGGTGGGTGGGTGGGTGGGTGGGTCCTAGGTGGGTGGATGGTTGAGTAAGTGAGTGTGAACAGGGCATATTTCCCTCCGGATTAACAAGGTTTCACGAGGGTCACTTGAAATGGGTGTATTGAAATCAAATAACGCCTGCAAGTGTAAGGACAATTTAGCTTCAAGCGCAAATACGATTGATGGGCTCGCGTGCTGCCATGGGCGGTTTCTTGTACTAGGAAAAGGAGGTATTACATAATAGCTATAGTGCACCGATAAATAAACTTAAAATATTGAGGGAAGAATTTCAGAAATTAAAGTCAATATTGGCCGGCTAAAGACACTGACGAAAGAGGTTTATTTTTTGTTCCTGCTCAATCTATGGTGAGTGTGACGACTAAGTGTGATAAATGGGATTCGAACCCAGAACCTTCAGATCCAACATGTACATAAACATGTATATTGTGCTGACAGATAAAACATAAACGACAAAACACGCGGTAAATAGGAGATTCGAACCAACGGTCAGTGGATCCGAACAGGGCCGAGTGAGCCGTCCAAAGCTTCGATGTCGGATTAAGTTCTAAAATTCTTTAAGTTTCAACAATTCTAAAAGTTTCCCATCCGACAAAATAAAACACTTTCAGAGTATGTTACAGTGTAGGGCAATACATAACAGCTCTGATTGCCATGTGTTACTTTCACTAAAGGTGCTTCTAGGGGAACAGCGGAATACATGCTGCAGAAAGTCCCTGCGAGGAGGTCATTTTACGAAAACACGTCCCGTAAAAACAATAGGATGACGTCAAATAACCATGGGGTGACCTGGCAGGAGTACATATAATAGTATTTCATCTTTTGAGCGTTCGGTTCATTTATAACAGTCTTCAGGTTCAATTAAATATATCGAGAGCTTGTTCGGAAGAGGGGGTACGGGTGGCCGTCGTCTAAGGCGCCGCGATTCGCAAGAGTTGCGTCCCTTGGGCACGCCAGAACTATGATTGTGGGCGCGAATCCCGGTTCGCCCCGATTATGTTTGTAGGTTTGTCAGCACCATACCCATTCTCGTTGGTTTCACTGAAGTGGTAAACGTCTGAGACCTGCATCACTTGGGGCTTTCCTCCCACATTAAGCTGAGACGCCGTGATATAACTGGAATACTGTTGAAAGCGCGTTAAACCCAACTCACTCACTCATTGTTCGGGCCACGTAACAATTTTGAATGTGGCTGTATGCCTAGCTCCCGGTCAAAAGAGACATGTTGATTGGATGTTGGTTTCAAGTTAATGGACAGTTTTCCGGGGTAAAACGGAGTAAAATACAAGAAAGTCTGTGAACCTTCTGAAGTGTTAATGTTAGTGCAAAACCTCGGGGCCTAGATTTTCGAAACGATCTTAGCCCTAAAATTATCGTTAAGGTATCGTAAGGAAATCGTAGGCTATCGTAGCCTATTTTCGAAACTATCGTAGCCCTAAGATATCTTAAGTTTGTCGTAAATCTAAGATAGCCCTATACCTGTCGTAAGTTTATTTTATCCTCATCCAAGATGGCGGTATACTTTGCTCTGGACATTTTTCATGATGAAGATGACAATGATTTGATGACAAGACCGAGGATATTCCGAGACAGAACTCGTCCCCTCGAGACGCTTGACGACTTCGAGCTATTTCCCCGCTACAGATAGGTGTCGTAGCTCTGAGCGATCTGCGACAGGTTTACGATTGATTCGAAAATCTATCTTATCTTAGTCTTAAGATATCTTATTTTTGAACGTAAGTAGTTAAGATTTATCTTAGCTAAGATCGTTTCGAAAATCTAGGCCCTGTTTGATGTGCTATATATTAAATACATTAATGCGATCGTGGTATAATTTGTGCGTTTTTCTATCCGAAAATGTCTCTACGAGGATGTCAATAACGTCACAAATACGTTGTGGTAGAGCTGTGGTGGAGCTGTGGTGGAGCTGTGGTGGCGTTGTGGTGGCGTTGTGGTGGAGCTGTGGTGGAGCTGTGGTGGGGCTGTGGTGGAGCTGTGATGGAGCTGTGGTGGCGTTGTGGTGGAGCTGTGGTGGAGCTGTGGTGGGGCTGTGGTGGAGCTGTGGTGGAGCTGTGGTGGCGTTGTGGTGGAGCTGTGGTGGAGCTGTGGTGGAGCTGTGATGGAGCTGTGGTGGCGTTGTGGTGGAGCTGTGGTGGAGCTGTGGTGGGGCTGTGGTGGAGCTGTGGTGGAGCTGTGGTGGCGTTGTGGTGGAGCTGTGGTGGAGCTGTGGTGGAGCTGTGGTGGAGCTGTGGTGGCGTTGTGGTGGAGCTGTGGTGGAGCTGTGGTGGAGCTGTGGTGGAGCTGTGGTGGCGTTGTGGTGGAGCTGTGGTGGAGCTGTGGTGGAGCTGTGGTGGAGCTGTGGTGGCGTTGTGGTGGAGCTGTGATGGAGCTGTGGTGGGGCTGTGGTGGAGCTGTGGTGGCGCTGTGGTGGAGCTGTGGTGGCGTTGTGGTGGAGCTGTGGTGGAGCTGTGGTGGGGCTGTGGTGGAGCTGTGGTGGCGCTGTGGTGGAGCTGTGGTGGCGTTGTGGTGGAGCTGTGGTGGAGCTGTGGTGGAGCTGTGGTGGCGTTGTGGTGGAGCTGTGGTGGAGCTGTGGTGGAGCTGTGGTGGAGCTGTGGTGGCGTTGTGGTGGAGCTGTGGTGGAGCTGTGGTGGAGCTGTGGTGGCGTTGTGGTGGAGCTGTGGTGGAGCTGTGGTGGCGTTGTGGTGGAGCTGTGGTGGAGCTGTGATGGAGCTGTGGTGGCGTTGTGGTGGAGCTGTGGTGGAGCTGTGATGGAGCTGTGGTGGCGTTGTGGTGGCGTTGTGGTGGAGCTGTGATGGAGCTGTGGTGGCGTTGTGGTGGAGCTGTGGTTGAGCTGTAGTGGAGCTGTGGTGGCGCTGTGGTGGAGCTGTGGTGGCGTTGTGGTGGCGTTGTGGTGGAGCTGTGGTGGAGCTGTGGTGGCGTTGTGGTGGAGCTGTGGTGGAGTTGTGGTAGAGCTGTGGTGGCGTTGTGGTGGAGCTGTGGTGGAGCTGTGGTGGAGCTGTGGTGGAGCTGTGGAGGAGCTGTGGTGGCGTTGTGGTGGAGCTGTGGTGGAGCTGTGGTGGAGCTGTGGTGGAGCTGTGGTGGAGCTGTGGTAGAGCTGTGGTGGCGTTGTGGTGGAGCTGTGGTGGAGCTGTGGTGGAGCTGTGGTGGAGCTGTGGTAGAGCTGTGGTGGCGTTGTGGTGGAGCTGTGGTGGAGCTGTGGTGGAGCTGTGGTGGAGCGATGGTGGAGCTGTAGTGGGTTTGGGTTTGGTATGTTTCAAAGGTGTATGTCATCCTACGTTTGAACAGCTCTATGGTACAAGACTCGGTGCTTCATGTCCCTTCTCCCCTAATCCAGTACAACCTCACAGATGTAGTCGTAGTTAGCTGCACAGTACTGGTCTTCCCACTGTAACTCCTGTGACGGGTTCTTCCTATGGTAAATGCCACACTCTTCCTGAGCACTGTCCTGTGAACCGGGAGCCCAGTTTTCATATCCCGAGATTTGACTACCGTCAGCCCATCGAGGAGTGCCCTCGCTCTCATAGTCAACCATCCCGAAGAAGACAAACAGCATGCCACCTGAAGACAGAAGGAATTTAAAGTAGCCATGTTGGCAACAATACTTCCTTACAACGTTTTGTGTAAAGACGGACCTGCCAATGATTAGATACTATTTGGTCACGGTGTTTGTTTCTCCTGTGCTTTGCTTGTGCAGAGAGTTTAGAATGCACCTACATATAAACACCTGGGAAAGTGTAAGTGAGTGAGTTTGGTTTTACGCCGCTTTTTAGCAATATTCCAGCAATATCACGACGGGGGACACCAGAAATGGGCTTCACACATTGTAACCATGTCGGGATTCGAACCCGGGTCTTCGGCGTGACGAGCGAACGCTTTAACCACTAGGCTACCCGACCGCCCCACCTGGGTAAGAGTTAAGCACCGCAAATGATATACATATTTCAATTATATCAGTTTCAATGTAAGTCGTATCCTGTTTTCATTTTCAGACGAAACACATTTATCTCGTTCACATGAGACAAAACGTGCCATAGACATTTTTTCAAACGAGATCGGTGTCATTTGAAAATATTTCCAAAGGTAGCATTGAAGTTCGGGATTGAATTTAACAGCTAAACGTGTTTAGGGTCTAAACGATTGGGAACCCGTGCTCCAAGGAAATTGAAACATAGAAAATGAGTTCAAGAAACCTAGTGTGTTCAATAAATGTGATGCAGTTTCGTCAATTGTCCTATTGAATTGCCAAGATGACAAATGTTTGCCTACTTAGTGATTGTTGATATTTCATTTTACAATTTACTCCATCACGCATGCGGATGTACTCAGGGCAAAGCATACAAAAGTAGTTGTCATAGAAACGTGTGAACAACATGCAAAATGTGTTCAATATATTGGGTCAACATTTGGCAGAGCACACGTATCGACACAAGTCCCACGGAAATTTAGCACAAATGTTAACCTCGTCAGTAAAATAAAAATTGGATATGGTGCCATCTCATATTTGACCTACTGTGACCTTGGCAGACATTTCTGTCAAAATGGCGCCCATTCCACACGTTCCAGAGACAAAAACACAACATATTTGTGGAACCATAACCATAATCGTTCCCCAAGAGTTCACAGAAAACATACATATAAGCTAGTATCATTTCAACTGCATATTTCGACTTATACAGCTTAAGAGATAGTATAAATGCTAAATGTTTGGATTTTCCCCCAGGTAGATAACTTATCTACATATGTCCTCTAAAGTTAAGGGGGCGGACGGGTAGCCTAGTGGTTAAAGCGTTCGCTCGTCACGCCGAAGACCCGGGTTCCATTCCCGACATGGGTACAATGTGTGAAGCCCATTTCTGGTGTCCCCCGCCGTGATATTGCTGGAATATTGCTAAAAGCGGCGTAAAACTCAGTCACTCACTCACTCTAAAGTTTAGTTGATGAGGCCTATGACACAATCTGTTCCTGTCGTTGTACAAACTGACTTGTCAAAATGTGTTATTTGCAGATGATATCTTGAACTCTCATGGCCAAATGACGGGGATGGTATAACAATGCATTGGTGTGACATTGAGCTAAATTTCAAAATAATTCCAACCTTTCATACAGCAAATTAACACGAGATCAGAAGAGGAGCAGTGCTGATGTTGGTGGGAAGAAAGCACGTGGTGCCTGGCACCAAAGCCAACATAACCATGGATAATGTGTGTTTCTTAAACCATCAAATACATCTCATCCACTGCATGAGGAAATGACCAAAATGAACATCTAGAGACTTCGTAGATGCTGCTTGATGATCTTATCTTAGCAAAGGTAGCAAACGTCTAGGGACCTTCTGGCTGGTGAGGCAAAGTACCACTCTGAGTGTTTGATCGTCCTGTATAACAATGTCAGACATTCAGACATAAAACATGATCTGGGAGGGTAAAAAAATAGAGGCCATTTATGCCAAAACATTATGCAGAAATTGCGGAATTTGTTGAAGACGCACTTACTGACAGAGAGCTGTACAGTGACAGACTTTCACAACTTTATAGTGATTCTCCATCAGTACACTCAACAAGGTTTAAACATCGCATTCATTTTAGTCGTAGGCCTTCAAAAGAAGGAAGCGACCCTCTTTTAGTTTCCCACGGTGATGTTGGTACAGCTTTGAGGAAGGCCATTCACACTGATGGCAATGCATTCGTCCTTTCTCAGGCAGCAAGAATAGTGCGGAAAGAAATGATCAAATCATCAACATCTTTTGATGCCAATTTTTCCGAAGACTGTTAAGTTGAAGCAGTTCCTTCGGCTTTGCTCACCCTCGTGGCCGTGGTTCAGTATGGAGCGAGTATTACCGCACAGCCGGTTGAACCATCGAACCAAGCACTCCTAGCATGTGTCAGTTACTACATTTGACACAACAAGACATACGCCAACGAAAATGCAACCAATACTCCATAACAAGCTTCGAAGGCCTCCTTTGCCTGTGTATCTAGGGATCCTCCTTCACAACAAGACACACAAGCGTGAACTGGTTGAAAAACTCTTGAAGATTGAACACAGTGTGTCCAACCGACTTGAAGATTGGTTTGTTTAACAACATATGTGGACAACATCAATCATCAAACACGTGCTGAGAAAAGTTCAATCAATGGGATAAGGACCTCAGTATTCCAGCATTTTGACAACACTGACCTGATCGTGCTTTGAACCTGTAAGGACTCTTGAAGAAACCATTGGCAACGATTATATCATCATCAGTCAGTCAAGGAAGAGGCTACCCAGATTGCAAGCTTCTTATACCTATGTGCAACCTTTGTCTGATTTAAAGTTCTCTTGCCTGTTACCGAAACTGTTGGGCCAGGGAAGTCTGCTTGCGATCTAAAGTCTCCAGCTGTACAGTTGGAGTACAAGTGGCTTGGACGCTTGAGTAATGCTGTACAAACAGGAACGGATTCCACCAACAGCTGTCCATGCCAGTCAAGAGAATCAAACTGATACACCAGCTACAAAATCTTTCTAACTGCCACTGTTCCAGGTAGACGCCGTGACAGCATCTTCCCGAGGCAAGAGAGTTAACTGATTATAAAAGTCCAGTTTCCTCCCTTGCCGAACTAAACTGGTCTTATGGAGTTACATTTTGCCTGGACTAACGAGTCTATGAATAGTCCAATGAAAATCGCGCAACGAAATTGTAATCCGGTTTGTAAACTGTCGTGTAGATTTCGGTCGATTGCAGGATTTGCAAAGCATGTGTACCGCCAACTCGTTGTCAACATATAATTTCCAAATCTTTACATGTTTTTAATCAAGGTGCTCACGTGATTTGATGAACTTCGCGATGTAGGACCCGTATTATCACAATATGGATCTTGATTATCGATTAGCGGTCGTCATTGCGCTAAAAGCAAGCTTACATATTTACAGAGTGAAAATGAAAAACTTGCGATTTCAACAATGTCAACTTCAACAAATTGTATTAAAGGATTCTTCTAAACGTTAAGTTGTGTTTGTGAACATATGTTTTAAAACAACAGTCAGTGTCAAATGCAAACATTGGAAACCTCGAAGTGACTAGTGTTTTTGCAGCACCAAGTTACGGAACGAACTTCCACTTACTGTTCACAAGTGTATGAAAACCACGACAGGGCCCATGCTCTCGGGGACCGCCTCCGTGGTCTAGTGGTAGAGCGTCCGCCCGGAGAGCGGAAGGTCCGGGGTTCGATCCCCGGCCGCGTCATACCAAAAGACGTTAAAAGATGGTACTTGTTGTTACCCTGTCTGGCGCTCGGCATTAAGGGGCTAAAACAAGGACTGGTCGGCTCGGAGTCAGTATACTGTGTCTGAGTGGGGTATTCATGTTAAACTGCGGCATGGTATCTCAGTGAGCTAGCACTATAAATTGGCATCAGTCCGGACTAGTACAAGAAGACACACACACACACACACACACACACACACACACGTGCATGCATGTCGCTATATAAGTGCGATAATCTTGGACGCGACGTTAAACCAAACCTGACCACCATGCTCTCGGTGTAACAGCAGGAACACCTGTTGGGTCGACACCGGTTCGGGTTTTAGTTTGCCGTTCAACATACTAACGACACTCATGATTCTCCGAATCGCGTTTCACTGTGACATCCAGAGTAATTGACCTCAAAACGAAATATATGGTGTTGTTCCACCATAACGTGTTCATTATGTATTCCCGTGAACTCGTACCGACCTCCATCTTTTAGTTATTGGATTTCATTGTCAGAAATAGCCTCAGCTCGACAAGGTAGGTTTCCTTTCCCTTGTTTCTTTCATGATTTAGTTTTAGATTTAATGACATCCCTTAATTTCGAAACGTATTTGGAATCTGAAAGAGTAAAGCCATAGTTATTTCCTTCAAATGTCGTTCCAAACTTCCCCTTAATCCAACAAGTTAGCTAAAGTCTTCTCACCCAAACCAAAAATTTACATCAGGACATATTCAGTTCAAAGGGAAGGATGTTTTCACTGGGCGTTGCTAATTCAGTTTATCGGCAAGGAAGGATCTCACAACTTTCATGTTCAGGGCGGTCTTTTTGATTGTGTTGACATTTTCATTGTCCTCCAAGAATTGGCTTGGCTTGGCAATGTCACTGTCGTTGACTTCTACAAACCTATTGGCTTGGCTTGGCTTGGCTATGTCCGGGGTGTCGTAAGGACAATCCAGGAAATTGTCAGTCGCTCAAAGGACAGATTTTGGTGAGGGGGTATGGCAGACGTTGAAGAAACTTTTTTTATTGGGAGAAAATATAGCCAATGATCATGGACTTGTAGCTCACCTATCTCTGTTTTGACAACAAAAACGTTGAACCAGTTCAATGGTTGTATAATGTTTACAACACTTCCAAACAGATTCCCTTCGATCTTGACTAGATCATTCACTTTATCGGAGATAGAATTCCCGTCTTGTTTGTTTACGTTTCATGTACTACGATTTGGTTGGTTGGTTTGTTGTTTAACGCCGCACTCAGCAATATTCCAGCTATATGACGGCGGTCTGTAAATAATAGAGTCTGGGTCAGACCATCCAGTGATTAATATCATGAGCATCGATCCACGCAATTGGGATCGATGACATGCATCAACCAAGTCAGCGAGCCTGACCACCCGATCCCGTCAGTCGCCTTTTACGACAAGCATATTCACCTTTTACGGCAAGCATGGGTTGCTGAAGACCTATTCTACCCCGGAATCTTCACGGGTCTCCATGTACTACAAGGCAGCAGACGATTATTCAAGCAAATTTGATGTTCTGTGAAATCCTATCAATTTATATGTTTTGTGTATATCATAAGAGTTGTCATCAAGTGTAAACAATTTTCCTAATTGGAAAATAAAAACAATACATTCAGGAGAGTGTTTTCTGTTCTAGACATGAGGCCTAGTGTGTGTTGATATCTATCGTTGCTACATAAAATAACATTCAACACACTGACTCTAATAAGTGCAATAATCTGCTGGTATAAATTTGTCCCATAAGAAATAGTATCATTATCCGTTGATAAAACTTATCTCGGAAAAATAGTACAAACAAACTTTTTTCTCCAAATATTTATCATGTTTATAACTACAAGGTTCTGTTTTATAAGAAAATATGACAATGGGCCAACACGCATGTATATCAACAACATACTTGCACTCTACCAACCAATCATATTTATTCGAACATTTGTATTTGTATATTCACTAATGAAATTGATTAGTTTATTGAATGCGGTATTTATTGGTTGTACATAAGACAATCGTTGGCTGAAAATTTATTGATTTTTGTGACTGAATACCGCGTTCTTCCACTTTGCATAAATGGTCAGTGATCAAGATATGGATTTCAGTTAATGGTGACACCTCGTCAACTGACGGTAGAATATTGATATGGTTGATTGCTGTTTTCGGGTGTTGATTAATCCCAACCGGAGCTAGTATAGTAGCAATAAAATCACATTATAACCACATACATACCAGGAATAAATGGACATACTGACATCCTCGCGTGACCCTGATCTCGTCTCAGCGGTATGTTTATTTACAATGTCGACAAGGTCTTTCAGCTGAACGGTCATAAAACTGGACAGCTTACTAATTAAGAAAATTGCTTCAATGAAGCTTATTGACACAAGTGGCATGGTGATTTGTCATTGAGTGACGTGGTAACATGCCCTACCGGGTCTGATATACAACGTCAAGACGTTTTGCTTCTTTGATTTGAAAAAAACTGTTTTATGGGCAGTGACGTCATGAGTCAAATATTTAACATTTTCAAGGTTGATGTTTTTCCTCCTCGCTCAACCATATTTCTGAGCCCATAATTCCGTAACTTTTGTTGTTGATCCGGGCATTGTTTCGTTTATACATTTTCCCTCTACATCCAGCCAATTTGTGTCCAAAGACTATATTCAGCAAGACTTTAATTGGTCTGGCCCTATTTGAAATATGAATCTTAAGAACATCTATGTGATCTTAAGAACAAAGTATCATAGGATCACAATCCTGGCCAGGAGGAATTCAATTTGAACTCTTTGTTAACTTTGAACTAACCATCAAAAATCTTAAACAGTGCAATGACAGGAATTTTTCTAAATTTCCTTATACTCTGCTTCTTTGAATACGTTATTTTACCTGTTTGCCTTGAAATTATTTCACATTCTTTTATCTGCTGAGTAGAAACCCTATAATTGATATGCATATTTTATTCATAATATCTATATGGCAATGCCTCTGTAGTTATATGCGTCTTCCGTCGAGCCATATTTATGTAATGGGAATGTAAGTCCAATATGCCATAATCCAGGTAATTGACCTGTCTCAATAATATTGTTGAAAGGGTGCTTATAAAAGGGTAATAACACACCTTCTTCGCCTCTGTATTTACTTATACCTTTCTGAGAAAAATGGGTGAAGGTTGTTCGATTGATATCAGCAAACAGCTGTCCACTGGAGTTATCGATCCTTCAATGACGATGCCTCCAAACTATGTAAACACGATGAGAGGGTGTCGATTTCATCTTGTCCACACACAAAATATCACAGATGAATAGATCACCTTGGAGTGTGATAATGAAATAATGTAAATTGACTATTTACACTATTTTATGTTTACCTTTACTCACACAGAAGGAGGTAGAATAAGGCCTCTTTCGGACCACCGGAAATGAATTATTGGCATGAACATTATCATTCGATATGGCTGATAACTAGTCTTTTTCTTTCTTACACTAAGTATTGCAAGATTTGGACAACTGACATGACATGATTAAAATGGATGCAAAAGAGACAATCTAAGATGATTTTACCATACATTTATGCTGTTTTGGTTACATCCTTAGAAAATCACCATGATCAGAGACTTGCTCAAATATTAATAACTCGCCCGTGAAACGCTAAAATCAACGACCGCCTCCGTGGTCTAGTGGTAGAGCGTTCGCCCGGAGAGCGGAAGGTCCGGGGTTCGATCCCCGGCCGCGTCATACCAAAAGACGTTAAAAGATGGTACTTGTTGTTACCCTGTCTGGCGCTCGGCATTAATGGGCTAAAACAAGGACTGGTCGGCTTGGAGTCAGTATACTGTGTCTGAGTGGGGTAATCATGTTAAACTGCGGCATGGTATCTCAGTGAGCTAGCACTATAAATCGGCATTAGTCGGGACTAGTACAAGCAGCCACACAAACACACACACGTACATACACGTCGCTATATAAGTGCAATAATCTTGGACGCGACGTTAAACCCCATTTCACCTCACCTCACCTCTAAAATCAACCTTATTGACACATTTTCACAGAACGCTTACAAAACGTGCTTTCATTAGTATCAGACATGCGGTTGTTGAAATGATCAAAGTTTAATTCTTCTCATTCAAATAAACACATCTGATAACTTCCATAATGATGGAAAAGGTTCTCCTCATTTCCTTCATGCATAACCCATCGGCAAATATAGGCCCTTGTCATTCAGTACGTTAACGCCAAAGAATAATCTGTCCCGCTTATCTGCCAAAATAAATCCACTGGGCATGAAAGGCAAAGTGGTGATACATATTACAGTAAACTACGGTTATAACGAACTCAAAGGGACTACTAATTTTAGTTCGTTATAACCGTAGTTCGTTATAAGTACATATACAGCATGACTACAGCAAGTAGTCGGGACCAAAAAGTAAGTTCGTTATATCCGTCAGTTCGTTATAAGCGTGTTCGTTATAACCGTAGTTTACTGTATGTGAATGAATCACTAAAAATCAGTGATGGCACCAGGTGTTGGCCAAAAGGGACGTCATTTCCTGCTCTACTGGCAGCACCCACATTCACACGATTTTCATAAAACATAAACTAGTAATGCTCCTGGCATACAACGGTGGCATTTAAGCAGTCGAGTCTAGACAAGACAATCCAGTGATCTCGAGTAACTATACGCGGCGTTGTGGTGCACACCACGCTGTCGACCAAGCTACCAGACCTGATCATCAAGTCATATCTTTTAAACTTGACCCATGTGCACAAAAAACGAGAGAGAGAGAGAGAGAGAGAGAGAGAGAGAGAGAGAGAGAGAGAGAGAGAGAGTTGTGTTTAACGTCGCTTTTAACAGTATTACAGTTATATCGCGGCGTGTCAGCTTAATGTGGGAGGAAAGCCCGAAGTGATGCAGGTCACGGACGTTTACCACTTCAGTGAAACCCACGAGCGCGGGTATGGTGCTGACAAACCTAGAAACATAATCGAGGCGAACCGGGATTCGAGCCCACAATCATAGTTCTGGCGTGCCCAAGGGACGCAACTCTTGCGAATCGCGGCGCCTTAGACGACCGGGCCACCCGTGCCCCCTGCACAAAACGAAGGTGGTAAGGTTGTTGTAGGTAAAGGACTGTAAGGGTAGCACGTTTAGTGTTCAGGTATTTGATGCTTTGCACATAGGTGTGCTTGTATTCTTATCACCAAGGTAGCTCCGGAGTATTTGGGGCAAGGAAGTTGCAGTGATCATTTTATCGGTTATGGTGAACGTCAATAGATCGAAAAAGATCGAAATCCTCCTTTCATCTTTCCAACATACCCTGCATCTTGTGAGATTACACCGCTATATGTGTATTTGAAATGGGACCGTTGGTTCGATGTGTTTTGATAAACAGGCGTTAACGGCGACGGCTAGGAGGAATATACAAGCCTTAATTGATAGTAAAGTAAGGCGCTGCTTCCCTCACCTGTACATTGTTAGATCGCCGTAGGCTTTGATTGGTGTAATTTCGAGGCCTGAAGTACGAGGGGCGTTCAATGAGTTTTGCAACTTCAATATAAAACCAAGTCGCAGAACATCTTTTGCACTTTTATTTTTCAATACATTTATTCCATTTGTCCTTCAAGCTTTTAAAACCACTTTTATAGAAATCCGCAGATTGGCCCTCTAACGACGCCTCTGTGGCAGCCTTTATGTCCCCATCATCCTGGAAGCGTCTTCCACGTAAGGCAGATTTCATTTGCCGGAACAGGAAATAGTTACTGGGTTGAACAGTTAAATCATCCACCCTACAGCCCAGACTTAGCCCCCAGTGACTATTTGCACATGTTCACGATACAGTCGGAATCGTGCAATCGTCTCTGCTTTTGTCAGAGATTTGTTTTGATAATAGAAAGAGTTTTGTCGGTTTTATTATAATAGATCATATCAATTACTTTCTTTCATTTATGTTGAGAGCGGCCTTAAACAACACACCAACAAACTATAACCATAAGCTGAAACGTTTGTCTATGGCCAATGGGCAAGGAGAGTGGCCGAAAATTTTATTGTGTCTGACCAATGGACAAGACCAATGGACAAAGCCAATGGGCAAGGCCAATGACCGAATACAATTGACTTATTGAATGTCGGATGAAGTATATCCTAAATATACTGTACCAGCGTTATTGTCCTCGATGATCTCTACTATGACGCTGTTTTTATGAGCTGTCTCGACTTGCATCAAACGTCCGCCTTGTTCCTGGCACGCGGCACTAGCTTCATTCCAGGTCAAATGATCTCCGTATCTGTAGCATGTAGACCCGTCACTCGACCATTGGTAGCCGTACAAGATTGGGCAGAAATCTGACAACAGAAGAGTGTGTGAGTGAGTACGTCACTTTTAAAAATATTCAACACAGTGTAAACATGTGGGGAGACGAGTGTCGGACTTGAGTAAGGAGCTAAAGAACTTAATAACCACTACGTCACCCCACCACCGTTTCAACAGATGAAGAAAATAGCCACGACATAAATGAAGAGGTATAAACACAAACATGATATTCTGTTTATGACTGAATTCTTATTCTTTCCAAACCTGCGAAGTCAACAGTAAATACTTAACCCCAGTTTCTAGTACCTGTTAAATTGCCCGTCCGATGACGAATCTCAGATACATCAGAAAGATCAAAAAACGGAATTGGGCGAAAACGAATAAGGTATTTTGTCTAATGACAGAATGCGTTTTGGATATCAATGTGAATTAAATAATTCGTTTGCGCGGAGAAGTTATCGTACATGTAATCAGAAGAAGTCTACTGTAAAGGTGGCAAGGGAAAGGATGTTTGTACGGAGAAGGTCAGACATAGCGTTCGAAGTCTACTGTGTAGGGAACAAGAGGAAGATATCTTGTATGAAGAAGATCATAGTACATGTTGTTAGAAATCTACTATGAAGGTGATAAGAGGAAGAATGCCTGCATGGAGACATCTTCCAGAGGCAAGGGAGTTAACTGACTATAGAAGTCCAGTTCCACTTGGCTGGAATTCCGGAGTTTGGGCTGGACTAACGAGTCTATGCATTGTCCAATCAAAATCGCGTAACGAACTAGACATCCGGTTTATAAACAACATGGATTTCAAGTGCGGAATTCCGTCGACTGCAGGATTTGCAAAGGGTGTGTACCGTCAAATCTTTTCATGTTTCTTATCAAGGTGCTCAAGTGATTTCATACACTTCGAGAGGTAGGACCCGTTTAGAGATAAAGATCTTGGCTATCGATCAGAGCATCTTGACTGGCCGCTGCCATTTTGTTTGAACCAAATTCAACTGAAAAAGAGGTAGAATCTGATGAGTCAATAGGAGGGACATAGAAAGAACATAACTCGCAATAGACACTGGTGGCGCTACAAGAATAATGTGAAGGTGGCAAGAAGAAGCATTCTTGTACGAGGAAGGTCATCGTTCATGGCGTTAGAAGTATACTGTGAAGGTGACAAGAGGAAGCGTTCTTGTAAGGGGAAGGTCATCGTACATGGCGTTAGAAGTATACTGTAAGTTGATCAAGTTGAGAAGTTGGTCGTACATGACGTTAGAGGTCAACTGTGAAGGTGAGAAGGGGTAGAAGTCCTCCATGGAGAAGGTCATCGTACGTGGATTTAGAAGTCTACTGTGAAGGTGACAAGAGGAAGATTGATTGAGCAGAGAACGTCATCGTACATGTAGTTAAAGGTATACTCTGAAGGTGACAAGAGGAGTGGGTGAGTGAGTATGGTTTTACGCCGCTTTTAGCCATATTCCAGCAATATCACGGCGGGGGCCACCAGAAATGGGCTTCACACATTGTACCCATGTCGGGAATCGAACCCGGGTCTTCGGCGTGACGAGCGAACGCTTTAACCACTAGGCTACCCGACCGCCCGGTGACAAGAGGAAGAATGATAGTACGAAGAAGGTCATCGTACATATCGTTAGAAGTCTACTGGGAGGGTGACAAGAGAAAGAATGATAGTACAGAGAAGGTCATCGTACATGTAGTTAAAGGTATACTCTGAAGGTGACAAGAGGAAGAATGATTCCACGGAGGAGGTCATCGTATATGTCGTTAGAAGTCTACTGGGAGGGTGACAAGAGGAAGAATGATAGTACGAAGAAGGTCATCGTACATATCGTTAGTAGTCTACTGGGAGGGTGACAAGAGGAAGAATGATAGTACGGAGAAGGTCATCGTACATGTCGTTAGAGGTCTACTGGGAGGGTGACAAGGGATAGAAAGCCTTCAGGGAGAAGGTCGTCGTACATGGCGTTAAAGTCACTCTGAAAGTGATGAGGGGAAGAATGCTTTTACGGATCCGGAGAAGGCCATCGTGCGTGAATGAGGTTATACGCCGCTTTTAGCAATATTACGACGGGGGATACCAGAAATTTGTTGCACACATTGTACTCGTATTGGGAATAGAACCCGGATCTTCGGCGTAGAGACCTCAGTCATTGGGCTGCCCCACCGCCCCCTTTAACTTCTGAAGCTATAAGGCTCACCTGGATTCCTGTGGTAGACCATGGTTCCTTGCTTTAAGGACAAACCGGCCGCTCCACTTTGATACTGTTTCGGGGCCAAGTAGCACTTCTTCTCCATGTTGTTGTAGAATATAGCCAAACATCCCATATCTTGCAGACAATACATGGAACATTTGGAAACTGAGACCACATCGTCAATAGGTACCAACCCATTGAACATCAAGTTTGTGAAGGCAAGGGTAAACGCGGTCGAGCGTACGCTGGTAGTGGCACTAATCATGTCTTTGCTGCTGTCGAGTTCGAAAGCCTTTGAACAGCTCAAAACATCCACTGTCACTATTGTCCACTGCAGACGTCTTTGCATTGAGTTATACACTGATCAAGGATGTAATGATTATACGAACAATGGTTATATTGAATAAATGACAACGCGCGTCACAAATCAATCTTTACAGCTTGGAATCGATGTGGTCAACGTTTGTGAACCCTTTGAACAACTATAGGCGGGAAATCATTATTACTATCACATAAGTGAGTTTAGCGCCGCTTTGAGCAGTATTTTGCCATATAAAGTCGTGTCAGCTTGACGAAGGACGAAAGACTGAAGTTATGCAAGAAACCTGAGATTTCTATTGGATATCAAAAGGGTTTTGACGTTTTATTGTTATTATTTAGACGTTTACCTCTTTGGTGAAACCCACAAGCATGGATGTGGTCTTTAACAACTTAGAAATGCTATCCGGGCGAATCTTGGCTTCGAACCCATGATCATACGTTCTGATACGCCAAAGAGACGCATCTTTGCACAGAGAATTGAGACACCTTATACCACACGGCAATCCGCTTCCTAAGTAGCGTCAAAGGTAAAACTGGTAAGAGATCTGATTATGCATTAAGTAATAAGTTATCTTGCACGTGTAATAATGATATACAAATTCCTCTGATCATGTTCCTCCCACCACTCTCGTCCTCTTAGATTATCGTTATTATTATTATTGTCATCATCATCATCATCATCATCATCATCATCATCATCATTATTATTATTTGTTGAATGTAGAATAAGGAAAGATGAAACAATATATTTTATCTGCGAAATGACTTTCTTATGTAAAGCAAGCGATGTCAATATAGAATGCAACTAATGGCCAGTTGTATCTTGTTATTCAGAATTACGAGGGGGTGGGGGTGCGGGTCAAACGGGACCCAGATAGTAACATTACTTCCAGAAATAGGTGTCAACGCCAGAGACGATTGTTTGGCGAAACAAATTCCATAGGGCGTAACTGGCAAAACAGTGATGAAACTTATATTCAATGGACCGCTTGAAATCAGTGACGACACCAGGTGTTCGCAAAAGGGCTTAGCAAGTCCTCCTCTCCCTGTGGCACCCGCCCTTCACACAGAAACCATCTATTGCCAGTCTCGGAAAAATTGGCAATGTCAGAAACATAGCATTGTCCTCCAGTTGGAATGTACGTGTTAAAGGTTATGTTTGTCTGGAACATTATCCTCGAGTTTGAAGATACGTGTTAAAGGTTATGTATGTCTGGAACATTGTACTACAGTTAGAATGTACGTGTTAAAGGTCATGTTTGTCTGGAACATTGTCCGTCAGTTGGAAGATACGTGTTGAAGGTTATGTTTGTCTGGAACATAGTCCTGCAGTTGGAATGCACGTGTAAAGGGTATGTCTGGAACATACTCCTACAGTTGAAATGTACGTGTAAAGGGTATGTCTGGAACATACTCCTACAGTTGAAATGTACGTGTTAAAGGTAATATTTGTCTGGAACATTGTCCTACAGTTGGAATGTACGTGTAAAGGGTATGTCTGGAACATACTCCTACAGTTGGAATGTACGTGTTAAAGGTTATGTTTGTCTGGAACATTATCCTCGAGTTTGAAGATACGTGTTAAAGGTTATGTATGTCTGGAACATTGTACTACAGTTAGAATGTACGTGTTAAAGGTCATGTTTGTCTGGAACATTGTCCGTCAGTTGGAAGATACGTGTTGAAGGTTATGTTTGTCTGGAACATAGTCCTGCAGTTGGAATGCACGTGTAAAGGGTATGTCTGGAACATACTCCTACAGTTGAAATGTACGTGTAAAGGGTATGTCTGGAACATACTCCTACAGTTGAAATGTACGTGTTAAAGGTTATGTTTGTCTGGAACATTGTCCTCCAGTTGGAATGTACGTGTTAAGGGTATGTCTGGAACATACTCCTACAGTTGAAATGTACGTGTTAAAGGTTATGTTTGTCTGGAACATTGCCCTACAGTTGGAATGTACGTGTAAAGGGCATGTCTGGAGCATAGTCCTACAGTTGGAATGTACGTGTTAAAGGTTATGTTTGTCTGGAACATTGCCCTACAGTTGGAATGTACGTGTTAAGGGCATGTCTGGAACATAGTCCTACAGTTGGAATGTACGTGTAAAGGGCATGTCTGGAACATAGTCCTACAGTTGGAATGTACGTGTAAAGGGCATGTCTGGAACATAGTCCTACAGTTGGAATGTACGTGTTAAAGGTTTTGTTTGTCTGGAACATTGCCCTACAGTTGGAATGTACGTGTTAAGGGCATGTCTGGAACATAGTCCTACAGTTGGAATGTACGTGTAAAGGGTATGTCTGGAACATAGTCCTACAGTTGGAATGTACGTGTAAAGGGCATGTCTGGAACATAGTCCTACAGTTAGAATGTACGTGTAAAGGGTATGTCTGGAACATAGTCCTACAGTTGGAATGTACGTGTTAAAGGTTTTGTTTGTCTGGAACATTGTCCTCCAGTTGGAATGTACGTGTAAAGGGCATGTCTGGAACATACTCCTACAGTTGGAATGTACGTGTAAAGGGCATGTCTGGAACATAGTCCTACAGTTGGAATGTACGTGTAAAGGGCATGTCTGGTGCATAGTCCTACAGTTGGAATGTACGTGTAAAGGGTATGTCTGGAACATACTCCTACAGTTGGAATGTACGTGTAAAGGGCATGTCTGGAACATTGCCCTACAGTTGGAATGTACGTGTAAAGGGTATGTCTGGAACATACTCCTACAGTTGAAATGTACGTGTTAAAGGTTTTGTTTGTCTGGAACATTGTCCTCCAGTTGGAATGTACGTGTTAAGGGTATGTCTGGAACATACTCCTACAGTTGAAATGTACGTGTTAAAGGTTATGTTTGTCTGGAACATTGCCCTACAGTTGGAATGTACGTGTAAAGGGCATGTCTGGAGTATAGTCCTACAGTTGGAATGTACGTGTAAAGGGCACGTCTGGAACATTGTCCTCCAGTTGGAATGTACGTGTAAAGGGCATGTCTGGAACATTGTCCTCCAGTTGGAATGTACGTGTTAAGGGTATGTCTGGAACACTGCCCTACAGTTGGAATGTACGTGTAAAGGGCATGTCTGGAACATTCTCCTACAGTTGGAATGTACGTGTTAAGGGTATGTCTGGAACATACTCCCACAGTTGAAATGTACGTGTTAAGGGTATGTCTGGAACACTGCCCTACAGTTGGAATGTACGTGTAAAGGGCATGTCTGGAACACTGCCCTACAGTTGGAATGTACGTGTAAAGGGCATGTCTGGAACATTGTCCTCCAGTTGGAATGTACGTGTAAAGGGTATGTCTGGAACATACTCCTACAGTTGAAATGTACGTGTTAAAGGTTTTGTTTGTCTGGAACATTGTCCTCCAGTTGGAATGTACGTGTAAAGGGCATGTCTGGAACATACTCCTACAGTTGGAATGTACGTGTTAAGGGTATGTCTGGAGCATAGTCCTACAGTTGGAATGTACGTGTTAAAGGTTATGTTTGTCTGGAACATAGTCCTACAGTTGGAATGTACGTGTAAAGGGCATGTCTGGAACATACTCCTACAGTTGGAATGTACGTGTTAAGGGTATGTCTGGAGCATAGTCCTACAGTTGGAATGTACGTGTTAAAGGTTATGTTTGTCTGGAACATAGTCCTACAGTTGGAATGTACGTGTAAAGGGTATGTCTGGAACATACTCCTACAGTTGAAATGTACGTGTTAAAGGTTATGTTTGTCTGGAACATTGCCCTACAGTTGGAATGTACGTGTAAAGGGCACGTCTGGAACATTGTCCTCCAGTTGGAATGTACGTGTAAAGGGCATGTCTGGAACATTGTCCTCCAGTTGGAATGTACGTGTTAAGGGTATGTCTGGAACACTGCCCTACAGTTGGAATGTACGTGTAAAGGGCATGTCTGGAACATTCTCCTACAGTTGGAATGTACGTGTTAAGGGTATGTCTGGAACATACTCCTACAGTTGAAATGTACGTGTTAAGGGTATGTCTGGAACACTGCCCTACAGTTGGAATGTACGTGTAAAGGGCATGTCTGGAACACTGCCCTACAGTTGGAATGTACGTGTAAAGGGCATGTCTGGAACATTGTCCTCCAGTTGGAATGTACGTGTAAAGGGTATGTCTGGAACATACTCCTACAGTTGGAATGTACGTGTTAAAGGTTTTGTTTGTCTGGAACATTGTCCTCCAGTTGGAATGTACGTGTAAAGGGCATGTCTGGAACATACTCCTACAGTTGGAATGTACGTGTAAAGGGCATGTCTGGAACATACTCCTACAGTTGGAATGTACGTGTAAAGGGCATGTCTGGAACACTGCCCTACAGTTGGAATGTACGTGTAAAGGGTATGTCTGGAACATAGTCCTACAGTTGAAATGTACGTGTAAAGGGCATGTCTGGAGCATAGTCCTACAGTTGGAATGTACGTGTTAAAGGTTTTGTTTGTCTGGAACAATGCCCTACAGTTGGAATGTACATGTAAAGGGCATGTCTGGAGCATAGTCCTACAGTTGGAATGTACGTGTAAAGGGTATGTCTGGAACATACTCCTACAGTTGGAATGTACGTGTAAAGGGCATGTCTGGAACATACTCCTACAGTTGGAATGTACGTGTAAAGGGCCTGTCTGGAACACTGCCCTACAGTTGGAATGTACGTGTAAAGGGTATGTCTGGAACATAGTCCTACAGTTGAAATGTACGTGTAAAGGGCATGTCTGGAGCATAGTCCTACAGTTGGAATGTACGTGTAAAGGGCATGTCTGGAACATAGTCCTACAGTTGGAATGTACGTGTAAAGGGCATGTCTGGAACATTCTCCTACAGTTGGAATGTACGTGTTAAGGGTATGTCTGGAACATACTCCTACAGTTGGAATGTACGTGTAAAGGGTATGTCTGGAACATAGTCCTACAGTTGGAATGTACGTGTAAAGGGCATGTCTGGAACATTCTCCTACAGTTGGAATGTACGTGTAAAGGGCATGTCTGGAACATTGTCCTACAGTTGGAA